AAATATTTGTAATTTAGTATTTAATTAGAAATGAAGTACAAATGTCAAATGATCGATCTTATTAAGAGCATTGTACACCAAACATGCGATAATATAATATACTATTTCATATTAGAGTGGAATTAAGGACAAATCATAACATACTTTATTTTGATTTGTTCCGTCTAGAATGGAATATGCTCTTCCTACGTGTATTCAATATCATTCTATGTGAAGTTATTTATTTTGGAATTTGGATGTAGAAATTTGGCATAGTTTCACCTAGTGTGCTTGAGGTTATACATTGAAACGATTTTAATAAGTATTTACACCATTATAATTTACGGAATATTTTTGTATATGTTGTGTAGATTATTAACATTGGTCAAATTAAATTATACTTTGTATTGATAAATGTATCGGGTTAAGAAACAGATTGAGTATAATTCTATTTCCATCGAAATACCAAAAGATTTTTCAAATAGGACAATAAAAAAAATATATAAGTGAATGAGGTATATAATTTGAGTGGTTTTTGCATGAAACAAGGGCTTGTGTAGTTCACATTAATTTTGCTTATTCAATATGATCTAATCTGTTATGACCTGATATGATTGTCTAATTAGATCTATCTTTAACCTTATGTGTACGATAATAAATAAAGAATAACTATATCAAGTGAAATTTTGTTAGATTTTGATGAATGTGCGTTTTATTAATATGTAAGTTTCATAATTTTTTTTTATCATGAAATTAAAGATATTTAGCGATATAAAATCGTACATAAAACGATGAATTGATCTGAACTTATTTAGGACCTGTTCTAATTTACTGAACTAAGCTGAACTGAACTAATTGGAGCTGAACTAAACTAAACTGAACTGAAATGGATTGTGTATGAGAGAAGGAAATTAGAAATTGAACTAAACTGATTGAAGCTGAAGAGAACATGCCCTTACTATAATCTGAGCTGAACTATTGTGTTTTTTTATCTGATTTGATCTGAACTTTTTTTTCTTTTTTTTGTTTATGAAATAAGTGAAAATAACGTGAACTAAATCTGGCTTAAGTCAAAACGGAGAAATAAACTCTGAAAAAGTTAAAATAGGCATAAATAGATGGGACTAACCCAACAAAAACCGATGGCCTATCTATAGTACAACCCGTTGGATGGGATATATACGTGTAAAGATCTAATGAGGAAGTTAAACAAACAAAAAATTAAAAAAGTAGAACATGCAAAATGTAAAACGCAAGCAATGTATAAGTAAGGATTAGTTTAATGATTAAGCTTAAATTAATGCATTAATAAGTGGGGTCATAGATAATGTATATGTAGGTCCATACCCATTAAGAGTGAAAGACATTCATCCACGTGATATTTGGTGGAACTTCGCCTTCATTGATGTATTCAAATTTCTTTCTTTCTTTCTTTTTTTAAAAAAATAAAAAATAAAATACTTTGTATTTATTTATTTAATTTTATTTTCTAATATTTCGGCTCAAGAACAACTTCCTTAACTCTTATTATATGTTTGCATGTTCAAAGTATATTTGGTTTTGGCCTTAAATAGTAAAAATTGTTTTGTTGCAATAAACAAATAAACCTTAGACTTACTCCATAGATTATTATATCAAATTATCATACCATATATACGTTAGCAAGTACCTCACATGTACAAGTATATATTAATGTTTATTAATTAATGTTCAAATATTTAAGTATATAATATATGGTACATTAGGAAGGGGGTAGGGGAAAGCGAAACCTTGAGGTGTTTGAATTTGACTAATTTTACAATTTGTCTGTGGTTATTAGAAATACAATATACATACGAAAGTGTACTTAATTTAAGTAAACCCTATTAGGCACTTTGTTTGTTTGTTTATTTGTTTTTTTTTTTTTTGGTGTTTAGAGAGCCACAAAAGGCGGAGTGAGAATCAATCACATGATTTTCTAGAACCGAGAGGAAAACTCAAACCACTTGAGTTATTTGTGTTATCCCTCACTCTCTAATTTTTTTATCCTCAGTGTTGAAGTAATAATGATGTCTTAAATTGTTCCACTCATGAACCGGAGAATTGATATCGAGCTAGAAGTAGTGTCTAGTTTGATTTAGGGAGGTTATTATCGCCTTTTGTTAAGGCTTAGGCGTAAAAAGGAGGCTTTGCAGAATGATCACTAATTTAAGGTAACACCATATTAACAAGGTTGTCATATAATTTACGAATAACTTATCGATTTATCCGAGTTAGAAAGGAAAACAAGTGTTAAAAGACAACGATGGCCCTCCTTTGGACATTGCCTAACCCGATTAAGCACCGCATGCCATAGTAGATGATGGGGACATATAAAATGTCATGTATACTTGAGTAACTCATCATTCTCTTAGATGAGTCATACTCCAATACCCACTTTTGAAAAGTTTCAAACTTATTAGATGACATTTATTTGATTAATCCAAACATAATTAAAAAAAAAAAAAGTAAATTACATATGACATAAGCAATTAGGTGCTTTGTTAAGTTATGAGTGGCAACCAAGAGTTGTATTAATAAATTATTTGATATTAATATTGAAAAATTCATATAAGTTGGGTATAAAAGCAAATTTCAATTATATTATTTAATTAGAGCATCAAATTCAAAGCCTCTTTCTTTTTTCATATAAGTATACTTTTTATTTTAATTATAAGCTAATATAATAATTAACATGTGTCTTTGATTGGATGGTGGAATTTACTATGACATTCAAACAAGTTAAAATAAATCAAGTAATGATATTCCACTTAACATACGTATAAGGTTTATCCAATAAATTGCTCACGCAAAGTTTAGCATGGATCTTGACTAATTTGGCTAAAGTTTAATGATGTTTAGATAGGCCACCAAGTACTCTATTTATTCGTGGAGCTGACCAACTGGGGCATAGGCCGTATAGCAACAATTATGTTATTATGTATCGATGTTGTACCGACGTTTCGTTGTGGACTTGTGGTGAAGTTTGGTAGGTTAATTCGATCATCTCTAAAAGACTAAAATGGTGTGTTTTTATTTTCGGGGATATATATGTCATCTTACACTTTTTAATCTAAACCATACCAAATTTTATTACTTCGTCCGTTTTTTGAGCCATATATGATATTGATAGTACCATTGCCTCCATTCTTGCTTTTAAAACACCATAAACATTACCACACCTTATCCCCCAATCCCCTAAACATGAGAGTTTTAAGAGTGCTTCTAATTACTTTATAAACTTCTTTTTGATCAATTATATAAGGCCATAAAAAAAAAATAAAAAAAAAAGAAAAAGAAAAAAGCGGCCACTATAGGAAAGCAAAATTTGGGTAGGATGTATGTACAAGAAAACATGTGTAAAAGCCAGAGATTATGACCCACTATCGAAGATGTACAAGGACTCAACACCTAAGAGCATTAAACTCGTAGTGTAGTCAATTTTGATGATAAACTTACTAAACTATATCATATATCTATTAATATAATGTATTGTATATTAATATCATATATTGTGTTGGTAAGGAAAAAAAATAATATAAAAAATATAACAAGTCGCCTCTTACAAATTAGCTAGATCAGTTATATAAGTCGACGCTTCAGAGTAAGGCTCAACCTCGTGAGTTGTGAGTTTTCCTCCATTTCCACTAAACTTGCTTGACAGTACGAACTATGAAGTACTTATCCTCGTAATCAAAGTATTATAAACTTAAGGAGGTGGGTGATTGATGGGGTCATATTATTCATAACTTCATACAAATATCAATGTGGTGTAAATAATAATGAAAGAAAGAGAGAACTTGTTGTGTAGTAATCCAGCTAAGCAGTCCAATCATTAGAATAGCATTAAGCCATGGAAAACAAACCTTTCCTCAAAATTATGAGGTGATGAGCTTTCGGGTTGCGGCCCACTTACTTACTTTGCTTGTCAAAAATATTTTGGGATTGATTAGCCTTCAGAACTAATTCCAACTTAATTATTCAGGCCCCACACGTTCCACAAAATATCATCTCCATTAAGGAGGGTTAAAAGAAGCTTAAAAATCGACATTAGTTTTATGAGACGGGTGTATGGTAAGACTCGGGTGAGTTTTTAATTACGACTATCTTTTATAGGGAAGACCGATGACTATCGTGAAATTAAGAGATTAACTGAATATCCCTCGCAAGTGAGCTGAGACTAGTTATCCTACATTGAAGGAGATGAGGGGATGAATAGCATATAAGTTCGATGCACTACTTCGTCTCTATCTATCACCATTTGGTTTAAGAATAGAATGAGCTTATGTTAAGCTTTATAAAGATTATGAAAGACAAGGGAGACACTGTAAAAGTCTCATATACTTCGTTCAACCACGGGAATTTCCTACAATGAAAAAAAACGTAGTTTTCTAAACATACTTCCACTTAGATAGGTGAGTAGTGAAATCAAGATGACTCCTTTGGGGAGAGCAGATGAAACGACGAATATAAGAAAAAAGGTAATTGGCCAAACATAAAAGCATGATAACTTACCATGAATCTTTTAACCATCTATATACTTGATCGTAGTAAGAGTTAAAATGCATTTCCTATGAATCAAATTACACAATTAACGCTTGAAATTAGGCTAGAAACCAATAACTTAAAACATAGTTTCAGAGCTGACTGATTATAGCTAATCCTATTGCCTTTTACATATGCATTTCCTATGAATCATATTACACAATTTAACGCTTGAAATGAGGCTAGAAACCAATAACTTAAAACATGGTTTCAGAGCTAACTGATTATAGCTAATCCTATCGCCTTTTACAGAAATTGCTAGTGGTGAAAATGGCAGGGATCAGAAGTTGCAACAACGATTAGAAACAGGGCCAACAGGTCTAGTGGATTAGCTTCATCCTGAAAGACTTTGCCTTCTCTAAAGTGAGCACAGGAATGTCAAAGGCTTTCATCAAGTTTTTACCATATACGGAGTAATTGAGAATGAGACTGTGGTTCTATACATGCTACATCATGAATTAGTAAATTGCATTCAATATTCAAATTTTGAAATGCAATAATTTCGAAATTTCCATAAACATTACATTTAACTAAGTTTCAGTATCAAATCCAATATTCCAAAATCCTTCAGGGGTCAGTGGAGGAGCATACCTGTACCTATGCCTTGAAACACCCTCATGATGTTCACACCAAAACTTATGTCCATCAACTTCTCCATCTTTAGCATTGGAAAGGACAGCATCATAAAATTTCTTGCACTGCTTGCATTCTATTCCATTCAAATTTTCCCGCTCAGCTTTTTTCCGAACAGGTTCCACATATTTAAAACCTTTTGAACCATCACCAGACCTAGGAGCTTGCAACTGCTGTCTTTTGGGCGCAGATTCAGCTCTCATGTCCTGTGTCTCGTCATCTGAATCCGTGTCTTTTGGATATACAGCTGGAACATCACGTAAGCTAGCCTTCACGCTCTTGTGCAAATTTCCCCTAATGTCTTCATATGGTGTATCAAGAAAATCATCATGCGGATCAGGACCACCGGGACTTTGACGAGATCGAGTCTCTCTCCAACCAGATATAGGGCGCTTTCCACCAGTTAATGAGCCCAAGTTTCTGGTCTTCCTACTAGTGGTCCAATGGTTTCCAGTAGGAGAGTCAGACCCAGATGAAGATTTGGAGCTTAACTTCTGATTTAATCTGACAAATTTCTCATCATCTGAGCTCTCCATAGTGTTGATTTCTTGCTTCACTTCGTTCAACTCACATGCCACCACACTACTTGCTAAATTTCTCTTCTTGACTTCTGCAAAATACACATGCTTAATTATTTACGCAAAGTAGTATTCTAACTGTAACTCTCTTACTCGTAATAACTAATTGGGAATGAATGGAATGATGGATGCAAACAAAAGAGCCAAAAACGGGTGTAAGGAAGTGAAACCCTTCTTTCCAACAACAAACAGATTGACACCACAGGAATGACACTCATGATACTTAATTTACATAAACTATCATCAGTCAACAGAAGATGAAAGAATCAAGGATAGTATTAAGCAACAAATCATACGATTAGAGTTTGTAAAGGTATATACTTTGAGACAGGAAAAATATATTGCGCAATAATTTTTTAAAGCTAGTCCCTTTCAAAGATCCTCACCAGATAATGCTAATATTGTTTCATCATCGTTCAATGGATCACCTTCTTCTTCTTCTTCTTCTTTCATTTGAAGCAACAGTTCTTCATTGGTGAGACCAAACTTGTTGAGCAGATAGCTGTGTTGAGACTTGAGCCTTTTATAAGCTGCATGAAGATCTCTTCGTCTATGCTTCTCGGTGGCTAACTCTGTAGTTTTTAGTTCAATTTGCTTGACCAAATCATTTTGAGGTACTCTTGTGTTAATTACTCCATCATCCCTATTTCTAAGACTCTCTTGAAGCTTCTCACCAAGCATTTTTTTCTCTCCCTCAAGTGCAGACAGCAGTTGATTCTTCTTTGTCAGCTCGTGTACTAATTGCTCACGCAACTGCTTTCCCTCATCTGCTTCAGCAATTTTTCTCCTATATCCATTTCTGAGACTATCTAAACTGGTTTCCACATTTTCCAGCTTCATTGAGAGTTGTTTGTTTTCTTCTTCACTTTTGATCAGCATCTGTTCAGTATTCCTCATCTTCAGCTCCTGTGAATCAATTTGCCTCTGCAATTCCTTCACTAATTCTTTTCCATTGGTTACATCTTCATTCTTGTCCTGAAGCTCTTTGTCAAGTGCATCAATCTTTCCCTCAAGTTCTTGGGATTTGTTAACAAGAAGCTTCATTCTTTCTTCATGCTCTTTCACCTGCAGGTCCCTATCTCTGAGAGTAGTGGATTTCGCCTCAATGATATCATGTAATGTAGCATGTGATTCCATAGCATCTTCAACTTCTTTTGTCTTCTGCTGCAGCTTATCCTCCAATTCAGCTACCCTTGTTGCTAGTCTCGACTTCTCTACCATGAAAGCTTTACATTCATCAAGGACTAATTCCTTTTCAAGAATTAGCTGTTTCATTTGAAGCTCGAGTTTACTTTGTCTCTCTTTCCACTCATTTTCAGCAGCGTTTCTGGCTTCCACATATATCTTCTGGACAGATTTTGCACTCGTTTGAATATTGGGGTAAAGCTGGCTGCAAAAGATATATTCAATCTGAGAAATTCTATCCTTGGCTTCCTGAATCGTAGCGACCAGTATAGTGCTAAGCCCTGAGACATACTTTGTATCATGGCTCTCTACCTGATGACTTACTTTTGGAGACTTCTCTAATTCAGTAATGTGCATTCTGCAGTAATTAAGAAATAAATTGAAGTGATCATTCACATTTTCACACTAAAAGAAGAATAATCAATTTGCCTAACAACAACGACGACAAGTATATACAGCTTGTACTCACCAATCCTAACAACATCAACAATTCTACGATGTTTGGTGATCCGAGATTTTGAAAATGGGATACGAATTAATACTTGCAAGTTGCAACCAACGAATTTTCATCTTTTATAAACGATTCAAATGACATTGCCTTGGTTACTTTAAGACTTAAAGTATCAATAATATTTCCTAGTTCCATTAGAGATTTAGAGGTAATTCCATAAAATAGATTACAAACATAACTAGGGTTTCACTAAGAGGGGTTCGACTCGAGCCGAGCTCGAATAAACTAGAATCGTCTCAATTTCGATAGGATTTAGGCAAGCTCAGTTCAAGCTCAAAGTTCGACTAGCTTTAAATCCAAGATCAGATTGTGCTCCAATAGCCTCAAATTTTTCCAATTCATATCGTGGTCAACAAATTAGCAACAATTTCAACTCAATTATCAGATTAGGTTCGAAAAATCACATTAATTTCTTCTAGCTTAAGATATCATTCATATCATCATCAATTGCACATAGAAAAATTCTAGAAACAAAATGGCTCAATAAAATATCTCACAATTTCAGTAATTATAACCAATACTAGTTCAATGATCCAAATTAGAAGAACCCTAAATTGAATTTAGACTGACAATCAAATCAACGACAATGAAATTCAAGCCCTAGATTGGGAAATTGATATTCGATGATTACAAAAGAGAAGAACATCGTACCTTAGAAGCTGCTTCAATGGAGGAGAGAAAGCTCAGAAGCCGCTACAGTAGAGAACTCAAAGTGCGCTTCAATGGAGGAGAGAGAAAGAGATTTTCAGCGGGAAAAAAAAAAGCGCCAAAGGAGTACAAATGAAAACATAGGAGAATAGTGTATAACACTTAACACGCATAATATGTCAACCGTTACATGCTTACATAGTTACATCTACTACGGTAAAACAATAGAGTTGTACACAATTGCTCAATACTTCAATAGTAACAAGTTTTGTTTTTGGCCAACAAAGTGTTTGACTCACTTCACACTTAATAAGGCTTAATCCTAAATGTACTAGATTTGAATCTATTAAATGAGGATAATTGGGGGTAGGGATTCCCTTACCTATCCTCTACTCCCAAATATTTGGCCCGTAAATACTGGATCGTAAAAATTATGAGAATTAAGGTCTGATTAGGAAAACAAGTGCAAATATTGAGTTAACACTGCTCTTATACTACTTGGGTTCTTGCTTCTTCCAATCCTCTAGTGGTATGAATGTCTGATAAGAGGAAGGAGTGAAAACCCAATGGCACATACATAGTAACATGGAGCCTATAAGACCCATGAAACCTCTAGCTCCCTTGTAGGCTTGCAGCTTGCTAAACAAAAGCAAGAGGTTAGCCAAAATTTAAGTAATTTATCTTATAATCTTCTATTGGTCCTATGAGTCCTATCTAAAGATGGAAATGGGCATGCCGACCCAAGGCCTGACACGAAAAAAGCAGGGCACGTTACTGTACATGCTGAGTCGTAGGTCGCTTTTATTTGGGAGATGCACGATGAGGCATAACACGACAAAAGCATGTTAAAATCAATGAAAATTTTGCTTAAGCACGCTAGCCCGGCACAATGGCACGTGGGTATGGGCCGTGAGCGAGTCAACCTTTTGAAAATTTTGGCTTGACACAACATGTACCTCATGGATCGGGCCTAACCAACTCCAAAGCATGTTGGCCCGACCCGACCCGACCCGGAGCCAACTTTAGTTCTATCAAGACATTCCTTCTTTGGTAAAAGTTATTGTTTATGACACGACGTATGCTATTTCATTTAAATATAAGCATTGCCATGACTTTTGATGCATTTCCCTTCCCCTTCTTTCTATAACTACCGCCGTCTATCAACCACCCTCTAGTGCCACTTCCATTAATCAACACATAATAACCACTTAAGTTTTTTCAATTGTCCAATAACGATGACGATTGAAGATCACACTTACATTTAATATCAACATTGAACATCCTTAACTAACGGTTTTAAGTGACAATTCTTGATAAAATTTTGTTTGCATATTATGTGGTTGTTAAAGTCTTGGTCCTGTGTGATTTTAGGATTGATGGTGTCTACGAGGAAAGGGAGGAAGAGGGAGACGGGGGAGGGAAAAGAGCTATAGGAAAATAGCAAAATACATCAACTGTCATGCGCGATATCGAGTAGTTCAATTAGTTTGCAAAAGAGAACTTAGGGCATGACAAACCAAAACACAACCTTATCACAGATAAACCCAACAGCCACCTGAGTCGAGTTAAAATTTAACCATAGTTAAAGTCTCAACCAATTAGAAAAAAAAAAAAAGCATTTAGTTTTAATTCATGATGGATTCAAAGAGGCACAAAAATCTTCCAAAAGACAAGCAAAACCCATACCCTCCACATTTTTCTAAGACCTTTTTATTTTTCATTGAATTTTTTTTGAAACTTTCATATTTTTCTTTTGAGATAAAATTAGATTAGAAAAATTACCCCTTAAAAATTGGGAAATTTTTGTAATTGAGAAAGAAAATAGCGGCAAACATTGAAAAACCTTAAACCAACGTTAATGGCGGTCCTTCATATCCATGTTCATGGTGTATTTTGATTCAAATATACTTGTTTACGAAGTATAGTTTACTTCTTTTTCGCCAGGTATTTCTTCAATTCAGTTGCTTTTACTTTCAATTTCTCCTAATTTTACGAACATACTGATTAAGCGTTGATTCTAGGGTTTTGATTTTAGTTTGAAAAATGTTAGGGTTTTTTTGCGGGTTAGTTTTGTTCGTTTCAGTTAGTTGAAACTGTGTTTTGGATCAATTTGATTTCATTTTACTAATAAATTACTATTCATTTTTTTGTTGCTGAATTTGATATTTTGCTGGGTTTTGGAATTTGAATATGGGTTTTATATTGTTGAATTCAGTATGCAATTTTTGTTTGGTATTTTGCATTTTTGGTAAATGAATGAATTTTGATGATTATTTTGTAATGTTTGTTAGTATGCTGAATAATAATTAATAATGTTTGATTGCAGAGGGTATACTATATCCTTCATTTGCAATTCATAAAAGAGGGAATTTGATTGTTGTTGGGCATTGTTTTGGAGATTGTTCTTAATTTTGATTTGGTATTTTATAGAAATTACTTGGTCCCTTCAGTTTGTTTGTGTATTTGGAGATTTGATTCAAATTTGTTGTTATGCTTAAGGGTTATGCTGTTTAATTGAGATTCGGAAGATTTGGATGATACTTTTGCATATTCATTGAGTGTACATTGATAAGGGTGAAAAGAATTGGCATGGAGTGCAATAAAGATGATGCAATCAAGGCAAGAGAGATTGCGGAGAGGAAGTTTGATGCCAAGGACTTACCGGGGGCCAAGAAATTTGCGCTCAAGGCACAAAATTTGTATCCTGGTCTTGAGGGGATTTCGCAGATGTTGGCAACTCTTGATGTGTATGCCGCTGCAGAAGATCCAGTGCTAGGGGAGGCAGATTTTTATGGTGTGCTTGGTGTGACCCCTAAATCAGACGATGATACGATAAGGAAGCAATATAGAAAGCTTGCTCTTATGCTCCATCCTGACAAAAACAAGTCTATTGGAGCAGAAGGGGCTTTTAAGCTAATTTCAGAAGCCTGGAGCTTGTTATCTGACAGAAACAGGAGAGCTGCCTATGATTCAAGAAGGAACATTAGGGGTTTTTCGCAGAAGACTAAACCTCCTTCTCAGAGTTCATCTGTGCCGCCTGGTGCTAATGGTTTTTACAACTTTGCTAAAGCTACCATGTCTAATCCCAAAGTTAATAAAAATGCCTCCCCATCAAATGGCTCTTCTGTTCCTGGTTCATCTAAGAAGGCAAATCAGAATTCTTTCTGGACTGTTTGCCATAGATGTAAGATGCAGTATGAATACCTTAGATGTTATCTTAATCACAATTTGCGCTGCCCTAATTGCCGCAAGCCATTTTTCGCCATAGAGACACCCCCACCTGTTTCAAATGGTTCTGAATCGTCAAAACCACGGGAAGATTTCCAACACTGGCAAAACTCTCAGCAGGAAGCGAGAAACAAAAGTAGTCATAATGCTGGGCATAACACAGATAACTCACAGTGGACTCCATTCTCAGGAGCAGCTGGTGTTTCATCTGTTTCTCAAGCTGCAAATGTGGTTCAACAGACATATGAGAAGGTTAAAAGAGTGCGTGAGGAAGCACAAGCTGCCAGAAAACGAGAAAAGGCTAAAAGGAAAAACGATGCTTCTGGAGAAATGATCGGTTCCTCTAGCGAGAAAAAGAAAAGAGTGAGTGATGATAGCAATATGAACAATGATCATATGGGCCTTGGAGGTGCTGGAGTTGGCATATCAAGCACAATCCCAGCTCCCAGGCACAGTGGTACTAGGTGGTCTGGGTCAGTTTATGCAAATAGAATCGGTGAACTCAACCGTACTAGGGAGCTATCCCAGAGCGAATTGCGTAGCATATTGATGCATAAGGCTAGGAAAGAAATTCTTACAAAAATAGCTGAATGGAATTCTGCTAGTATGTTAAACAATGCTGCTCAAAAGGAGATAGCAACTAAGAAATCTCATGACAAGGACAATAGGCAGGAAAATGTGGTGATAAATGGCAACTTGGGAATGAAGTCTAGTAAATCAGCAGACTCTGGCTTAGTTTCTGAGGATAATTCCCTGTTAAGTGTGACTCAAGATCGGTTATCAATTCCTGTTCCTGATCCAGAATTCTATGATTTTGACAAGGATAGGACTGAAAGGGCCTTTGGAGAGAATCAAGTATGGGCTGTATATGACAATGATGATGGCATGCCCAGATTTTATGCTATGGTTCAAAGTGTAATATCTCGGGATCCATTTAGGATACGGATCAGTTGGTTAAACTCAACCACAAATACAGAACTTGGTCCTTTAAATTGGGTTGGTTCAGGTTTCTCAAAAACATGTGGAGACTTCCGAGTAGGCCGGCATGAGAAAAATGATGGTCTGAATTGTTTTTCACATAAAGTTAGATGGACAAAAGGTTCACGTGGAGCTATTTGTATCTTTCCAAGGAAGGGAGATGTGTGCGCACTGTATAGGAATTGGTCTCCAGACTGGAATGAACTCACTGATGATGAGGTTATACACAAGTATGACATGGTGGAAGTACTAGAAGATTATGATGAGGAGCTTGGAGTTGTTGTAATACCACTTGTCAAAGTTGCTGGCTTCAAGGCTGTTTTTCATCATCACTTGGACTCAAAACAAGTGAGGAGGATCCCCAAGGAGGAGATCTTTCGGTTTTCTTATCAGCTTCCTTCTCACTTGCTTTCAGGTCATGAATCTCCTAATGCTCCAAAGGGTTGCCGGGAGTTGGACCCGGCAGCTCTTCCACCTGAATTTCTTCAAGTGATAGCTGATGCAAAGGATATAGATATAGTGGAAAATCAGGCGACTGAGAGGGTGGACATTGTAGATGATGATGATGAAAAACCACGTGATAGAGGCATGCGAAATACTGCAGAAACAAAGGATCATCTTCCGCCAATACGAAAGCGCAAAAGGAAGCCAGCAGCCCAGCACTGTAAAAGATTTCGTAGTTACTCAACTGAAGTATGACAGTGCAGAACATTCAAGACGATTCAATTTCTTGACTTTCCTGTGGAAAGCTATCTGAATTTGAAGTTATTCCAGAAAATTTGTTCAGGACCTATCAATAATACAATCTTGTTGAGCCTTGGTCATCATGCTAAATATTGCACCCCTGTACTTTCAGGCTTTCAGCAAGCGAGTGAAGAACCGCTACTTGGTTGCAATTTGAAACAGAAACAATGAGGACTGATGTATATTCACAGGTTTCAGCCCAATGACAGACAGCTTGGCTCATTTGTCGAGTTTATTTGGCAACAAGTGAGTTGGGGGCTCCTCGAGTTCATGTAATATACGCTACAAGGCCTTTAAATATACAAGTCACACCTCAATTAGGCTTAGCCACAGTTGTTCTCACTACAATTGTTGTAGCTTAGGATTTTTTTATTTTTTTTTAGACACTAGTCTGTGTTCTTAGTTTATACTGAAGTGGTTTTATAAAGATCATCTGCTGAAGCAAAACAAACTTTACATTGTGATCTCAAGTCTACCCTTGGTTCTTATTCATAAACACTTGGGCGCGGTTATGATCACTGTCTCACTGATGCTTATGCTTCTACAATAATTTTCGACATGAATATAATTTAGTTTTCAAACCTAAAAAATTAAATTATAAATATACTTCCTAATTCAAATGATCTTGGCTTAAGTTGTTTTTTTTTTTCTTTTTTTATTTTTTTTATGGGAATTTTTGCTTAAGTTTGTTAATGACAACATTGTGAAAGCAGGCAAAATAAAATACTCTCTCCGTTCCATAATGATGTTCCTGTTTGGAATTTTTGACTTTTTAAAAATAAGAGAGAATCTTCTAAATTTCTTTTAATCTATAAGAACAAATATAGTCATGTGGGATCTAGTTTGATTCGTCTTGATGAGTAGATTAATAATATCTAACTTTTATAATTTTTTCTAGCGTGAAATTAAAGATATTTACGGTCAAAGATGGGTCAAAACTTGCATCGATTTCCGTAAATAGGAACATTATTTTGAAACGGAGTAAAAAATAGAGTTGCTTAACTACTTTTTGCGGGAAACTCTTAATGTACGTTCACAACTTCACACACCATTTAAAACCGCCCAAAAGCCCAACTGTTTATGATAAGTTGCCAAGTAAAGTGGGTTACCTACTCCTTTGGGTATGCTCAGCTGTATGCATTATATTTCATATGCACTCTCTTAACCTCTAACGACCAATTTGATAATTGTTTTAATGACAATAAATTACACCCAGTATGGAACAATTTTGCCAAATTTAAATAGTCATTATCAGATCCTATCGAATATTGTTGTTCTTTTTAATATGGGCTATAGAATTATAGATATAACCAAGACGGTGAATTAAATATGTCTCATCAATTTGTCACATAATTTTACAAGAATTCGATATTAAAAACTTGTTCTCTTCACTTAAACAAGGACATCTGGTCTGATTTTAATAAGATCTGATCTAGTCTGATCTAAATTTTTATTATCTGTTCTGGTCTGATCTGATTTAATAATTTGACTAAATTTTGAATGCATTTTAATACTAATCTATAAACAAAATTATTATCAAAATTGATCTGGTTAGATCCGTCTCATTATGAACTTTTCAAATATGCAATTTTCATAATTTTTTTGTAATACGCAATTAACGATATTTAGCAATAAGTAACTGATAATTAAAAGTTCTGATCTGAATGATTCTGGTCTGGTCTGATCTGATATAAATTTATTAAGAATAAGTAATAAATACATGAAATAAGTTAAAGAGAACATGTCCTAACTTACGTCAGTGTATTTGTAGTTCTGTACCACATGTACGATTATTCCTTTGAGTTGAATCAAAGGTAAAGCCGTAAAGGGATGTCTAAGACTCAAAGGCATCATTCCAAGGACCTCTCATTGTTCTCAACAAGAGTTCTATTGCCGGTATACCTTGAATATCAAATTCAAGAGTCAAGACATTAAGAGAATGAAATTATTCCAATGATACCAAGTACTTCCTTAACCATCATAAAAGATGTTCTTTTCGTGAGTTTTTCATAAGATAATCATCGTCCAAACAAGAATTTTTAGACACGTAAAGTGAACACTTAATTTTATATCAAAACAATATTATGGATGTGCTCTATCCACTTGATTTTCACTTATCAACTTATTTTAGTTGTAATTTGTATTCGGATAATCCTTTATTTTTTCTGAACTGAACTTATCTAAGCTCGATTGACTTCTTATTACACCTGAAATAAGTGAAAAATGAAAATAAGATAAAAAGAACATACCCTAACCGTAATTTATAATTGCTAATCTTTTTTTGAATCTATATAATTTATAATTAAAATTAAGTAATAAAATAAATCAATCTAATAGAAGTAGACAAGTAGAGTAGTACTTCCTCAATACTTGTTACAACGTTAATGAGACACATGAAAACGTGGCATCCACGTAGACAAAATAGACCAATAACAACATGCCATGTCATAGAGTTGACGTTTAAGACTTAATCCAAAAGCTTTCTCTCTCTTCTAATAAATTAGCTCTAAACCCATCAACAACTTTCTTCAGATCGACAAAAAAGCCGCGTTGAAGAGAGAGAAAGTGTTAGACAGAGAATTTCATTGTTTTTTCCGGAGTAAAGATAAAATCTTTCTTCTTTTTTCACATTTTTCGGACAATTCCCTGAAATTCTCCTGTTTTTCTTTTTTCAAACACCCAGTAATCATGGTATTTTTCTCTTTAATCCCTTTTTTTTTTATATGTAGTTTGATTTCGCTTTTTATAATGTTGTAATTTGATTTTGTGTTTATTATGAATTTCTCTCCTTTTGGGTTTAACTGGTAAAGTTGTGATCTTGTTGTTGAATTTTCAAATTTTTTGATTTGTTTGACTGAATGTTAATCAGATTCATGCAATTATAATTTCCTGTAGATTCTTGAATATGGATCTTGTTTGATTAAATTTTGAAATTGGTTTTTTTTTTTTTGTTGATAAAGTGTGATAAAGATCCGTCATTTTCTGCATGCAGATGCAAATTGCAATGCATGAACTTGTTGGCTTGAATTCTAACAACAAACCCAAATCTTAATATTTGATTGTTAAATTTTATAATTTTTTTTTTTGAATGTGGCGTAATATAATGTTGGAATTTGTGGATTTGGTAAACCACTTGTATTTGGTGTATTGATTAGATTGTAAAATTGTTCGATGATTTAGTGGTTCTTTAAGGTTAATTGAATTGAAATGTGGGTAATTGGGGTTTGATATGCCTGATTTATTTTGGTGGTAGAAGCAAAATTTTGAGAAAACCAAAGAAGAATGGTTATTGGTCTAGTGTATGAAAATGATACATGATTCATGATTGATATAAAATATGGTTGTTGCTAGTTTTTTTATTTTTTTTTGTTGGTGATTGTGCATTTCTATGTATAGTTAGTTTATGGTGTATACAAAGTTCAATTCCATTCACTCATCAAGTTTTATGTGAAGTTGTAAAGTTATGATTGAAGATTTTTCATATGCTTTGTAATGAATGTGCATTGATTGAGATTAGCATAATGGATTTTATATTGGCTATTGAATTGTTGGTGGGATATATGTATGTATAGATTGTAGAACACCCTATGAGGATTTGGCATCTAAATGACCCTTTTGCAATGTATGACTGCTCCATATTAGCTCATTGTGTGATGTGTGTCCTTTATGTAGACGACCTCAAGACGTGTTGCTGACAGGAAGAACGAAAAGTTCCAGAAGAACGTCACAAAGAGAGGCTTTGTTCCCGAGACTACTGTCAAGAAGGGTTCTGATTATCCCGTTGGGCCTATTTTGTTGGGTTTCTTTGTGTTTGTTGTCATTGGCTCATGTAAGCTTCTGTTTTGCTTTATTTCCTTGTTTCTAATTGTTGGTTGTGTATTCTTCAAAGCTATCCTTGGTTTGTAGGAAGAAGTTTACCTTCGTTTTTTACATTATTTATTGTCTGATATTACCACTGTCCTAGTGTTGTGACTATAGATTTGGGAATAGTTGAGGGCCTTGAGGATAATTGGGGTGTGGTTTGCATTTAAGCTAAGAAAGATGGCTTTGATTTCTGCAATTGCGAATATGAGAGTTTCCTTGTAAACTGGCCTCATTAACAGTTGCACGACATATTTGGGGTGTGATTTGCATTTAAGCTAAGAAAGATGGTTTTGATTTCTGCAATTGCGAATATGAGAGTTTCCTATAAACTGGCCTCATTAACAGTTGCACAACAATACAACATATACGAAGTAAAACATGATTTGATTTCTTTGGTATTTTTGAAACTGCTCTACCTAAAGTTTTGGACATCTTAGGATGCATAGCTGTAAACATTAAGGCTTATTACTTTATTTTCAGTTGGCAGCTTCAAGGTGTAGAAAGTCTAGAAACCCTTTCCCTGAGTCCTGACTAACTGTGAGTTTTGAGGGCTTTGGTTTGAGTATGCTAGTTATGCATGAACAAGACTACGCATGTGGACAATGTATTTTTTTTAATCTACTTTTTGTGGGTGATGTTCAACTGATTATCTTGTTATGTTCCTTTCTTTATACTGTACGGTTTTTTATATTCATGTTAGCAGACCCTAAATCATTTTGGGACTAAGGCTTTTGGGACTAATCCAATTCTCCAAGTGGCTTCAAGATTTGCAATATATTCCTTTTGAGGATTGACTCTACCTTTTTTTTGAATTAGAAAAGTCATATTCTGGTTGCATTTTCATCTTGATTCTTTATTCTCCATCTGCATCCTTCTTTGGTCGTATTACTCTCTTCATTTTTGTTCGCTGAGTACACACTTGACCTTTTGTACACATGATTCCTGATAGTTTGAAGTTATAAAATCTGTGGATAATAAAATCCGCGTTACTTGAAACTATTTTTCAAGAGAAACTTGGGAGGAAAAACCTTACATCTTATCTGATTGTTAGAATCAACCCATCTTTTGAATTGTTGACGAAAGTTTACAAATTTGTCATGAGGTTGTATAAGCTCTTTTACTAAAATTGTTTATTTCCTCCTCTTCAGCTCTCTTCCAGATTATCAGGACAGCAACAAGTGGAGGAATGGCTTAATCGCACAATGTGATGTTTAGCTCTTTCTCATATGTTTAGTCCACAGAAATAGTAGTAATCGAGATGAATGTACCAACTGTGTTGATCGAATGCAAATTTTGAATAAATAATAAGATGCAGTGATGCACATTCTCTACTCGACTCGCTTGTTTAACATGTTCCCTTTACTTACTGCTATTGCTTTGATGTTACACTTACAGTCTGGGTCAGTTCCAAAAATAGACAGTGGCGCTTAAAACAGAATGTAAGATACAGGATACTGAAATTCTTATGCGGAGTATAGGAAAATTATGTAATGCTGTTATTTCCGATACCAGTGTCTATAATATGTACATCCTTATGGAATGGTCGTCCAAAGTAGTTATTCGCTATTTCACTCCTTTCCCCCTTGACAAGAGAGTTAAAGTTTGTTAGATTGTTACGTACGTGTAGTTCGTTACATAAAAATTTCGGCTGGGATGGGTCATCCTCAGCTATGAGAGAGAATCATAACTCATCACAGATCCTTTCAGCATCACGAAGACTGGACATATAAAAGCAATACCTTTTTAATAGCAAAGACAATTGCTTAAGCAGTAGTTTTCAATGGATGAATGTTTACTTGTTTAGAAGGGAATCCCTCTAACCCTCCTGTCCTTGGACGTTGCATATTGTAATTGGCGATGTTCATGCTTATAGAAAGTAATAAAGCGCAAAATCTGTAGCAAATTGGCCATATAGATTTGGAAATGGTCATTTGTCTTCAAACAATCTAAACTATTGCAATGTGTTGAATCTAGCACATTTTAAAGATAATTTTCCCTAGTCCCTGCAGTATCAACTATCAACCTAATTTTGCATATAAGAAATATGATACAAGGGCATTTTTGGAAATATTCCTTCCTCTTTCTTCTTATCGAAAATCCATTTGTAAATCTTTGGTAAAGTCCGGTGCTTAACTAAGTATGCTACATGCTCAATTGCTCATGAGTCAATACTCAATAGGCATTGGGTGACTGCAAACTGTGTGTGCTGTGGAACAGATGATATGAGCACCGTTCAGTCTTTTTCTGTTTGCGGTGCTCTTCTCAACAAGTTTGAAGTGTATCAAGATCGATTTCGTGGCAATTACAGGTAATTCAAATTGTGCAGGAAGATTGCAGAAGGAGCCAAGACCCGTGTCTGGTGTACTCAAGCTCGTCGACAAAAAGAACTGTTGTGATATCTGGCTCTGGCATGAACTCTTGACAGTTCAGTTTGTTTGCAAAGATCCTAAGATCCGATCCTGTGGGATTTACAGCAATTAGTAACATACGAAGTAAAACTTGTGACAGATCCTTTCACAGAGATTAAGGACCTGTTCTCATACGTTTATTTTCAGTTCAGTTCAGCTCAGCTCCTAATTTCTTGCTATAAAATGTTCATTTTAGTTCAGTTTAGCTCAGCTCAGCTCAGCTTAACTCAGTTCAATATATGAGAACAAGCCCTAAGTAGACTACAGATGTTAAACCATATATAATGTTGGTTTCAAATTTTCCCTGAGTAATGAAGGAAACACTTAGATATTTGGCTCTGGTTGCTTTCACAGCCGGTGACCTTCATAATTACTCTGTTCACATGATTGTTATTCAAGCTCAGTCGAAGATGGGATACAAAGGTAAGATTTGTTATTCCAGGAAGCATGTTCAGAGACAATTTACTGTTACAACTTACAAGCCGCCAAGATGAAGCTCAATAGGAGGATTATGCATAGAATTGCGTCATCAAATGACACGAATCAACAAAAATTCTGTGTTTGTACCTATGGCCAAAATCGCATTTCGCGTGCTGCCTCTCAAATGATGCGATATGATGTTCAACCCACAGCATTAGAACAAAAACAAAACATTGCCAAACAAATAATAAGTACTCCGTAGTATATCAATTTTACATGACACTGTCGGATGTTACGATTTGCAAGTTCTACAATACACTGCTCAGCAGGTTCTTAATTTTGTAATAAATAAAATTAAAACAACAAACTTTCGTGTATTCAAACACTTGCGTAAAGGATAACTGCCATTGTATTCTTACAATCAAAGTATTCTTGCAGGGTACTGAAGCCTGAATGTTGCAGCATCTGAAAACATGGAAAGTACTTGGCAAGGAATAAAAGAATTAAAACAATTAAGGAACCGCGGTAAGGCAAGGGTTAAAAGCAGTTCCACAAGCAATCCATTGCCGTTTCCTCCCACGTGGAAGAACACAACCAGGAACCTTCAACCACTCCCGTTTCGCCACATCATAGGTGACGATCCGGTTCATCTGTCGTGACCGCAGTGACAGCATGAGCAAACTCTTGTTGCCCAAGCAAGTCATCCGCACGTGCTTTCCGTAAAACTCTAAGCACCATACATTTGGCATTCTGTCAACCTCCTTCCACAAGAGCGTCATTTTCTGAAGCTCCCATACACACACACAAGTGGCGGCATTCTTTGTCAGCAATCCCACCAAGAAGATTCGGCCTCCACACTCCGCAAGGTTGTGGTCGGTCGAGTTTGGTGGGGTTGGGATGAGATGTTGCTTCCAAATCCCACTCACCATGTCATAGGACACAATCCCATCAGGTTCCGACCTCATGAAGTAGATCGTGGCATCGACAGACACCGTATTTGATCTAAAATTCAGTGAAAGTGGGAGCTTGATTCCTGAGGGCAAATTTCGCGGGCGTGCCCAAGTGTTCTTTAGAGAGTCGTAGATTTCATACTCCCCATCACGACCGAACCATAGTATCTTGTAGCCACGTGTAGTTGAATTTCCATATTGATACATACCGACAGCAACACGGGACCAGACCTTGACAGATCTTGGAGGGAGCTCTTTCCAAACCTGGGTCAGAGGGTTACATACGTAAAACAACCGATGACCTATATCAAGGAAGCAGACAAGACCCCCTACAGAAGCAACTGGCAACAGGATAACCTTTGGAGGAAGTGGAGGGATGGTAGGATGGCGCCATTTCTTTGCAGAAGGATCATAAATAGCCCCTGTGTTCACATTTTCATGAGTTATGGTGTAGAACCAAGGTTGTGATTGAGACACTTGGGTACAGTGTTCTGTAAAGCTCCTCGAGGTAAGCATGCCATTCCATTTCCGACACACTGAACGGAAGCGGAAGAACGTAGCGATGGGAAGCCTAGCAACGACTGCCTCCAAAAGGTCCTCAGGAAATTCCTTCCAGATCTCCTGACTCATGTTTTCACATGAGTTTGAGGATCCAGAATGCTTTCCACGATTTCGTTCTTTCCGAGATCTCTTGGTGGGAGGTGGCTTATAATGATCAACCATTTTTAAAATCCCAGGTTTTTCAGCTGGCATGATGACACTATTGCAGTTTTCTTCCACGAGATTGTCATCAAGATTGAGGAAACAGCAACTGTAAAAACAGCAGAAATAAATCAAATAATTATAAGCAAATATGCCTTTTCAGCATGTAAAACAATAAACAATATCTTCAAATCATCATGAGGATCAGTATAAATAGTTTAAGGTCTGCAAATACAGCAAGGATTTTTAACATTAGATACAAGGAAACTGTTTTCACTCCCAAATTTTCATAACATTCCCACCCTCTCACATAACAAGATTAAGAGAGGGAGTGCAGCAGCTATATGTGGAATACAAATATCAACGAGGAACCACTGTGATCGACTTAGGAGTGATTGTTCTCTGTAGACTGAGCAATACAGCATGTAAATGGCATTGTCCTTAAATCAAGGATATCCAAATAAATAAAACATATTATGTATAGGTTCAAGTCAAGAGTGTAAATGCAACCATATTTTAAAATCCAATTAGGTCATTGTCCCATCACAGTTAAAGAATGAAAAAGTTAAAAGCGAGACCTACTCAGTCCCAGTAATGACAAAAAGCAGGGATGGCACTTGATTACCCCAATAGTCTAGTTGTATATAAAGCCAACTCCATTCCAAGTACAACTAAATCACAGATCAACGACAGAGATCACTAACAGAGTAACAGGTATTGATGTTTAATCCTTCTAAAGCTTGATAAATAGCATCCTCATATAACATAGTAATTAGAAATTGTATATTCATCCACCTGATGCTTCAAAAGCTTTGAACCACAAAGATAAATGTAGCAAGATGAATAGTGTTTGGATGATAAATCCAGAAGAAAAAGGGAGGGACAGTGAGGGATTTATCTTCCCTAAGTTCAATATGGAAAGGGAAAACAAAAGGTAATACTGTTTTGAAGGTCGGCCACATTGTCTATATAGAGTTAGCTTCAATGCGTTGAAATACAATTAATTCTAGCAAAAATTTATTCAAAATTCCTTCCAATTTTACTTCTATAACACCAGCAGTAGGCCTCAGCTCAACCTTCATCTATCGCACAATACAAGTCACGATGTTCAACACTGAATGAATGAACAGTAAGCAATTTAGGCCATTACTTTGGTGAAGTAGATGCAACTCATAGTAGAAACCAACTTGTCATTCTAATTTTTATAATCAAAAACAGACTTCATGCCTTAAAATCTCTAACCCTAAATCTTAAACCACCACTGCTCTGCCCCCCACTCCAATTAGAAGGAATAACAGTCTAAACACCCCTTCAAACTGACAATTTTCATGAGGTAACACTCCAAACATGCCTTAACATTTTTTTCTAGAAAGAAAAAAAAAAAAAAAAAGGTTCACAGTCAATGAGGTATGAGAGATGAGCAAACTATTAAGCCAAAAAAGATTTGGATGAATTTTGTACTTCTCTTTATCTAATACAATGACTAAATAATAACCAAACAACATCTTTCTGAATGAAACAACTGCCATATCACTCCCATTGGTATGATGGCAGGACAATCAGAATAGAAAGCTCCTCAACCATAGCCATAAACATCTCTGCCTTTTCTTCTCCTGTTCACTTCAGTCCCCTTCCTCTATAAATAACCCTAGTAACACCAATCTCAAAGGCCATCCGACACCCAGCTCTTCAGTGGTTTGCGACTTCCCGGAAACTACTACTATATTTAAATTGTTTATCTCTCAAGTTTTTCATAGCCCCATTGGGGCTTTGACACTATGTATACATTTAGAGACCTTATATTACACTGCCATCCACCGTCATCAACATCTGATACTCATTTATCCTTTTAGTAACTCTTTAAGGTCAACCTCATATCAACTCAACCTAACATTAGAAAACGGTTTCTGAAGTAGAGAGTTGGCCTTGGAACAATATAAGAAAATCATGTACTTAGGGAAAGACCAATCCACATCCTTCCCAATTTTCCATATCCTGCTTCAGCAACAGCCAAGTGCAATTGAGCTGCTTACGAAATGGTTTGATGTTTCTTTCTAAAGTGAATTCATGCTCAAGTACGATCCAACAATAGCACATTGTAACTTTGACAAACGCCTCGAATTAATTTTCATCATATCACGCAGATACAGGCATACAGCTAACCTTAACGGCATAATATCATGTGGTATATTATCCATAATATCACACACATACACCTTATAATATATGAAATAATCTAGCAATTAAAAGAAAAAAATATCATTTAAGATAGCTCTGCATTTCGCTACGTAAGTACATAGTAGTAATTCATTGGAGCTTCACTTTAGTGATTAGTGTAGTCATTTAATCATTATTCCTCACTGTATCTATGATTCTATGCTTACTGTGTATATCATCATTCATTTTGAAATTTGGTAATAAGATGACACATAAAACATAGTACATTTTAAGGTTGCAGCCTGAGGTGAGCATTACTACTTTAAATGGGAAGACAAAATTTAGGCGTATGTTTAAAAGAGAAATAATACTTCATTTCAGAGACAGCAAGATCTCATAATCACATTCTCACCTTGACATGCATAAAATCTCAAGGAAAAAGAAAACTACTAAAGATGTGTTCAATTAGGGATAACATCCTTTCTTGAGGAATATAAAATCATCATCATCCCCTCCTCTCCCTACCCTCCGCCCCCATCTCATCCCCCCACCCCCCTTGACAATTGATTTGGAGTAAGTCTCACCATGTTAGCGTGATTGGCTATCCTACATAGATAGTGCCCCCTCATACCATGATTTTCCAAAGGCTTCATTGCCTTTAATGGAAACTTTTTTCTAATGTAGAAGTAATTCCAATCATTACTTTGAATGGAAAACTTTATTCCTCATTCACTTCACCAAAAATGCCAATTAAACCCTAGAAGAGTAGAAGCATACCGTTACTTACCTAAAAGGCTAAAACAATATAATACCACCAACTATACAATAATATTCATACATATAAGCACCAAATCCGAGCTACCTCATTGAAAACCTTACAACCGTGTGTCAATACAATCTACCAAACCAGCCACTTTCCACCCAACAAATTAACACTAGGTTGTTGAGTGATTGAGTCCATCACTTAACTCGAAATCAGAGCAAGTTCGAAACAGGATCTCAGAGTGTCTACAACTAAGCCAAGAGGTTATCTCCCAGCTTTCTACTCCCTACCAATCGTAGGTATTACATGACACGACATGACAGGCCTTGCCATGGTAAAAAGGGAATCATTATAATCACTGTTATTCATCATTAAGACCTCAATTCAAAGCTCAAACAACCACATGGACAAATTTCAATCACTTACAATCAAAATTGCATATTAGCTAAATCCCAGAAAACTCATAGCTACCCCAATCAAAGGGTTTGAATAAATAGCTAAATTAATCACAATAACATGAAAAAAATCAATTAATCACAAACCCAAAAATCATAATCATTCACAAATGAAATTAATAAATTACCCACAAAAAATTGAATAAAATGCAACAATAAAAACCCAAAAAGAAAAAACCATAAAAATAAAAAATAAAACAAACCCACAAACAAAAACAACCCAAAAAACCGGATCAGATGAGAAATTATACCTGGGGGAGGAAGAAGACGAATAAGAGTAAGAGTGAAGAAGAGGATGAGAATGAAACGATGTCGTATTATAGCCGTAAAGTTGAGAGAGTTCATGAAAGTGAGAAAGAAGCTGCCTAAGCATGGCAAGCTCTTGTTCCATAAAACCAAAACCTTGGAAATTAATTAATCTTCAATTTCCTCTGAAATTTCTGGGAAATCTTCCTTGTTCTGAAATCTCAAAGAAAAAGAAGGATTCTGGAGAAGAAGAAGAAGATGAACAAACCAAAACCACTACTACCCTTCTTCTTCTTTTCCATTGTTTTTCTTTTCTTTAACTTTCTCTCACCTGTGATTTTTGTGGCTTTATTTATCTGCCTTTTTTTAATTTTTTGTTGTTGTTCTAATTATAATTACAGTATAATTATTGCTTTGTTTTTGTTGTTGTTAAGTAAAAATGTAATCTTTAGATTTTTTTTTTGACAATAAAAAAGTAATCTTTAGATTATTTGTAATGTAAGTACACTAGACCACCTACTCGTAATTTTTGCAACGTCAAATATATCAACCGTGCGATTTGCGATATCATTGCTTTGTATTGACCCGTACGCAAACCATCTTCCGGGGGCTTTGTTTGTTGAATGAGTTTTAAGGAGGGTTGGTCACGGCCAATGGGCCGTTCATCTTGAGTTTGTTTCGGGTTTTATTATGTTTACGTAATGTGATACTTTGTTTTATAATTGGATATTTTTAGGTTATTTTAGTACGGAGTTATATAATTGAAATTCTTATTGGTGTTTAACTTTATATTTTTAGTATATATAAACCTTTTAAGTTGAGTAATTTATTCACGCGGGAATGAAATTGCTTAAGATGGAGTAATCTTTTAGCAATCGATGGAGGAAGTTTTTGATGAAAATAAAATTAATGTTGGCTTTTGATTTTTCAAGTTGATAGAACCACCATTTATGTCAAAATAAGGTATGATGTTTTCGGTATTGAGTCCAGCAATATGGCTCAATTTATCGAATATGATTCAGTTTTCTCAAGTCTAGTTATAGCAAGATACCTCTAGTTTTGTTAATAATGCCACTATGTCAAACTTGATAAAAGTTTTAGATGATTAATAACATATTTACCAATCAAAAATGTTATTCTATGCTTCTATTAAAGCTATGTGCTTTGTGTGCGGCTACCCACACCAGGTGACCGCTTGTAAAATAACAAAATAAACTCTGTCACACTTACCGAATAACCCCTGTAACACTAACCGAATAATCCTTCACAGCAAAAATTACCAAAAGTAGGATCCACATCCTTGAAATCTCACGAAAAAACAATTATGCCCTCGAAACCATGAGATGTAAAATAAAAATTAAAAAAGGATTTATAGAGAAAATAAAAGGTGTGGGCTTTCTGTATTGGATTCCTTCTTGAAAAGTGATGGGGTTGGAATTTTGGTTGCATAAATTCACAAGCTACATATTCTTCGGACCGCGTTAACATCATGCACCTTTGAATATTTTTCCTTACAAACAAAAATAATTTCATAATTTTGCACCCAAAGTTTCTTAAATTAATTACTTATTTTTGATGGATTTTTGTGCCGTATTTATTCTTTAGGCCCACCACAATTTTGCCTTTACATCATGATTTTCTTATATTAAAGGAAGTATCTACTAAATTTCTTCGAACTTTTCATGTTTTGTCCATTATTATTAGTTCTCTTTGAACGTAATTTTGGTTTTTACCTTAGTTTTGTATATGTCTTTCCATTAACAAAGTAAGGTCCAATCCAAGTGCTTTATGATGGGTTTTTTCTTTCAAAAAAGTTATTAAAGCTTCGTTAGTCATCATCAAGTCTTGTCAATGACATAGTACTTCTCATAGAGTTAATCAACTCTAATTACAAAAGTTACATGTAGTAAGGCTCTATTATCACCAACTTAGGGCATGTTTTGATTTATTAAACTGAGTTGAATTGAACTTATTAAAGTTGAATTGAACTGAAAATAAGCTAAAGAGAACAGACCTTTAATTAATAAAGTTAAGTTATTACGCTTTTTTACTTGTATGAATGTATTTGAACCCTTGCCTAAACTGTCTAGAAGTTGATAGAGCTTATGATAATTAATTTTAATTATGAATTGAACTTGAACAATCCTAGTGAAACATAATACCTCCATAAAAATGTCGTCGCGTGGCATCCTCCTTGTGTCATATTGACATCGCTTGCTTGGTTACACGAGGACAAGGGTTGGTAAGAGAGGGAAGGGATGTCAACAAAGAAAAAAAAAGAGTAATAGATGTACATATTGTCACCTTCCATTATATTAACCAAAAAAAATTAAACTCTTTAAATTTGTATATAGTAATATAGTCTTATAATATACAGTAATTCCAACCTAAACTTCCACCAAAAAAGTGTACGAAAAATACCTAAATGAGAAAAATGAGCCAAACCCAAATGATGCCACAACCGCCACCCCTCTCCCTCGTCACATAATTCACATTGCGGTTAGTGATTGTTCCTTCAAGCCATCACCTTTATGCACAACATTATTCTAGTATATATGTTCCTTGTACGATTTGTGTATACATTATTAATTACCTCTTTCAATAAAGTTATTTAATAAACCCTCTACCCTAAAATGTTAGGTGATTTGTAAGTTGGTTGCATTTTAAAAGTTTCAATATTTATATTCTAATAAAAGTAAGATTTATACATAATCTTTAATCCATCTCATCTACTATAATTTGTCTCACTTGTCTACTCATTACACTACATGTGTAATACTTATAATTTATGAGATCTTTTAAAAGACACCCTTATAACTTAATATAGTTACAGAGGTGCGTTAAACAGATCGGGTATATGTGTAAAAGGCAAATTAATAAAGATTTAAATTATTAACTAACTTATACTAACCAAACCTTTTTTTTTTTTTTTTTTTTTTTTTTTACAATAGCAAAAGCAAACCAAACTTCTCTATGTACTTAAGTTTGACTTTTTATTTATTAATTTAGTATCATTAAAAAGTATTGTACTGTATATAGATAAGAGTTCGAAAGAAGTGAAAGTTTATAATGTTGCCTACACTTGTGAAGTTAAGAGATCAAGCCCAATGAGGCGAAACTATTTATAAGCGTTCAACACGCTATTGAAGAACATATACATAATAGACGACACTCTTTTGATAACCTAAGGTGTTCGATGCATGGAAATTTGATTATAATTAGTTTATAGATTTATCTTCGTTTTTATAACTACTTTCATCTATTAATTTTGATTGAACTCACTAAAAGTATTATAAAAAAAATTAAAATTAAAATAATTATAGAGCCTTGTTAAATTTTTTTCCATGTGTAACTATTTAAGTTTATAAACTACTACAATTACTAATTGAAAAATATATAGTTAATAAATCTATTATTGGAATTTATAATTGATCACATACAATGGAAAATAAGTACAAATGCGTTACATGTGAATAAAAGAAAAAAAAATTGATGATTATTCGTGACAAAAGAAAGTCATGCTAATGATGATGGAAAATAGATAAGTGGAGGTAATAAAGATGGTAAGGTTATTATGTTAATGATTACAAGAAATTAATTGAGAAAAACCCAAAAAATAAATAAAAAATAAATAATGAAGTAGCAAGTTAGTATTATGTAAATGTAATGATAACATGAATGTTTTGGAGGAGAGAAAATTGGGTGGAGTGGGTAAGTATAATTGCTCATTATGATCAGCATCATGATTGTTCCCCTTCTTTTACGTGTGCCTTGATTTATCTTTAGCTTCTTTATCAATCACAATCAGTTTATTAGTTTACTAACCCCCAAATTACCACTGTTTTAGTCTTTTAAGTAATCTATAATATGATGGTTAATACCAAAAGTTTCTGCTACAAATCATCCACAACTCCCGCCTCCCCTCAACTCCTCTTTTTTTTTTTTACATACCCTCTTCTCGACCGCCTTTTTTCCGAGCTCGAAAATTAGAGTTGGACATGGATGGGCCGTAAGTCTGTAATAATAATAGTGTGTCTTGTCAATCTTCAAGTGAAATCATGCCAGATGAGTTGAGAAAAGTGTCACCATGTAAAGAGTTTGTGTCAATTTATCATACACAAAGCTTCATGCACGACCTGACCCACATGTTATAAACCGATAAAAAAAAAAGTTAAAAAAAAAAGGGTTGGCTCATCAAATTATGCTAGTACTAAAGCTTGAAATTTATGTTCATTCTTAGCCCATGGCCCATTGGTGTGCTTCTTATGTATGTTGTGTTTCATGTGTTGAGCTTGCGTAGGACTCATGCTAGTTTTGGCTATTTTTAAACCGGGCAGTCCATGACCAACTTTATCGAATTTTATAAAATTGCTTCAAGCTATGTATTGTGTTGTTTTATGGATTGTTGCAACTTACAAGAGTTACAACTAAAGATGGCATTTGCCGGTATGACCTGTTAAGGTTGTTATATATTGAAAAGACACAACATGATACGGGCACTGGGTAAGTATAAAAAAACACATAATTTTACATGTAAGATTTGAGTTACAATTTTTTAAAAGTAAAACACGAAACACACACACACAAGCAAATAAACAAACAAACAAACAAAATTGAGCCTAGCATGTCAAGACATTAGGGTGGGAAACTGGGAAATAATGGCATGTTCTCAAGTTCCTTTGTTGAATTTTGGCACATATTCTTAGGTGCACACTCATGCACCTAGAAATAAGTGTAAAAACAACACCATATGAACATTAGCTTTTCAGAAAGTGAACATTAGGTTTCTTCCCTTTATTTTTCTCCTTCATTTTTTTATTTTCTCTCTCCTCTGTTTTTTTTTTATTTATTTTCCCCCTTTTTTACACTTTTTTTATTGAATTTGTTTCTTACAACATGAAAGTAGTTATTAAGTATGAATTTTTGTGTGAATTTCAATTTTGTGCCTTAATTTTGATTGATTAAGGTATATATGAATCTTTGAATTTACAAATTATACTCTATTTTTTCTCCTTCCTTCTTTAATTCCTTTTTCCTTTATTTTTTTTTCTCTTCTATTTTTCTCATTTTTTCGATTTAATGATTGAATATGTTACTTACAATATGGAATTGGTTGTTTATTTGATTTTTTGAATTCATATGAATTGTTTTTTTTTTTTTTTTTTTTTTTTTTTTTTAGCTTTGATCAATTTCATTTGTGTATGAATTTCATTTGATTTTCTGCATTTTTTTATCAATGAACATAATCATGCAAAATATGAACATATGCATAGGTTCCCTCAAATGTGAACATTAGCTTTTCAGAAAGTGACACATAAGCATAAAACATATGAACATATGCATTTAAGAAAGTAAACATAACAATTCAAAATATGAACGTAAGCATTGGTTTCCTTAAAGTGAATATAACCATTTAAAAGGTGAACATATGCGTAAAAAATATGATCATATGCATTTAAGAGAGAGAAAATATGCATAAACAGACTTAATGAGAACAACAAATATTTACTTTGAATATTTACATTATGAACATATAAAATATTATTATGAATATAAGGCATTTTATTATGAACATTCAAAATTGAAGAAATAAAAATAATATGATTATGAAACATATGCATCATAATTCATAAGTATTAAAAATATGAACATATGAATTCAAAATATGAACATATGTATTGGTTCATTTTTGAATGCGTATGAACATAATTAAGCATTTCAAAAGGTGAACATATACATAAAAAAATATGAACATAAGAATTTAGAAAGTGAATATAAGCATTTCAGAAAGTTTAAAAACGGATTCAAAATATGAACATAAGAATTCAAAATATAAACATATGCATTTCGAAATGTGAACATAAAATATCCGTTTGATTTCACTAATTTTTTTGACAATTCCAGTAATAAATTTCGAACAATATTCAAACAAAATTAAGTGATAATCATATAAATTCAAACAAAATTAAGTAAAATTTACATAAAATTGCTTTTTTGGGGAGGATCCTTTTGATTTTGCATCTCTTTCCTAATGTCCATTGAAGTTTTTGCAGTTTTTTAGTGAAAGAATGAAATAGAGGAGAGAGAAAGTGGAAAAGAGGAGAGAGAAAATCATATAGAAGAAGATTTTTGAGTTTGGAAATGACGTTACATTTATTAGGTGTGGATGGGTGTATTGCAATTTTCGTGTTTTTTAGTTTTAGGGCTTTTTTTTAATTGAGTTGTGTGTAATTAGGCTTTTGGGCTACGTTGTTACACCTATTTAAGGTGCACAAGGGTGCACCTTAGACTAATTGGAATTTTGGCATTGTACATCATTTAACTATTGGGCTAGGCCTGACCAGGCTCAAGCCACACAAGCTTGGCTTGAAACATGACCCACAAACATGTTAAGTTAAAAAACAAGGTAAAAACTGTCAAAATCTAAGAATCTCAAAATACAATGACGCTCCATAGTGCATCTCAAAATTTTAAACTCCGGTGTAAAGTCATCAAAATATAAAAATCTATGTACTTAAGGATATATGTATTACGAGTATTAAGGGAGAATGATCAATCATTCAATCCACATAGTATCACACATTCACACCTCTATTGTGATCTCATTAGTGAGAATGCGATTAAGTTTGGTCAAGATCCTATAGAAAAGTTAACGAAGATCAAAATTTGTAAGACAATTCAAGGATCTAACTGAAAAGAAAGCATTGAAGACTCAAGAGGCATCAAAGACTAGACATAATGGCTAATTTAAGTGGGTGGCATAATTACGTACAATTATTTGGTCAAAAAAGCATATAGATTATGAATGATCAAGACCCTGTCAAAAGAAAAGAGTGATCAACACATCTTTTTTGGTAAACTACTGAAAAAAATGTGTTTACATTAGTTCACCTCATTTTTCAGCAACTGTACTTCTGTACGGTAATCTTATAGTGAGTGTAGTGGGCTTTGGACATGTGTCCAATTTACACATTAAGCCCACTTCATAAGATCATTAACAAAAAAAATAGGCCCAACTAATGAACCTTACCAACTTAAAAGTTTAAACTACCAAAAATATAGTTCTACTGCCGATTCATAATGTTCTTTATGTTTTTCACCTTTGTTCATTCGTCTTTGTTTTTGCTATAAATTATTACACTTTTACCCGCTTTACTCTACAGGAAAGGATTTTTTTTGTTTTTCATTTACTTATTTTTGCTACATATTACTCCAGTCTAACACCCTAGATCTCCAATTTTAAAAAATTGTGGAAACAGAGGTAATACTTCATATGATTTCCGCGTCAGTGTAAATGATGTTTACTTTTCTTTTATTATTCTCGAAGTGTGACATCTATTATGAGACATTGGAAGTAAACAAATTTTAAGTTCCAAATTTATTTTGAAGCACCTTGATCCATATGGATCTACAATACAAAACATTACAACCAATTTATAAAAGGCCCAAATCATATAACAAGTCCAAGCTATTATTCATAGTTTTTATTTTTTATTTTTTAATAGAATACAAGTACAATTATTCATTCAATTGAAGGAAGTTTGTACTTGAGGTAAGGTTGAAAGTTAAACTTAACCCAAAACCAAGTATAGAAAAAAGAATGTGACTCAACAATACCATACTTGCCAATATAGTTGTTAGCTAAATAATTCATTCATACCATGCATATCATCTTTTCAATCTAATTACTACCCATTAATTTCTACTAGCTAAAATTCTTCCCTTTAAATCCCATTTTCCTCCTCTCAAAAATCAAGCAATTAAAACACTAACAAAAAAAATATGGGAACACAATTGTTAAACCAAGTCCCCTTAGAGGAAGAAGAGATAATTTTCCGAAGTAAGTTCAAGCCAGTTCCGGTTCCAAAAAACATTAGCTTACCGGATTTTGTGCTCCAAGACGCGGAGTTATACTCCGATCATGTGGCATTTGTTGATGCAATGACGGGTAAGGAGTATACTTATGGTCAAGTAACAAGAGACACAAAAAGGTTTGCTAGGGCCTTAAGGTCACTTGGCCTAAGGAAAGGGCACGTTGTTATTGTTGTCCTTCCAAATATGGCAGAATATGCTATTGTTGCTTTAGGTATTATGGCTGCTGGTGGTGTTTTTTCCGGTGCAAATCCGGCAGCACACGTCTCGGAGATTAGCAAGCAAGTTGAGACCGCTGATGCTAAGCTTATTGTTACCAATGGTACCATATATGAAAAGGTTAGTGTTACCTAAAGTATTATACTTGCATTAATTGATACATAACTATCATAAGTACTTCTTTTGAATTACAGTATAAGGTTAAAAAAAAAATTGGCTAAAAGGTTAATACTCAATTAGGCATGCTATAAAATATGAGGCAGTTAATAATTAGACTAAGATGAGTCAGAAAATATAAAATAATATGACATTGCATAACAGAAATTAGATGGTTTCTTTAAAGTACCATGGCGAACACCAACTTTTTATGGAATTATTACCTGTAAGCCCGGCCTAATTCGGTCTGTCTATTAGCAGACCGAATAATCAGGCCGGCTATATATAAGGGTCAAGTATGCAAACCATATTTAATAATGCAATTTTGACTAACCTAGTCTAGCTCAATTGTGTTTGTAGGCCCAAATAGTGGGTTATGGCTGGGTTAGCCCAATCCGTTATCATTTTTTTTTCTTGTAACATACAATAAAATTTAAAGGTCATAGTATTGCATTTAAAAGAAAAAAGAGTTGATTTCGCAATTGAACTAACTCAACATAACTAGTTCAAAGCAATTAAGCAAGCTAGTATACATACAACTCAACATGCTCATTTTAGGCCATGTTTTGATTTTGAGTACATAAATGTATAATGTACTAACATTAACAAGTACTAAAAATGCATAACAGGTTAAGGAATTGAGCCTACCAAAAATCATCCTAGGAGAAGAAAGAATTGGAGGAAATTCAGGAGCAATCTACTGGGAAGAACTCCTCCAAGCAGCCGATAAGACGAACATGAACCACTTCTCCGAGCCAATTCAAGAAACTGATCTTTGTGCACTCCCATTTTCATCAGGAACAACAGGAATGTCTAAGGGAGTTATGTTAACTCATCGTAACATCGTCGCTAACCTTTGCTCTACCCTCTTTAGTTTGCCTAAAGAAGCAATAGGCAAAGTTACCATCCTTGGTCTAATGCCCTTCTTTCACATATATGGTATCACAGGAATATGTTGTGCTACCCTTAGAAATAAGGGTAAGGTAGTTGTTATGGGGCGGTATGAGCTTCGTACATTTTTACATGCTTTGATAACTTATGAGGTTAATTTTGCACCTATTGTACCACCCATTATATTGGCCTTGGTTAAAAATCCTATTGTTGATGAATTCGATCTCACTAAGATTAAGCTTAAAGCTATCATGACTGCTGCTGCTCCTCTAGCACCCGAAATTCTCAATGCATTTGAGAAGAAATTTCCTGGTGTACAAGTACAAGAGGTACGCTTTTTAAGCTCAAACTTATCACTGTTAAAGAATCAAGTCAACCAAAATTTTAAGCTGACGGTTGAAGCAGTGCAGGATTCATATATTAATTGGTCTATATGTTTGAACTTGCTAGGCATATGGACTGACGGAACATAGTTGTATAACTCTAACTCATGCTGAACCAAGTCAAGAACATGGTGGCATTGCTAAGAGGAACTCAGTAGGGTTCATCCTACCGAATATTGAGGTTAAATTCGTCGATCCTGAGACAGGCCGATCACTCCCTAAGAACACACCCGGTGAGATTTGTGCTAGGAGCCAATGTGTTATGCAAGGTATATATGTACATAATTACTTAGCTTGTAACAAGGTATGTTAATTAATATTGATCAATACTATATAGTACTTAGGAAAATTAAATATAATGTAACAAGGTTATTACAAGAACGACGAGGCAACTCAACAAACTGTGGATAAAGATGGTTGGCTTCATACCGGAGATATTGGATACATAGATGACGATGGAGATATCTTTATAGTTGACCGTATCAAAGAATTAATTAAAGTCAAAGGCTTCCAAGTAAGTTTTAATTAAACTTGCCTTAACATAACGAATTAAATGTACGTACAGTTATAGTATAAGGTGCATTAAGTAACGTGTTACAATAATATGTTACAATAATATGCGCAACCATATTATGTTACAATATACGAGTAATATTGGTTTTGTAGGTTGCTCCGGCTGAATTGGAGGCTATCCTTCTCTCTCACCCTTCAATTGAAGATGCAGCTGTGATTCCGTACGTATTTGTTGTTGTTGTGATACGTGAGGTTTCTTAACACGATTAGGACTATTGTTTGTAAGCGTTTTAAAATCTTGTCGAATTTGAATGCAGGGTGCCAGATGAAGATGCAGGGGAGGTTCCAGCTGCTTGTGTAGTAATCAATCGAAATGCCAAAGAAAGTGAAGAGGACATAATGAAATATGTTGCATCAAATGTTGCAAGTTATAAAAGAGTGAGATCAGTTCATTTTATGGAAACAATCCCAAAATCTCCATCTGGGAAAATCATGAGAAGGATCCTCAAGGACAAAATCGCCGAAAAGATCAAGGCTAACACCAAATAAGCTTAGATAAAAGTATCGTTAGTTGTACTAAATTGTACACGTGCTAATGAAAATTGGCGACAAAGAATTTACATGTTTGTGTTATTATAGATGTTTACTACAAAGATTTATCTAAAATTTGTTTCACTTACTTAAAATGATAATTTCATGGGTAATTAAACGGAATCTATCTCTTTTGAGTAAGTCAATTTTTTCTATTAGAAAGCCAATTGACAAATGATGGCTTATAGGGGGATCAATTTCCAATTTAGGGAATGAATCTCAACCTTTCAACACTAGGAAGAGGCATCTTAATTAAACATAATCAATAAATTTATTTAATTAGTTGATTAATTAATGAATAAACAATATCAAGGAAGCGAAAAGGGAGGAATCCAGTTGGATCATGTACCTCAATTGCTAAGTTGTTGACATTATTATCCCAAAGAAGAAAAGAAAGATGTACTTAGAACTATGTCCACGTGATTAAGGACTAACCTAATCATCATGATCAGCATCAATTGGGAGTTTAGGGCCTTGTTTAGTTCAACTTATTTTAGAAAAAAATAAGTTCAGATCAGATTAGACCGAATCAAATCAAATCAGACTAGATCACATCTGATCAAATTAGAAAAGCAAAAATGAGGTGAACCAAACAAAACCCTAACTCTCGACCGTCTCCTATTTACAGCCACACACGTTTGATTGAACATCATTTTTAATGAGCAAAGTTGATATATAACCGATAAATATTTATGAGACGAAATTTTATACGGAGTATTGTATTTTTACATTTAGATTCTTAGTCATTCCCCAGTTAATTTTTGTTTGATTTTGCGAAACCTATCTTCTTTGTCGTTAATTGTTAATTTTAGATGTCGTATGACTTTAATCAATAAAAACTAGTGTCCTTTAGGAGGACTTATAATTTATTTATTTTTGTAAAAAAAACCAATAAATATTTAAATTTGTAGAATTTCTTAAAGCTATTCTAGGAAGAAGAATATCATCATTAATAAATAACCATATGACATCTAAAATAATAATAATAAAGAATTTCTTAAAGCTATTCTAGGTTGCATTATTGAAGGGAATCATTAACGTTATCTAACATATATATTTTTAAAAATTATAAAGGGGTAACGATTAATAATAATTCAACAAGTTGCTTAGTATAATAATGAATTAACCATAAACGTATCTTAATTAGGAGGCTAATTGAATGAGCTAAAAGAGGAATACTGCCCATAAAACAGTGGGCTAATTAAGAGCTAATACACCTGACAATACGTGGTTAGTCAAATCTAAAGTGGGCTTAATTATAATTAAATCCCACCAATCGCATTTAATTAATTCCAATAACCTGGGCGAACAATGTGAACAAGTACAAGTTGCTTAAAAATTAACATATCATCAGCAAAGTGTACTTACCTAGGATAACATTTCCTCCATCCTAGAGTATCACAAAAAAAAAGATTCATTAGCCAATTTGATGATTTTAATAATATTATATCCCTATTATTAATTAATTAATTAATTATTGGTAGTTAATTATACTAAAGTTGATAATAATACTCGTACTACATAATGAAAGCACATCAACTATATATCTACCTTTTCCACATGCAAATTAAATCATCTTCATCTATATTAGTTTCACATTTTGTTTTGGCCTTTGGAGGATGGGGTGAGGGAAGGCAAACAAAAAGAGCTACTTACGTATGTAGATTGAATATTGGTCTAGAATTAGGGCATGCGGTTCATTTCATCTTGTTTTTGTTAAATTGAAATTATTTTTGCTGAATTGAAATTATTTTTATTGAGCTGAAATTAAGTTTACTGAATTGGAATTATATTTGCTGAACTAGATTTATTTTTACCGATTCTCTTATATATTTCTTCTTTGAAGGTACTTATTTTTACTGAACTGAATAGTTTTTTTTAAGGTGAAACGAAGGGCTTTAGTAGTCACGCAGCCTCACGCTCATTCGTGTAATCGTTTATTATTTGAAATTTTTCAAAAATAAAAGTGTTTCCTTTCTCTAGCATGGTAATGATTTATTATCAAACTTCTCAATATTTAATTTGTGTCACACACATATGATTAGATTTCCAGCTGACCACTGTTACATAGTGTCATCTCATTAAATCAAAATGTGTAATTTTTTTTTTCATGAATTAAACAGCGTGATAACTAATTGTTTAAGGACAAGTGAACTTTGAACTATATACGTACATAGTAATAGACTAATAGTATATGATACCCCATAATCTTTACTAGAAAAAAACAATTCTAAAAGTATGGTAATTTCAAAATATTGGAAAATTCCACTTACGAAAGTGATCATGATTATTATATATTCAAAGTTTGGATTGGAATTTTTATGCTCTTGAAATAATAAAAATGGAAATCTATAATTTAATGGTAGTATTTTGCATTAGTGGAACTTGGAATTAATTAGGTCAAAATACTTACAATATATATATAGAAGTATATATATGATATCTTGTTGAGATACTTCATTAGGTAAAAAACAAGCATCCCTAATTTCGTTGTAAATTGTAGCCTAACCACATATTAATATATAAAGATCAAGTCCATTAACTATAAATACGTCTTAAAATCTAAACTATTGAAATTGTTACAAGCAGTGCACCAATCAACATGGTCAACTTATTCGTTAAAGACCTACCAATATTGCACCTAATTTGCAATTATTTATTATAAAAGTTATAAATATTTCATTTATTTAGTAATTTATATCAAATCACTCCATTCAAGAGTCAAGAATGAAACCAATGTTTTGTTCAAGTTTTCATGTAACATGAAGAATTCCAATTGTGTTAAAAAAATGTGTTTAAAACTAAATAAGTTTATAGGTTAATTTTGTAAGATAAATTTAGGCAAATTAAAATTAAGTTTGAATGGTTTGGATGTAAGGAGTAACATTCTTCAGACAAAATAATTAAGTTACAAAATCACACATAATCACAAGGACAAATAAATATTATGATGATTTTCCAATAATTTTAAAGGTTATAATAAATTAAATAAGTTGAAGATAATGCAGTCATAGACCATAATAAGTCAAATATGTAGCACAACATAGTGACATACATAACTCATTATTATTACTATATAATATATATTATGATTGATTTTGTGTTTTCATTTAAGATTAGAAATGTTATGATTGATTATTTTGAGTAATTGTAGTACTTAAACATATAATACTAATAAATTTTCCTTTTTCTTAAATGGAAACAAAATTGAAAGGATGTTAATTATTGAAATAGCATATGAAATTATAATGCCAAGCAATCGGACCCCCTTTGCCAATTTCATTCACTTCTTGTTGTCGTATTAAATCTTCCATGCCACAATAAACAAGGTTAATTTTATTTGGTTGTATATTTGTGGTTTTATTGAACATTACCTGAAATTATTTGTTTCTGGATAATAACTTGTTGTCAAATCACTACTATATTTTTGGCCCACTTTTTTTTTTTTTTTTTTTTTAATAACAAAAATATTTCATTAATTAAAAGTCATACGACATCTACAATAGAGATTCGGTGTTAACAAATACATAAGATATTGAATCAAATAAAATTTTCCTTCATAAAAACTACGATCGTCGAGTAGATCTTGTATTGCGGAGCATCTCCCGCTTATATCGTTGAAAATTACAGCCTTGTTGGAGAGACAATCTAACGATCCTTTGTAGCCGTGAGGATGTTTTCCTTCTGATTCATATGTTCGTATTCGAAAACTTGATAACGTTTTCACCAACGAAATAATTTCACGACAATCCATTAGATTTTCTACCATGGATTCAAAACTAAGAAATTTCTCCCTCGAAAAGAGGAGATAAACCTTGTCTTTCGAATTATAAAAATATTTTCTATCAAGCCGGCCTATAAAATCAAATCATCAATACAAGTATTGTTAATAATAAATTATAAAAATATTCTACACAATTATTATCTTTATTTCTATTCGAATGGACAATAATCTATCAAAACAAGAAATCTATTGAAAAGAAGACTGATGTAACTCTAATTTAGACCTACAAACCTAAATATACAACTAAAAATCAAGAGGTTAGGTAGTGGTACCACCATTTTTTACAAGGTTTTGAATGCACCCAAGATATAAATATAAATGAACAATGAAGATAAGCCACTCTTATGTGCATCAAGTGCAATTGTGGATGAGACAACAGGTAGAAGCCAATTGAAATAGAGTGATGATAAAGAAAATAAATGGAGTAGGGTTCACAACTAAATTAAATTGTTGATAATAAGGTTCAATATAAATAAAATAAATAAAAAAATAATAATTGATCCATAAAAATTCTTTAAAAAAAAAATTAAAGTAAAAAAAATAAAAGGGCTGTGACTCACAGCCACTGACAAAATGAGTCAGCCACACATGATTCTTCCACATGTCCCTATCTAAAAAAATGCATCACAAATTGCATGATTTTTATTTTTTCTATAGATAACCTTTTTCCATCTCTCAATCACTCAACTTTGGCTTTTGCAACCCTTTGATTTTACTGTGTAGGCCCCTCCACCTGATTACTCCCTTTTTCCCTCAAAAGGAAAAGAGATCAACCCATTATTAGTAATAATTCTTAAACATATATTGGCATGCATTTTTGTAAATGACAAATATAACCTCGAGCACAAGTAGTAATAATATGTCAAAGTACGATATATTCAAAATTTGTTAATTTTTCATTGAAGTTGCATGGACATTGGACACTCTAGATGGCATTTTTTTTTTTAATCATGTGTTGTGTTCTAGCTACCTAATTTTGCTTTTCTGGATATCTTATCTTATTTGAAGTTATATCTTATTCCTTCCGTTTGTTTTAAGTGAAACAATTCTACTAGATATGTATGTGAATGCAAAATTTGACTAATAATATTTTTAATTATCAATAAATTAAAATTATAAAATGGAATATTAATAAAGTATTCATTGAACCGATTGTAGCAAGCAATTACAGAAGACACTTTTTCTTATGTATAAATCACCAACATTAGTCAAAATGAATTATGTAAACAATGCGCTTTAACATAAAGAAGGAAATCGTAAACCTATTTTAATTATTGTAATTTGAGCTTCAATAACCCTTAGCATAACTTATTTTTCTTAAACTAACATATAAAACATGAAATAAGTGTTAACAACGTTTTATCCGTTGTTTATTTCTATAGTCAGCTTTGCTTGTGATAAACTGGATTTACCATAAGAACCTCTAGTTACTTAAAATGAACAATTTGGAAAATATAATGCTAAAGTACTACTAACAAAAAAATGTACCGGTAATATAATCCTTTAAGGGCATGTTCGGCAAAATATAGCCGTGAAGGTAGCTGTTAGTTGCTGTTATATATAAAATCAATATTTTTTTCCTAAGATTATAGATAAAATTTTCAACAGTTACCTCTAATTTCAAAAGCTAATATTTCTAATTAACTTTTGATAAAAGTTACCCAAATTACTATATTACCAAACACTGATATTTTTGTTAAAAGCTACTCAAAAACCACTGTCGAATATGCCAAAATTTTGTTAGTTACACAATTGCATCAATTTTTTAGAAAGATACCTAGTAAAAGGCATTTAGGAACACAAATTCTTGACGATTAAGACGGACTTTCATTAACAAACTTATTGTAAAATGGGTTAAAGTTACCCTAACTATCTAACCTACTACAAAAGTTACCATTTTTTTAACATGAATTTTATCGTTAAAAAAACATGTATAATAATTATAATGTATTAGATTAATTATGTTAGTTTTCATACCATATACAGAGTGTAAACAATAGGAAGATATCTTCGTATCCAGATTCGGTTCCACCACTAATGAAAGCTTCAAGTTAGGAGAGAGAAAATAAGAGTGTCGATTCAGGGGTTACTTGCCACCGTCACTAATGGGCAATTTTCATCCGTTAAAATAATCCGTACAATTAACATAATACTAATATCTACGGTGTGTGGCCCGCAACAGCGACTGATTGATAAAATTTCGTCAATCAGGCTGATTGCCTGGGTCTGGCTCAATAAACTGATTGTGGGGTAGATAGTTTAGGTATGATTTTAAAGGGGGTACAAGTGTTATTTCCCCATAAGTTATTGAACAAGCTAATTGAAAAAACTCTTAAAATGAGTTTTTAGAAAAAAAGAGCTTATTTTTTGTGGAATAAGCTCTTAAGATCAACTTCTCATCAAACACCTTAAATTAACTTATTTAATAATCAATAAGCTAATGTTGGTAAAAAAAAAAAAGCTATTTACCAAATATAGCCATTACTTTTTTGTTGGTCTTGGGTTAAGAGTGTAAACAATAGGAAATTTTGCGTAGATTTACCCTAAAGATAGGTTTTTTTTTTTTTTGATACCATAAAGATAGGTTCATTTGTGAACACCTACCCATTTTTATTTTATTTGTTTATAAATACCCACAAGTTTGAAAATGTTTGGGTAGCACTACCCATTCACATTTTCCGTCCAATTAAAACGTTACTGGAGCCAACTTTTTTCACTTTTGCCACCCAATTAATTCCCTCGATTTGTTAAGGTTTTAATTTACCCTAATTAACCTAATTAGGGTTTTAATTAGAATTCAATTTGGGGTTCATAATATTTGGGGATTTTGATTTCTAAGGTTTTGAGGTTTAATTGAATTGGGGTTTTCGCTTATTTTAGCATTAATTGACCATTGTAATTGATAAAAGTGAAAATTTGGGCAAAATAACGTTTTAATTGGACGAAAAACGTTAATGGGTAGTGTCACCCAAACATTTTCAAACTTGCGGGGAGTTCTAAGCGAATAAAAAAAAAAGGGTAACTGTTCACAAATGACCTTATCCTTAGGTAGGGTAGTTCTACACAATTTTCTAAACAATATTTCAAACTATACATATAAGAAATGAATAAAAATATACAATAACAATATTTCATTGATTTGTTGTGGATTACAATTCTCTTTTCATTACTCTCTCAAAAGGTTAAAATTTTGAAATGTGTTTATAATACGTAGCCTTGTCGACTTATTTCATATTATATGCTTATAATGCATGTTTGACAACAGGGAGATGAAGTCTTTGTGACTTAGGGCTTGTTCTGTTCAGTTTAATTTTAGTTCAATATAGTTTAGTTAAAATCAGTTCAGTTCAATTCAGTAAATCGGGACAGGCCCTTATTACATTTGAGTCTTGTTAAACCCTAAGAACAACCTTTTACATATAGAGAGTTATATAGTAATAAACAAGATGACTATAAATTACAGCGCATTTTGTGTGCGGCTGACCACATCATATGACCACTTATAAAAGAATAAAGTAATTCTTATAACATTGACTAGGTAACCTTTATAATATCGACCAAGTAACCCCTAAAACACTACCAAATAACCCCTAAACGAGTAACCCCTATAACCCTAACCAAATAATCCCGATCACATAGTTGTGTATGGTTAAGTTCATGTAACCTAATTAGGGTTTTAATTAGAATTCAATTTAGGGTTCATAATATTTGGGGATTTTGATTTCTAAGGTTTTGAGGTTTAATTGAATTGGGGTTTTCGCTTATTTTAGCATTAATTGACCATTGTAATTGATAAAAGTGAAAATTTGGGCAAAATAACGTTTTAATTGGACGAAAAACGTTAATGGGTAGTGTCACCCAAACATTTTCAAACTTGCGGGGAGTTCTAAGCGAATAAAAAAAAAAGGGTAACTGTTCACAAATAACCTTATCCTTAGGTAGGGTAGTTCTACACAATTTTCTAAACAATATTTCAAACTATACATATAAGAAATGAATAAAAATATACAATAACAATATTTCATTGATTTGTTGTGGATTACAATTCTCTTTTCATTACTCTCTCAAAAGGTTAAAATTTTGAAATGTGTTTATAATACGTAGCCTTGTCGACTTATTTCATATTATATGCTTATAATGCATGTTTGACAACAGGGAGATGAAGTCTTTGTGACTTAGGGCTTGTTCTGTTCAGTTTAATTTTAGTTCAATATAGTTTAGTTAAAATCAGTTCAGTTCAATTCAGTAAATCGGGACAGGCCCTTATTACATTTGAGTCTTGTTAAACCCTAAGAACAACCTTTTACATATAGAGAGTTATATAGTAATAAACAAGATGACTATAAATTACAGCGCATTTTGTGTGCGGCTGACCACATCATATGACCACTTATAAAAGAATAAAGTAATTCTTATAACATTGACTAGGTAACCTTTATAATATCGACCAAGTAACCCCTAAAACACTACCAAATAACCCCTAAACGAGTAACCCCTATAACCCTAACCAAATAATCCCGATCACATAGTTGTGTATGGTTAAGTTCATGTAAAAAAAAAAAAAAATTATTTCTAAAAAAAAAAAAAAAAAAAAAAAAAAAAACCACACATATTGTATGAATATTACTAGCTGTCCTTACATAATCCCCCCAACCAATAATTCTCTTTCACCTGTCTTTCTCTCTCTTCAGCTTCACTCCTCTCTCTCTCCCTTTCATGGCGTCTTATTGAAATTGGTGAAAAGTGGAACACTAATTATTAAATAGACCCAGATTTTTTTTTTTTTTTAATTTTTTAAAAAAGGGTAAGCTTTCTTTGAGCTTTTCTTACCTAAAATTGATGAGATTTATAGAGAGAGAAAGAAAAGATTATTATTGTTGGCTAAAAGGTATGAACTTCCAGACTACTTATTTACCCTTTTTTTTTTTTTTTTTTACTAAATTTGGGCTGTTCTTCTTCTCTTCTAATTAATCCAACTAATTTAATATTATTTTGATTCTGATTCAGTACTTTTTTAAGTATATATTTATGAGTAATTTCTGGGTTATTTATATTATTCTCCTGTGTTTATTCTGCTAGTTCGTTTTTTTTTTTTCAGTGCAGATTGATAAGATTGAGATAGTTACTTATTTAGGCTAAGCATAATTTTATGATTTTATTTCTTGTACTGGGTATTTTTTGCAATTTTGGTCATGATTTTCCCAGAAAAAAAGTTTTAATTTTTTATTCATTGATTTCTGTGATTTGGGTTGTTATACTTGTATTTTTCTGGGCTAGTGAACATGAAAACGGTGTCGTTTCGCTGCTTATTTTATTTTATTTTTGCGAGCTAATACAGTTTATTTTTTTTTTTAAAAAAACAGTTAAGCCCTTGAAGTAGAGCAAGAGGCAAAAACCCAGAATTTGGGTTTTTGTAAATCTTTTATATTAACGATGATTTGCGTGAACGTGTGATGGGTTTTTATTCTCTCCAAAAGCTGGGAACTTGACTTTTTGACTAGTATTTTTTAAGAAATAAAATGTTGGGATTATGGGAAAGATCATACTCACATTGTAATGTGTTTAATATTATAATTTTTATTAGTATATACTTGTAAAAAAATAAATGGGAATCCACTTTGTTCATATTTAAAATTTGTCAATTGGGTATTTCAAGAAAGGGTAAATTGTTTGCTTAATATTTTGATGGGTCATTAAGCATTAAAAATCTAGTAGAGTTTTTGGGAAGATGGGGTCATTTTAGATCTGCAATGATTTGGTGGGCATCCTGTTTTAAAAGGGGTTTTTGGGTTAAAATTTAGTAGCGTTACATCTCACTTTAATAGACCACATTGCGCTTGCTTTCGTATTCGAGAGTAGTAAAAGTCGAGTAAAGGTAAAAACTATCTATTCATTATAGGGTGGCTAGTTGCCAGTCTTGCCACAAATAATTGGAGAGAGAGAAAGTGAAGGTTATGGGTGGTTGTATGTTATGAAGAAATGAAACAAGCTAGGCAACTCTATTCTATAAAATGAGGTTAAATTAGTTACTTTCCAAATAGGTTAATTGGGGGATGGTAAAATTTCTATAAATGGGATTATAAGAGTACAAAAAGCTTAGCAATTTGCAATATAAGTAGTACCTTTCCCAAGTTTGAAAGTGGGTTATATTATTGCTGGCATTTATTAAGCAAGGTGATTAAGTTTTATTAGTAGGGGATTGGATAGAATTCATCTTATTATTGTACTTGAGCTTGATAACTTTGAGAAAATAAAAGTTGCAGAAAATGATTGGTACTGTTCATTGCATTCTATTGACTTTGGTTTTGTGTTCTTATATTGTATTTACTTTTGTTTTTGGGTTGTAAAAATGTAAACTAATATTTGTTGGTTTTACACAAGAATAGGTTCCTTTAAGTTGTTTCCGAGTGCTACGATGCATCCGAGTTTCTGTATGAATTGAGGCGACGACCATGAGGGATTTGTGCTGCACAACTGCTGATTGTACTCTGCCTCTTTTTCTTTTCAATTAAAGGTATGACTTATTGTTGTGCATTGAGGTTTAGTTATGGTGTTGATCCGTCGTGAATTTGTGATTATAATGGTTAACTCCTGTCTGAATATCAAATGTTTGTTCATTTATTTTGTTTCTTGTTTCTTAACACCAATCATGTTAGTTGTTTTTAAGGCCTGCTTCAAAAAATTTGAAGATCTTGCTGTTATATTGTTTTTTGCAGTTTCAATCAGTATTCGATGATATTCAGCCATTCAGGTTAATTAGTGGAGAGATCTAGTCTGTCCTGAAGCTTCAGGGTTATTCTGCTTTCAAAGATTTTTTTTTGATGAGTGCGATTTCGATGATGGAATTGAATGCAAAAAGTCCCTTCCTGTGGGACTGGGAGAACTTAGTCATGTTTAACACAAAAGCAGCTGAAACACCGAAAAAATTGCAGTCGGATTCTGAAATTGAGGGAATAGAAGGATTTGAGGCCGGGTCTTTCTATTCCTCTGGTGGTCGTAGTGATGGTGGTACGGGTTCTGATCTGGGATATGCTTCCTCGTCGAAGAGCTCAAAATCAGCCTCTGTTGATTCATCCGCAGACAGAGAGTTAAAAGGAAACCAATTTTCATTGGAGGCAACCGATTGTTTCCAACAGGATCTTAGAGGCAAGAGAGATTTGGTTAATAGTTCAGGGACAACAAGAGCATCACCAACAATTGAAAGCTCAGTGGCTTCTGGTGAATCTTTGATTGCCTTGGAACTTGGGAAGCGGACATACTTTGAAGATGTTTCTGGGGCCAGCAATGTGAAGAATACTGCTCGGAGCTCTATTCCACCTGATTCTGCTGCTAAGAAAACCAAATCTTCATCACCCAGCATAGAAAATCCGCGTTGCCAAGTTGAAGGATGCAACCTTGATCTTTCCTCTGCTAAAGATTATCACCGGAAGCATAGAGTCTGTGAAAATCATTCTAAAAGCCCAAAGGTTGTTATAAACGGACTCGAGCGAAGGTTTTGTCAACAGTGTAGCCGGTAAACTTCTATGGCAACTAAAAATATTATTATATTGGGGGAATCTCGCTGCTTTCTTCTGCTTATTGATATCTAATATCTAGGAGATTGCATTCATTTTTAATTTGAGGTAGTACGGTATTTGGTTAAATCTCTGATAGTACCTGACCCTATTATTGTAGGTTCCATGGCCTTTCGGAGTTTGACCAAAAGAAGAGAAGCTGTCGCAGGCGTCTTTCTGATCACAATGCACGTCGCCGGAAGCCAAAGCCAGAGGTCATTCAATTCAACTCGATGAGGCTGACATCCTCCTTATATGGTATTATTTGCAGCCTTTTTCTCCTTAATTTTGTCTTTCACATGCTCATCCATATAGTTCTTCTATTCCTTGATTGTCAATTCATAAATAGTTCTTCATTTGGGTAATTTCCTTGTTGGAGGTCAGCAGTGACCGCTGTTAGTCTGCGTTATGTTTCTGTGTGATGTGTTCCTACTTCCCATGATTAATTGAAGTCATTGACCGAAGTTGCCCATAAGCTAGTTCAATAAGTGCATCATACAAGTACTACGTACCTCCTCTTGTTAGTCTTAACTCGTAAGAAGGGTTAATGGTTTATGTACAACATTCGGTCTTCTGTGCAGTTAACGTATTTAGATACATTTCTTTCACCCTGGAAGTTATAGTATGGGGAACGTCAAACTCAAGTTATTCTGTTCGTTTATTAATCATATTTTGCTACCTTGATATTGGTACTTGTAAGAATTTTTTTTCTTAGCTCTGGTACACAAATTTAGCATTGTAGACCCAACCTCACTGAGCAAAAGATCAGGCCAGTTGGGGTTGATGGGTTCACCTTTGTTTCTGCGTCCTTAGATATGTTCAGTCAATTTATTGATGTGCTGCTATCTGTTAAATAAGTTAATAGTTAAACTAGTTCGGTAGGGCCTCAATGGTTGATGTTTCTTATGTTTGATATTGCAGAGGGTAGGAACCAGCTGAATTTTGCTTTTGACCAGGTACCAATGCATCAGACTAGGCATGGTACCTGGGATAGTGCAAGAGAATCTAAGGTTACACTGGCAAAACCGGGATTTTTTACTACCATGAAATCCGGGGGTACTGATCAGCTGCATTCAACCCACAGTGGTCTGCCAAGCCCGACAACCAAAGTCTCTCCTGTTTCGACCCAACTATTGCCATCCAAGGGTGTGCCGTCTGATGTCTTCCAGCGAGGTATATGCTCATTCCATAGCCTAAATTTTTGAAGTGATATTTCCAATATGAATTTGTCATAGTAGTAATGTCTTTAAAAGAGTAAGATGTTCATCCTATTGTTCCGAAAAGTTGCAAATTCAAACTAAATCACCATCCCCTGTTCCCCCCATTTTCTTTGCTGGATGGGAGAGGATTAAACATTCAGCGGGGGCAAGGAAAAAAAAAGCTCTGAATTTGCATTTCAAGATGTATATTTAAGTTTGAAGGATACAGGAGAGCTCCATCTAAGACAAAAATATGATTAAATATAGAGGCTTAACATCTTCGAGTAATAATAAATATCTGTTTTCTTTTTTCATTGTAGAGCAACTGACTTGCATAATAAATTTTTACTTCATACTGTTTGTTACTGTCCTAAACATATTATCTAACCAAGTGCTTGGAAATGACTAATAATCTGTAGGTTTACCAGTCTCTGTGGCACCATCCAACTTGGCTGCAGCTCAAGATTTCCGTGCTCTCTCTCTTCTGTCAACAAGTTCTTGGAGTTCATGCGACCCAGAACCTCCCGCACTTAACCATTCTATGCATACAAATCATGCCTCCTTGGCTCCGTCTTTGCCTCCCATGCATCCATTGCCTCTAGGTGGCCCTCCCATATCATCGGAGTTCTGGCAAGCTGATCAACCAGCCTCAGGTGGTCCTGGATCTCACACCTCGACTTTCCAGTTGTTCAAAGCACCGAACGAGTCCAGCTTCTATCTTTACTAAATTGCAGCTGATATGCTGAGTAGTCCAGTAGTTTATGTTATTGCTGCAGATACGAAGTTTTTGCTCATCCTAGACCATAAAGTGTATGGAGTTTTAAGTGGTTTGGTGTGAGCTTGGTTATTGTAACTGATTATTAAGCTTGACGTCTATTCTAAAATTTAGTTATGCTTAGCAGCAGACTGTCCTCTGATTTCTTCTGGTAAAAAGATGCTTGTACCTGTATGATTTTAGTTGAGGTTTCCGACGATTGGTTCTTGTCCGGCTTTGTCAGACTTGTTTTCAATCTACTTGAGCTTTTTTAGGTTCACTTTGAAACTATGAACAGGTTATGCTTTTGTAGTCTCGTCTCTGTATATCTTGCTTGAGTTCCTTTCGTAGTGTTGCTTACCAGTTTTTTTCTTTCTGCTGTATAATTTTGTCCAAAAACCATAATTGGTCGCGTATGATTCTTGTCTCACAATTTTACTCTCCTTAACGCGTCCCAAACTACTTAAAGATGCTCATTAGTAAACCCGAAACCACCTATTATTGCTGGTTTTTCTTCTGCTGAAATTCAAGAATATAGTACTCTTTAATCAAACTTAATTTGACAGAATGTTTATTGCTTTGTTTCATTGTTTTGAGGCTAGGCAAACAACCTAAGTTTATTCATCAACATGAGGTCATAAAATGATAGTGAAATTGATATTTAGAGACTAACCAAAATCTAAAATTAATCGTTAGAAATTATGACTACCACCAATAAACTAGTAGTGAGACTACAAATTATGACTACCAAGTAGCCAACTAGACAAGTAGTTGTAGTGAGCTACAAATTATGAAAGTGCCTACTTCGATTTGTCACGAACCAACTTGGTTCTTTAGTCTTGACTAGGTACTAAGATTTTATTGTTACGTCGTTGTCTGAATCATTTTTGAGAGTGTTCTTCGATTTGTTTATTCTAGACCACGTTTTTTGTAAGAGTGAAATATCAAATTATACCACGTTATGTATGAGATTGATATATCATGTTCTGCCACAAACTTTATAAATGTACTTCTTTCATCACATATTAGTTGCAACTTTGAGGTATTGTATGTAAGACATAAAAAATTTCTTCGAATTTATCAACACGCAAACTATTGAGGTTACATAGGTTCAAAGCGTTTTCTAGAGATTAATAGGTACGTACACATTTGTGAAACTAATCCGAAGTAAGCAGTGAATAAAATTAAAGGTTCATTCAAGAACAGTTGTTTTTATACAGCAGAATACACAATTTATAGCCAGTTCATATGAAGTGACGAAAAAAAAAATACAATTAGGGTCAAGTCCAGTTTCTCCGACGTGCAGCTTTGGTTTTTTTCCCCCAGTGAGATTAGGTCAGATGCATCTTCGTCTACAATTGTAGCCACACTTGTTTTTCTTTCTGCAAATCAAACATAAAATAATAGAACACCCTCCCTTTCCCCTTCGGACTACCAAGTAATACAAGTAAAATATTACCAGTAAATAATATAGATAATTCCTTGTTAAAAAAAAAAATAAAAATAAATAATAATAATAATAATAATAATAATAATAATAAATAAATAAATAAAAAAGAATTGAAATGTTTTCCTCGAGTAAATTATAAATTTATCCTTAAGAACAGAACTTAAGTGGCTTTTAATCTAAATAGTACTAAAGTATCCCCATGACATAAGATAATACCCCATACGACATAGCTCGTCCCAAGTCCTGCCCTAGCCCCTCCCCAATCAAACTTAAAGTCTCAACCCCAACAATAGGTACAACATTTGGAGATCTCACTACTGCTTAAAACTTGAGACTCCAAATGGATTCATCTAGCAGTCAATTACATGCCCTCCCGAGTAGCATTTCCCATGAGGTATACGCTCCATGTTGACATTATTCGCCATCTCCGATTTCAAAAGTTAATATTTAAAAGTCAAGTCTTTAAAATATGCAAACTTGGCATCACAAAAGCACTATGTATTATAAATCGAAAAAAAAAAAAAAAAAAAGAAAGCACTACGTATTAAAAAAATCATTCAGAAAATATTGTTTAAGGTACATTTTCACAAGTTAATTTGACGATGCCGACAAGCAGTCGGACAACAGCACATATTGGACCAGAGGCCCACTTATGGGTCCAGTAGCTAGAAAATCTGACCCACAAAAATTGGTCCAGAGAGTCCAATAATTGCTGTAGATAATTGCTTCTCGCGTCGTCAACAAAAATATAGATATGAGTATATGATAGGTAGACATGTAGAAAATCAACATAGGCCTTGCCAGAAATTTGAGAGGTTTCACAACAATCTGTTGCAAGAAAAAGCATCGACAAGCCTAGATTCGACATTTTGAAAACAGATAAGACAGAAAGTAGGGTGCAATGATAAATCAACAAAACAATACGCCAAAAAATAACGAATAGCATGAGATGATGAGGGTCTTAAATTATTTACAGACTTCTCACAAAATGTACTGCAAACAAGACTTTGGGCCACAAGTCAACTCACCCAAACTCAAAATTATGCGACCTGAGCTAAATTGACCTACCAGTTAAAAACCTCCAAGACACTCGAATCAAAGCTGAGGTAAAAACAATATGAGCATAAAATTCATGTTGCAGGACAAAAAACCTCAAAAGTAACAGCTGAGTTGGAATTAGCAAGGTGAAAATGCAGATTCTGGGGTACAAATAAGGAGTTGTTCTCTCTGTACCACAACTGTGAACAAAGATCGCTGGAAAAGGATAGCTTTAATCTAGGTACTAAGACAACTACAAGAACACTTGTATTAAAAAAATCCAATATTAAGTGACCCAAGAAAACCCTGGACACCCAAGGACCGTATGCTGCATAGACAATAAAACTAAAAAATTACTGAAAATACAGACTGCAGTAGCTAATTTTCCACTAATTGAAAATACGCAGTTGCATGCTGACATAACCTCTAAATGAATAAATTCATCTCATAGTAACAATACCTAATCAGGTAAAACTTCGCCAGAGTGCCAGACTTAGCTGGACAGAATAAAAGGGATCCACAAAGACATCACAACAGATAATACAATAACTCGACACAGATTATGAGCAAGGTAGAGTGACCGCTGCAATAGGAAGACGACATGACTGACTTTCAGACACCGATATTGAGCATGCTGGACGACAACTCTGGACCTTCCCAATAACCAGACATGTCCTAGTACTCACTGGAACAGTAGACAATTGCGAATCAATAAATGCATGGCTTCACAAGATACCAAGAAAAAAGTAAAGACAATTGGTGAAAATACCATAAATGCCATACTTGAAACCTGATCCTAATCAAGATGAACATATATATGCAAATGACAAGACAATATAAATCTGCAGATAATGCAAAAGAAATACAGACAAATAACCCATTTGACACACGAATGTGCAACCCACTACGGACCTGATCGTTGCCATCTGCTGCAGGAGAAGGTGATTTATTTTCCTCACATGGCTTATCAGCACCACAGTTCTGCCTATTGCACTTAGTCCTAAATGGATAGTTTATATTACCACATTTTTCACACTTCCAGCTTCCTTCAGGCATCTTTTGCTCTGTTGATTTGATGAGGCAAGCAACATGTTCAGTTAACATTTATGCAGACAACAGAAAACATAAAACTGACAAGTATTATACATTCAAAGACTTACTTGAACTTTTCTCTGGTTTTGGAGCCTACAATTTTTTTTGAATGCAAAGGGAAAAGAGAAAGAATCAGGATCCTTGAACTTACAAATTACGTTGTACACACACAGTAAACAGTACTGACAAGCGAAGAGTGCAAAAATATGTATTCTCTAATAAATACAAAAGATGTTAGAGAAGCCAATATAACCTGGGCACCAGGCTTTGGTGTGTTGCACTTCCTCATATTGCAAACTGTTCTGAACGAGAAATTCACGTTTCCACATTTAGGGCAAGTCCAGTCATTGTCTCGTGTGCCATCTTGATTAAAGAACAGGAAACACTATGTTAGCCCTGGCCAGAAAGATAAATAATAATGCATACTTTTAATTAAGATCATCCCTCGAGTAAATATATTAAACCTTTTTTCTGAGACTTGTCATCTGGAAAAAATCCTGGTCTTGCGCCCTGAAAAAACAGGTAGCATCCAATAAACTACTAGCAAGTTGCGAGATGACCACCATCGATGGATAAAGCATATCATTAAATTATATTTTCACGTGTCATCTAATTATATGTTGCACACATGTTATCTTAACCGCAAAGCATGAGACTTGGAGGTGTGATACTAAATGAGTGGAAAGAACCTCAACAGTTGGTGGTCAAGATTAAAACATTTCTTGGTACCACACAAAACATCAATGCTATTATTAGTTCTAGAAAGGACATACCATGGGAGGGGGAGGCATGGGTGGCATGCCCATGCCATAACGGTCCATCATTGGTGGAGGGACACCATACATTCCACCTATTAAAAAATGATTAGAGAAGTTACTACTAGCCTAATAAAAATGTATCAAAATGCTCAATCAGAAATAAACATGCAAAAAATTATCCAAAGCAAGAAGATTGGTACTATTTTTAATTTGTCCTTATAAGCAACCTTCGACAATGTAGTGTCAAGACTATCAACTTAATGTTATCCATAAACCATCAAAATACTTAAAAATAAATAAATAAACAACAACAACAGCAACAAGCAAATCAATAGTTCAGAAATCTTAACAGTAAATCTGCATCTTGACAATTAAAATTATAAACTCAAATTACCTTGACTCATACATTTAATTACATGTTAACAGGTAAAACTTGGCAGTATAAAATAACTAAAGCCAGTAATAAATAGCCAAACAAATACATTAGGATGTAAAAATAAAAATGAAAGAGTCAGTACAAAGGGCAAGTTTTCATAAAAATCCGTCCGAACAAAAATAAATAGATAAATAAATAAATAAAAGAATATAGAAAATGGTACTTTCACAACATAGACTGAAGAGAAGCAGAGACATCTTTCCCCGATTATAGAATTAATCTAGAATGAGATAAAGAAAGAGGCAAGAAAAGAAAATACCATTTCCCATCATAGATCCACCAGAATATGGTGGTGGTGGTCCAGACAAAGGCATTGGTCGGTAGGGGCTACCTCCAGAGATGCGATTTCCATAATTATAATGGTATGCTGATCCCCCGGAATATGGAACATCATAAGGAGGAATCGATGATCCATTAAAAACAGAAGAACCATAAGGTGGCATTCCCATGTACATGGAAGAAGGTGGAGGTCCAGATCCTCCGTATGGTGCATTAGAAGAGTAAGGCTGGGGAGGCTGCATTGGCCTTAATGCAGGTTTCTGTAACATGCAAAAATCATAACAAAAAAGTTAACTGGGATCAAATTGGAAGAAAATTGATTAGCAATGAAATAAACAGCAAATGATATATTGAAAAAAAAAATTCAATATATAGCTGGAGTACAGACTATCACAATACTGCAGGCACTTGATAGTTGACATTACATTCCAAGCATCCAGAATTTCAGTTTCTATCGGGTAAAAAAGAAGAGAAGAGGAGGAGGAAGGGGGGGGGGGGGGGGTAACAATCAAAGCACATCCCCAGCTATGTCGCATTATAGTTGCCACAGTGAAAAAAAAACTCTTGGTCCCTCCATTTCATAATACAACATTGCCCCTTTTTTGACGTTAATTTCGAAAAATGTGCTCAGTAAACAATCATTTGAAGAAGATAGTTTGAAAATTCATCCAACGGGAGGCGCATATTTTAAAATCTTACTCTCCTCCAAGATCATCTCCAATTGTGAGACTCAAATCGGGTTTAACCCCCTTCCCCCTCTCCCCCCCTATAACGACCATTAGTCTCGTGAAAGTTTTCTATAACGACCATTTGTCTCCAACATATTTCTATAATGACCATTATTTTAATATACAATTAATGGTCCAGATCATCATTATCCAATGGTAAAACTCTCCTATAACAACCATTAGTCTCATGAAATTTTTCTATGCTACCTAATTTTTCATTATTTCTTTGATAAATAAGAATTTGTTTCTCCCGTATAATGAGACCTACTAAACAATTCTATCAAAAAAAAAAAAACCTGCTAATTCATATGATGGGGGGTTCTCTTTTGACAACTCTCTCTTCATGTGCCCCTATTAGCCCTCATTAGAAGTGTTCAAAGACCCCCGCTCCCCTCATACACAATGCTCTATGAGAAAAAAGAAAAAAGGTGTTGTCTAGGAACATGGGAGATGGGCAGATAGCAACTAGAATGCGAAGGTAAAATTAGTACTCTACTTGAAGAATCCTATATAGAGGCCAAATAGTTCAGTAAAATGATGGCAGGAAAGAGGAAAAAAAAAAAAGAACACCAATATATAGTGATACATAGATTTCATAGCACATCCTACCGCATTGTGATCAGCTGGTCTGGGCTGTGTACAATTTCGCATGTTGCAGGTTGTTCTAAACGAGAAATTGACATTGCCACAACCAGGGCAAGTCCAGTCATCTTCCCTACGACCACCTGTGTATGAAATGGATGATGTAAGTTACAAGGATAACAGTTTTAAGAAGCATAACTTAAAATAGGCCACAATCACTCTTCCAGCTGAACAAGCTTAAATTCCTCAACTGCCAAATTACACTTCACAGTTCAAAAATTAGCTTCATATTTCTTGACATAGTTTCCACCTCCTCTTGTCACTTTGTCAGTAAATTATATGGTCAGATAACACACTAGGTGAACTCGTTATATAGTCGATTTAATGAACTTAACCTTAAGTTGTAGAAAATAAAAGATGAATGGCAAGAAAATGCAAGATTGATTAATAATTTCCCTTTTAGTCTCTTTTTGTTGTAGATATATCTATGAAAACATGTTCGACATGGGTGTATAAAAACCCCCTACTCAATTCTATGCGCTTCAACCATCAAGTTCATACTGCACTAAACCCTTAAAATAGTTCTTCATAATCTTTCCTCCCCCCCTCCCCACAACCCCATTCCGAATTTCCAATCTAGGGACACTTGTACCTTGCCCGACTTCAGTTGAAGATATATAGTCCCTCAAGTATCAAAGCAGAGGACGTGCCACACAGTAGATTATAGTGGAACATTTGGCAGTACCAGAAAATCGATAACTTCAGTCTTCAGCTATACTAAGATGACCAATTGATCAAATACTAACCGTTGAAGACAGCGCTAGCTACACACTATGTAATATGTATGGCATTGGGCAGCAGAAGGATATTAAGTATTTATACAATTATACGGAGCATAAATTATGTCGTGCTTTTCCTATAAGTTAATAATATATAAAACTAGGGAGAAACCAAGAAATCATACAATATTTTCATCATATCCGCCAATTAATTATGTTTTCCATATTTCTCATAAATGAAAAAAAAAATCAAAAATAGTACTCCGTACATAGCTACATTTTTTATGTCAAATTAAATCAGAATAACTTCACTAACTTAAATTAATTAGACAACATCAACAACAACAAAATTAATTTCAATAAAACCCAAGAAATTCGAATTTTTACCATCTGTTCGAGCACGCTTGGCGTTTGAAGGATTTCTGTTATCCACCTGAGAACATCAATCAACCAAATTTCAATAAAAACCCTAACAATTCAATGACAGCATATCCTAAATTAAATTAAAGAAAATCTCCAATCAGAGGACAAATCAACAATTACAACCTCAAAAATTAAAACTGAATAGCAATTAAAACCCTAAGTAATATCGAAACAAATCAAAACGAAAAAAAGCTCAGAATTAAAAAATCGAGCCAAGAAAAAAAAAATTAAGCTTCGAAAATCGACATTGATGAAGAAATGAGAGTGAGGATTACCTGAGACATGTCGAGCGAGGAGAGAGAGATCGAAGAGAAGGGTGGATTGGTGAAGAGTGAGAGTGGAGGAGAATTAATTCGATTAAACAAATTAGGGTTTGTTGTCGTAGAAATTGGGAACGAGGAAGTAAAAACTAAAAAGGGAGGGATTTTATTTTATTATTATTAAAAGGAGTCGACTAATAAACATGATAGTTGTTGATGATTGGACGAGGCTCACGAGAGGGGTGCAACAAGTTATGAACTTGTTTTTTCGTAAGTTAAAGAAACACTTGGGTAGCATTATTCTATAACGTTTTTCGTCCCGTTAAGATATTACTGTGGTCCATGTTTTTACTTTAATTTTTATTTTTTTTAATGCTCTGAACTTCTGTGCAAAAGGTGCACTTATGAGTCACGAACTCAAGACGGATGGGAGTAAGGCTATAATAAGACGGTAAGGATCAAAACGCTGAGTTATCTAAGTTGAAATTTAGGTTGTATGTGAATGTGATCACTATTGGCAGAGTCACATTAGTATTAGCTGGAGCTAACATATGCCATGTGCACTTATGAGTCACTAACTCAAGACGGATAAGAGTAAGGCTATAATAAGATGGTAAGTATCCTAACTTTGAGTTATCTGAGTTGAAGCATGGTTGTTTGTGATCACTAATGGCGTAGGGTGGGGGAAAGGGAGGGGGTGGGTTACCGGCGCCGGCCGAAGCTCTGGGCGTCGGGCGCCGGCGGGGGAAGGGGAAAGGGTGGCAGTTGAGGGGAAGGGTGGTTGGGTTACTTTTTTTTAATTTAATTTTATTTTTTTAATAAATTTAATGGAACCTTAACGGATTCCGTTAATTGGTAGTGAAATTTTAGTTATTAGATTTTAGGTGGTAGCAAAATAAAATAAAAAAATTAAACGGGTAGTAAATATAACACAAGATACTTTCGCTGGTAATAAATGTCAATTTTTCCTTAAATAAAATGAAAAGGACAAGAGCTAAGAAAATAAAGATTGCATGGTCAAAGGTATAAAAGAATATGCAAAAAAATCCTAGCTTGCTAATCAATCAAATACCTTATGAAAATCAATAAAGCAAAGTTATTTGAAGACATATTTCACTTGATTAACAAAATCTTATTTGCACGATGGTCCAAACTAAATATGACGGTAAGGACTCAATGTCTCAATTGCTCTTATGATCCAGTAATGTCAATCATCTTTTTGAGCCTTTTATATTTTGCCAGACACCCTTATGAGTTCTTCATAGTTCGAACCCTTTGATCATTCACGGTGAATAATTGGGTGACAGGCACAATCACGCCACTTTATTTGTGAATAAAAAATAAGGAGATATCAGTTAATTAAGTAAAAGTTTCCTAATTGATGAAGATGCTGAATAACAATGTATATCAACATTAATCAATAAAGTTTCTTCAACAATATATACTACCTCCGTTAACAGTTATTTGCAACATTTACCAAAATAGGGTGCTACTTATTATTTGCAACAAATCTATTTTTTTCTTAATATAGTAACTTTTTCTGGTAAAATGACCAGAATACCCTCATTTAAAAATTATTAACACATAATACTACATATAATTACAAATTATTATAACTCTAATCTCACTTTTAATTTTCTAACTTTTCCCCTCAAAAAATCAGATTAATCTCATCTACCCACCATCTCTCTCCTCCATCTTCATCTCTAAGATCACCATCTCTCATCTTTTTCGATCTTCATCTTTTAGTTCACCATCATCATCTTCTCTCATCTGTCATCTTCTTCCATGTTCATCTCTTATCTTCTTCCCTCTTCATCTTCTTCTGTATCGTCATTTCTTCTCAGATCGTGGTGGATGATAATGGTTTGTGGATAGGTTTGGTAGATTAGGTGGTAATTTATGGTTTGAGGGTTGTTTTTGTGGTTTGTGGGTGGGTGTTATTCGCGGATGGTTGTTTCGATTCGTGGGTTGGTGTCAATAGTGGTGGTTTTGGGCGGTTTGTGGGGGTAGTTTCGTGGATGGGTTTAGTTTTTGGGTTTCAAATTTAGTGGTTCTAGGGTGGTTTTCGTAGTTATTGTGTGGTTTCCGTGATTCTTGGGTGGATTTCGGTGGTTTGTGGGTGACTTTCGTTGAGTTGTGGGTGGCGTGGGTGGTGGTTCGTCGGTTATGGGTGGATTCCGTCAGTTCGTGGGTGGTTGTCGGTGAGTTGTGGGTGATTGTCGGTGAGTTGTGGGTGGCGTGGGTGGTGGTTCGTGGGTTCTGGGTGGCGTGTGGTGGTTATTCAAGGATGTTCTTTTTAATTAGAATTGATTTTTTTTAATTAAAATAATGTAGTTAATTACATATCCATAACTTTCAATAATCATGTTTAAGAAGTTTTGCCTAGGAGTCCGCGCATGTCCCTTTCGTTGCAAATAACTGTTAATGGAGGTAGTATTAGATATACTTCTAGCCAATATAAATAACATACTTTTGTAATAGAATTCATTGGAAGATGGATGTTAGCACACAACTATGCTAGTACTAGGTTTATTTGTTCCCTCTAGGTTTTCTCCTTGGGAGAGTTTTTTTTGTTCTTTCGGGTTTTTTCCCTTGAGGGTTTTACTGGCTTCCATTGTTAGGTTTTTTCAATTTCTTTGAAGGTTTTCCTTCTCTCTTCTCCCTTCTCCCTTCTCCCTTTTCTCTCCATCTCTACCATTTCGTTTCCTCTTGGTCTTAGTTGTGAATCTTTGTAGGGGCTTCCATTGGTATTTTTACCGGTGGTAAGCCCCAAAAACATTTCAATTGCTTTCAATAAAAATCTTATATGATAATTTTTCTCTTGAGTTTAATTTCTTTTTTGTGTTTGTTTGGTGAGAATTGAAGATCTAGGGTTTTATAATTTCTACAAGAATCCATAGGACCACATGAGTATTTTCACTCAAACGACTACACATCAGTGGATTTCAAGCCGAATCAGTGTGAACTCACAGATTGTATTGCTTCAGATGAAGTTTTTTATTTTATTTTATTTTATTTTATTTTATTAAGACGATTGTAAATCAAATCTACGATGTATATAGTTTTAAGGTGTGTACTTATGTTGGAATTCTTGATTTTTTAGGAATTATATGTAAGTGCCGTTTGGCTATATTTTTATTAATGATATCCCTTTTATTCTTGTAAAAAAAAATCATTGAAAGATGGTTTAATACAATTTACAATCAATGAATCAAAGAATCCTTTTTGAGATTTGCCCATAGCATACTATGTAAGCTATCTCGCACCCCAAAACAAGTCAATTATTTTACCTTGTAAATCATGTTAACAGCAAGCTGAGGAGCAAATTTGTTTACACTATTAGGCCCTGTTCTTTTGAGCTTCTAGCAGAGCAGAATTCAACAGAGCACAGCAGAGCAAAACAGAGCAGATTTTAGCAGAGCAAAGCAGATTTCAGCCGAGCCGAGCAGAGCAGAGCACAACAGATATTATTATTATTATTATTATTATTATTATTATTATTATTATTATTATTACTAATACTACTATTATTATTATTATTAAATATTAATTATTATTATTATTATTTTATTATTATTATTATTATTATTATTATTACTATTAGTATAATTACTATTATTATTACTATTATTATTAAATATTAATTATTATTGTTATTAATAATTTAATATTATTATTATTATTATTAAATATTAATAATTAATTATTATTATTTTTATTTTTTATTAAATATCAATAATTAATTATTTTTATTATTATTATTAAGTATTAATTATTATTATAATTAAATATTAATTATTTATTATTATTATTAAATATTAAATATTTATTATTATTATTATTATTATTATTATAAAATATTAATTATTATTATTAAATATTAATTATTTATTATTATTATTACATATTAATTATTATTATTAAATATTAATTATTATAATAATTTAATATTAAATATTAATTTTAAGTAGAGCAGAGCATGGCAGAGCATAGCAGATTGAAGCAGAGTAGAGCAAATTTCAGCAAAGCAGAGCAGAGCAAAGCAGATTTCAGCAGAGCAGAGCAGAGCAAAGCAGCTCTAAAGAACGGGGCCTTAGTTAGATTTGTATGGGTATAAGAAAATTATATAATACAGACTATAGAAAGGATTACATGGGTTATTATTAAGTTTAAATTTGAATTTAATTAATGAATTTAAATGTGACTGTTTCAAATTTAATTTCGTACCGGTGGTTCAAGCTGGGGATTAGATGGGTCTGTCTAAAATACCTATATAGGCAGCACACAACACTATCCTCGGGGTGCTCGAGGAACCCTATCCGAAGCTTAAATTAGCTAGTGTTTTTTAAAGAGAGAAAGATTACTTGAGAAAATGATAAACTCAGAGTATCTAACCCCCTCTTTGTTGTACTTGGTGTACTATTTATAGGTATACATTCTTTATGTAATCATAGAAGAGTAATGTATTGAAAATTATAAATGCATTTGGGTGCACCTAAAGTTAGAAGCAAGTAGTATGCAACAAATAAAAAAGTACCAAGTATGTGTTTGCACATTTGATATTCTTCACTCATTAGAAAAAGTGGAAACCTGGAGTTATCGACTAATATAAATTTGTGATAGTGATAATTAATAACTTTTTTTACCTCTAAAACATTTTCTTCCAATTGTCAATATAAATCGAGTTGGTGATTGGTTAGTTAATTATGGGGTAATGTCCAATAAAAAAAATAATTATTATTATTCATTTTTGAGGTGAAGGATTTTCAAGACGTTTTATTGGAGGAATTTAGGAGTGTTTCTAGGTCTGGGATGGTATCAAATAATGCAACATGATTGTTAGATGGTACTTAGATATAGTACTTAATGAGTTGTTTGTTCTTTTTCTTAGTTTGTTTGTTTATACTTTTTTTTTGGAGCTTAATTATTGGTCAATACTTCTAGGTTGGACCGATAAACATTAGATAGGGACCATATGAAGGACATGGTATAAAACAATTTTTTTGTCAACAAAAACATACACATTACACACAGTATAATGCGGTAAGGGAATAAATTGGCATTACTAGTAGTGGAATTTTGAATAGTTCAAATTACAATATCAATGACTAGAAATATACCGAGTTCCTACCAGAAAAAGTACTTGAAATTTTAAAACAACAGTAAACCTCCGAAACTACAACAATTTGAGTGAGAATTTCTTTTTTTTGGGGGAATTATCTCTCACTATCTCTTTTTTAACTCATGATCATACTTAGAGTACAAGAAAAACAAGAGCTTTTACACCAAAATCGGCATAGGTAGAGTGCAGAGAATAGCAGACACGATGACCGCCACGAGAAAGCTGCTCAATACACCATTACCATGCTTAATTCCACTTGCATTACTCCCTTGTAAAATGCCTGTTGATGACGATGAAGACGAGGGTGTTCCGGGCGGTGAGGATGTCCCGTTTTTCAAGAAAATGGAAGCTGCCGGAGAGCTCGGAGATATTCCAAGAAGCTCTACACAAGCATTCACCCCATATTGATAGATTAGTCATTTGTAACTGGTTACAAACTTACAACTTACAAAGTTACAAGTTACGTGTAGCCATTGACCCCATTGTAACACATAACACGTAATTCATGTTACAAAAAAAGTTCCAATAAGCCAATAAGGCAATAACTGTATATTGCACCAATTAATTATATTCCGTCAAAAACAAAAATAATAATATTCGAACTTATGTAAAAATTTATAAGTCTTAAGGATCCATAACACGGTAAAAAGTGATAAATGTCGTACATGTACATATATATTGCTAGTTAGTCACTATAAAGCTACGTATTTAGCTTTTTTTTTTTTTTTTTAAACACGATAAGAGTGACAAATATCGTACATATACATATAGCTAGCTAGTCACTATATTGGTACGTTTTCACCAAAACTACATCTGTACGTCTTTAGCTTACGCAACTCTGAAGGCACATTAATTTGTGACAAAATCCAAGGTTGAAGGTTAGTGATGATACGTCAAGGGCAATGCAATAAATATGGATGGGTATGAATTGAATTGATGAGGTACGGACTATCAATTAAAGATGGCCGATTCATTTAATTTAGTGTCAATTGAGGTAGTTTGAAAGTTACCTGAAGAAATTTTTTTATGTTCATTTTTCTCACTTGCATATTTGAAATTCATTTCCTACCCAAATTACAAAAGAGAAAAATTAAATAAAATTAAAAATATTTTACAACCATCATTAGGACCGTAAAAATAATTTAATTTTGCAACCATCATTAAGGTGTAAAAAGAAAAATAAATACTAATAATTAAAAAAATAAAATAAAAATCGAAGCCGAGTTTATCTTATACTAAAACTTACTATTTTCATGTATCTATATATTTTTGTTACAAAGTTTTTCAAGGGGAAGTCTTCTACGAGTTCTATTTTTAGCCAAGGAAATTAACTCAAGTAGAGATGTGTAATTGAGGTGCTTGGAATTGGTGCCCCAAAATAAATTTCACATATGGATTTAATTAAGGAAAATTATAAACATAGCCCTAAAGGCTAATGGATTTCACTCTCAACACTTTAATCAACATTTTATTTTATTTTATTTTATTTATTTATTTATTTTTACTAAAAATTACATGATTTTTTTTTAATCAACCAATAACATGATGTTATAACAATATACTTTTGTCAAAATTTACTCTAGCAAAAAAATAAATATGCCTGATTTTATAGTTATACAACTAATTAACTCAATCATCCACTATCTTTAATGAAAGGATAACTTTATCTTTGAAAAAAAAAAAATCACCTAAATAAATATCTCATTTTTCAATTTTAATGTATTAGGAAAATTATATGTGGAGTATATTGCAAAGTATGTGACAATTAAATACAAACACATGAAATGTTTGACTCCAGGCCATTAGTAGTTTGCTCACAACAACATACAATCAATAAGTTAATAACAAAATCACTATGAGAATAATTGACATCAAGATTAATCAATGATTAACCATTCAATAAGAAACTCCATATACAATTATGACCAATCCAAATAATTAATCATCTTAGCTTAAAAACAAACAAATCACCCAGAACTGAACCCCAAATTCGGATTAACCCAAATGGTGAACCAACAAATCAAACACCGATTAGATCCAAACAATTAACTAGCAAACTAATTAACACATAAAGAGTAATATAATATAATTAAAATAATTAAAGAGTAAGATAGAGACTAACTAGGGCAATTGGAAGCACTAGCATTAGCAAGATGACAAGCAGAAGGAAGTTCCAAGAGTTTTCCTTCTTGAATCCCAAGACTCTTAATTTGATCAGTACCATTATGTGCTTGTCCTATAAAGAAGCACAAGCACACTGGCTGCTTCTCCTTCATACTACTCACCGATGTGCAACACTCTTTCGTAGGCTCCGAAGTACCGCCTTTCGCGTAGTTTAAGCAGCTTATCAACTGCTGAATAGCGCCACCACATTGTTGTGTCAACGACGCCGTTACCATTGAAGGTTTCATTATGCCTATGCATAGTGTTGCAATGATCAAGAGTAGCTTTAACTTTTTTAGGTTAAGGATTTGGGAAGCCATGATTTTTGTATGGAGTTATATTATAGTTTGACTAGCTAAGAAAAATAATGTTTGTTTGAGGTGAGTATAGTAGTACTTATAAGAAAAAGAGGTTGAGAATGAATTTGAGGGTTTCAAAGTGGTGGTGTAAAGATTGTGAAGGTGTATGATTTATGGCTTGTTTTATGGTTGTATGTTAATCGGTGTCATTTATTGTTTGTAATAAAATATTGACAGGATATGATTTAAATGAAGTCAATGCGTTGTATATTCAATTAAATAAAGTTTTGATCTTTTCGACTCAATGAAAAAGAAAATTAAGCAACATTTCGATATTAATTCATAGGAACCAATCTCACAATTTAGATTTTGTAAACTTAATAACTCTAATTTTATTAATGAAAATAATGATATTTACAGGGATATATACAATTCCACGCGACAAACAAAACTAAAAGATAAAAATAAACTCTAAAGTTATCCCTTATTATACTTATTAAAAGATAAAAAATTCATATTTTTCTTAAACTAATCTAACTTGCACTACGAACTAATCATGGAAACAAACACTAATTCTGTTAATCATGCATAACTTTTGGTTTGACGCCACTCAATCTCACATGTAATAGACGAGTTAAACAAAAATTAAAGAAAGTAGTTAAAATAATCGACTCGAACAAAAATGAAAAAGGAAGCAACTAAAATTTCTATCTTAGATCTTAATCTGCGTCAATAGTATGAGTATATTATTTAATAAATTATTTAAATCTTTGTTAGAAAAACAACTCACATATTAGTTGGGAATAATTAATTATTCCACTACATTTATTAAAATCAGGGTAGGTTTTGAGCATGTGCAGGGTGATCGATCACACTTAAGTGAAACTACTGTAAAAAGTCCCCGATTCTTGAATTTAGTAATATATTTATCCTAAAAAAAAAATTATTTTAAGGCCCAATTTAACAAAATTGCACCGGGACACTTAAAGTGTTAGCATTTGTAGCCCCGTCTCTGATTAAAATGTCACAAAGGATAACTCTTTAATTAAGATAAAAATACTAATGAATTATTATGTGATCAAACTCTTCTGATGTGATCGAGTTTTGTGTTTAGTCCAATTATGCATTGTACTCATAATGCAATTATGCAAAACACACTTGTAATTTTGAGATATTTTTGTGTATATGTTACCTGTATAATTTATTGTTGAGCTTAGCTTGCACCTTTCACTACAAAGTATTTAAGTTTCAACTATTCTAGATGTTGTTGACTAAGTCAAATGAAGTACTACTAGAGATGTATGATCGAGTACATCCCCAACGATATGTTTTGCACTTTGTGCATTTATAACTATAACTAGCTAGAGACCTAGAGTACTTCTAATTTAACTCAACTAGTTTTTTTATTTTTATTTATTTATTTTTTTTAGGGCAAATTATTTCCTCCTAGCAAACTCATTGTTTTAGTTTTCATTTTAATCCAATAAAATATTCTAGTCGTACATATTTCTGTAAAAATATTAGTTCAATTCAAACAACATTTGTTGAGAGAGTTTTCCTCGGTTCCAATCAGAGCACATCACGTGGGTATCGAGTAATAGTTGGCATGAATGTATAGTGGGGGGGGGGGGGGGGGGGACTTTCATAAATGTTGAGGACAGTATGTAGGAAGTAGTTGAGGATATATATAATTTGAGAGTTAAGACAAACCTTAATAAATAAGGTACGTACCTTGCCAACTTCAAACTTCATCAATTTCAATCCAATTACGCATACCCATCAACGGCTAGTCGGCAATAATACCTAGTTGATATATCATTATATCATATTCATATGTATATATACACATCTTACCATTATGAATTTATTATATTTCATAGAATAAATAAAATAGAAAAAAGTGGAATGCCAGTTGCTTGATATGTCTATTTCCACATGCATTTTTCAGATTTATTACTCATCAATTTCTAGTTGTTCGATTGTAAATTAATTCAGCTTCAGTATATAAATGAGTTATGTTTTAGTAATTTTGTTGTATGAATGGTGGTTCATTACTCATTAGATGAGAAGCGGGGAAGATGGGAGGTTGTTGTATTAATTCAGGGAGTACTTTATACCCTTCTGTTTTTTACTAACCCGCCTTAAAATATCTATCTCATTTGATATTTTAGGATTACTTTACGATAGAGTTTATTTACTCCCTTTGTCCTATAATAACTAGCACAGTTAAACTTTGTACACATGTGGTGATGTGGATGCAATGATTTGACCTAATTTTTACAAAATTAAATATCTATAAAAAGTATTTTTAAAATTATATTATAAAACTTTACTTTAATTTCTATCTAGCAACCTATATTATGATAAAATATATATTTATTATGTTTATAAGAAACTATACTTAGAGTTAGTATATATAAATATTGAAAATAGGGTTAAAAGTGTCAGCAGGGTTAGGGGAGCATCTTTTTGAATCTCACATCCACTCAATCAATTGCTCCTTATGTACCAAGCTAAGCTTGGTCTTGTGGAAAGGAAATTTAATTTCCACTAGTAACAATTTAGGGGGGTGAGATTCCCTTACCTTTCTCCCACTCTCCCAAATTATCTAGCCCACTAAACTCGGACCGAATTAATCAATGAGAGGTGTTGGCCTGATATGACCCTTCATCTTGCCTAAAAATAATCTCCGTTTATATTTGCTTGGGTCATGTAGATTTTGAATTGGAATAGTTAGTTTTGAGTAACCAATGTTTTAGATTAAATTGGGTTGGTCATGATCAGGTTAACTTTTGATCCACTAATTTTCTTTGCACATATGACAAACGATCAACAAGTAGCTCACATAAGGCCCAAAATATGTTTTACAAGCCCAATTTCAAATCAATCAACAAATTAGACAATGGAGTTATGGAGTTGGCATGGCTTCATCAAATTAAAGCGGACACATAACACATATCACAACCCAAAAGAATCACTAAGGCTTTATTCCTCAAATATGATAACGAGAGCCAACATACACACACACCATATAGCCTAGACGTGCTCACAAATGGAATATTTTGGCTCATCTCGTCTTAATTAAATTTGAATTTGATCCGAGTCTTAACCTTTGTCTTGGTAAAAAAAAAAAAAAATAAATAAATAAACCCTTGAACTTTCGGCTCCATTTTGAACACTTAAAGTCAACCTTTTGTCTTTTAGGTTGTCAATTTTTTTTCTTTTATATTCATATCTAAATCAATGATTCTCTAAACATGTTAATGGAATTGCAATCCTATTCCCATTTCTCATTATCAATATGTAAAAATCATAAAAAGTTTATATTATGAAAATATAAAATGACACAATTCTAACTAAATCTCATATGAATATGTTTTATCATAAGTACATAACTATAAATCACAAATAATAGTCAAAATAGAGCCTATAAATATTGTCAAAAGCCAAAACGTGTTAATTAAAAAAGAACATAAAAGTATTTGTTACCATTTTCTAAGATTTAATAGGGTCAGTCAAGATCACTATAGACTAACAAGTAGCCCACATTCGGCCCTGAATATTTTCCACAAACCCAAATTATAATTCAGCCAATCCTAAAGTATAATTCCTATTCACTACACCCCTCTTTAGCCATTAATACCTACTCCCCCCCTAAAATTACTGTAAAACCCTTACCCCCACTAACCACACCCCACTAACTGCATCCCACTAACCGCACTAGTTAGAACTTGCAGTTAATTCTCCATTTCTCTTCAACACCATATTCTCTCTTTTCAAATACTCAAAATCGCTACAATTCAAGAAAAAAAATCTTCAAAATTACAGCAAATTGCATCAAAACATCTAAAAATGTCTGACATTCGAGATGAAGTTCGTCAATCGCAACTAAATTCCGAAAAAGAAGAGTAAGAATTTGTTCATTTAAGTAGAATTTTGAATGTAAACCCTAGATTTTATATTTATTTTTTTTTGCGTTTTGATATTCTAAAACAAACTCTACTATAATTACACTTATTTTTGTGCAAAATAGACTAAAATCTACTATATTTGGTGGTATTTTTAATTAGTAAAAACGAAACAGAGAAGAATACTTCGAAGGTTCCGTCGGAGAAGACGATTACTGAACAAATGTTCATTTTCAGTAAATGTTCATTTTCAATTTGATAGATGTTCATTATGATACTAGTATATGATCATTTATATTCTTACCTTACATCTACTAGGGTTCATTCTTGAATTCTTGAGAAAATATTACTCTAATTTTGTTCATGATCTTTACATATTAATAAATGTTTACTGGTATTTAAACATATGTTTATTTGAATGTAATTAAGTACATTTTCATTCTCATATTGAAAATATCCACATAGATTATACTAATACATGTTTAACTTCATATTAAATTATATGCTCATGAGCATCATTTGAATGTTATACTACATACATTTTCGCTCAAATATTGATAAATGCTTATTCGAATTTGATACATAGATTTTCATTTGGATATGTGTATATTATTCACACATATGTTAATGCATGTTCATTCACATGTCTAAAAATGTTCAAAAATAAATTACATATTGCTCATTCATCATAAACCTTTGATGATTCTATTTTAAAATATGTTAAAAAATAAATCACCTATTGTCACTTACATTATTTGTGATATATATATGCTTATGTTATTTGTGATAATTTGTTCATTTATATAAAATAGAATGTACATTTTTGTTTTGCCAATTGAACATTTATTAAATTTGTAATATCAATATAATGTTTATGCATATATATTGATTTACAAACACAATACATATTGTAGTTATGTTCTATATAGAGTGAAACACACGTTGCAATAATTTAGAGATGAAAACTATGAGCCTAAATTTATAAGGAGATAACGCCATCAATTATATTAAAAGATAAAAATGAACAACATAGTAATATGTAGGAATCATATTTTGATAAAAGCATGTTGAACCACAAGTAAGTTAATTTGACATATGGCATAATGTTCATTTTCATAACAATGAATACACACATTGACATTGTAATTTGTTTGACTTAAAGATACACCAAATCAAGAAGCTGAGAATACAATACATTGCTCAACTGATGCTATTTGGATTAAACAGAAGCTAGAGGCAATAGAAAAGGAGCAAGAAGATTTATGGAAGCTTATATTACTACAAATATTATTCTTTCGGTTATTTGATAATTTATGGATTTCTAAATGATCAAGTACATTAATATTCATATTTTTTTTAATTCATTAGTGCTTGTTATATATATATATATATATCAAGAAATTAACGAAATACAATAAAATGTTCGTAACCAAAAAGGCAAATGTTCAGTGTCAAAACAAAACATGTTCAGTTACATATCACTTATCAGAAAAAAAAAAAAAAAGCTGGAACAAATATATGTTGTTTCAATCCAAATTCTTACTTATTATTATTTGCCAACCTATTCGCTACATTAGTGTAAAAAAGAAAAAGCTAACAACCTATCGTACTCAGAAGAAATATGTTGATTAGCTACCACGTTGAACACTTTGAACATCTCTTGGAACACTTGAAGAAACTTGAAAATTTCTTAAAACACTTGGACGTAATTGAACCTTTTCTCTTGGCACACTTAAAGAAACTTGGACATCACTTGGAGCACTTGAATGAACTTGGCCTTTTCTTGGAGCACGCACTTGGACAATACTAAATTCTTTCTTAAAAACATATTCATTGTACCTGCCATAAATTTCTTGTTCAGAATTAAAATATGTAAAAAGTAACTCTGATTTAGTTGCTTCTTCATACAAAATTTCATCACTAGCACCCGCTGTATAAGTTTTAAAAATGAACATAATCAATGACAGATATGTACAAATACAAAACAGTACATATATAAATGATCATTTAGCATTATCAATTTGATCAAAATAATAAAATAAAATAAAGTACTAAATATTTAAAATATAATTAAAACATCTATAACAGAACATTAGTTTGAATCATAATGATCATTTAGAATTATGAAATTGATCAAAATTGTAAAACTACTAAAAAAACCCACGAAAACATATATAAAAAAAATCTAATCACTCACAGAAAACAAATCACAATCAACAATCATTAAACTAAAAACAGCAAACAAACTTGAATCATAAATCATACTAATCGAAGTAAGAGACAAAATTTATTAAAATAAAAACTTCAATTCACTTGAATTATAACACCAAACCAAATTGAACTAAAACATAGGCTAAATTGATTTTAAAAAACTAGAAAAATCGAATAAAATCAGCAAATAATTTAAAACAAAACAGCTAACAAAATTGAATCAAACAATTGACCAGCAAGCATTAATCAAAATCAGAGGCAAAATTGATCAAATTGAACAACTCCAATCAGAGACAAAATAACTTCACAATCACGATCAAATTCGACAATCGAAGAATGTAGCACTTCATTATCACAATCAACAGCTCCAATCAATGATTCATCCATAAATAAGAGGAAAAAAGTGATTGAAAGAGAAATAATGTTGAAGAAAAGAGAGAAAATGCCAAAAAAATAAAAAAAGCAAAAAAACAGAAAAATAGGTTTTGAATCATATATATAAATGACTTGAGAGATAAGATATAAATAAATTTAAAAAAAAAAAAAAAAAACAAAACCAGAAAAGCATAAACAGGTAAAACGATGTAGTATAATTGGGGGGAGTAGGCAGCATTGGCTAAAGGGGGTTGTAGGTAAAAATTTTCACCTGTAGAAGTCCATCAACAAATGAAACAATGAACTGCAGCAAATTAAAGCAGCCCATATTTGGCGGCCATAAACGACGACACGCAAAAACCTAGGCTAATCTCAAACTTTAAATTACACCTTACACGAAAAAAAACACACAAAACATAATAGGTCAACAGACAACAGTACAACACAACACAACACAATAAAACACCACCCTTACTCCGAAAAAAAAAAATACTCCTATTTGTATGCTTGGGTTAGTTGGGTATAAGAGTTTGTCGCGAACATCTAAAACAATTAGTGGTGTCGTGACTTTACCATCATGCTTGAATATTGAATATAAGAATATGGGATAATTAGGCTCATCTTACATCAATTAAATTTGAATTTGAGCAATTCTCAACTATTTTGAGAGTCTAAAATCACGTGTAGCTAATGATACACTTAATTTGACTTTGAACATTGTAACCATGTAATGATATAAGAATTAGATCTCTAACCAAGTAGATTTAGCTCATAATCCATCATTATTCTTGCCTAATTAAAAGTTTGAAATCTTGTAATTTCAACTTTTTCTTTTTCAAGTTTCAACATCTCTATGATTTCATTTTCTTGTCTTATCCTTTGACATTTTCCATGTAAATCACTTTCTCATTTCTATTGTAAGAATTTTAAATAAACCAACTAGACTTTTATAATATAAAGATGGGGACATAAACCTTACAACTATGTAAGTCGAAACACATTTATCGACATAAACCCACCTCTTCCTATATTTGAATATTAGGATAATAATATCTTTATTGAAATATTCTTTTATTGGCCAATCAAAAAAATCAGAGTAATTAATTATAAGATAATTAAACTCTCTCGAATCTTAAGCTCCTCGCACAATTTCACGTCTCTTATGTATTGGTCCCACTTCAACTATAATATAATGCATTTTTATAAATCACCAATTAAAGCGACAAAATTATGTACAAGTTTGTTCTTCAAAACGATTAAACTTGTACGATAATTATTTATTTGCTAATCTAATTTATCACTAGCACTTGTCAACTTTTTATTACACATTGAAACTTATTATAAAAATCACCTAAAGACGTGCTCCAACGTGACACCCGATCAATCATTTCATGGTTTAGCATATAATAATTTAACATTAGCAATATTGTCAATTACTACTTGTCTATATCCATCCTCCTATTCTAGTATATGTTTATATAAAGCCTTACAATAGAAGGAAGTATAAAAGAGGGTCAAAAAACACACCAAAGTTGCATTATATACATCAAACATGATGAGGGCTCACAAGAGAGGCACCAATTATCTTGGTACCGATAGAACACGGCTACTTGCCCTAGGCACATTGTTCGGGTTTGTAGCGGGTGCACTACTAATGTCGGCCTTTAGGGGATCTGTAGGCAGGTGGTCATCTTATCGATATTCTTTCTCCTCAGTGTCCACCGCCACACCGATACAACTGAAGGCGATCCTTCACTACGCGACTTCCAAGGTGGTCCCACAACAGTCCCTAAAGGAGGTTACAGAGTCATATAACGTACTCCAAACCCTAGGGTCATGCAACTTCCTAGTATTCGGGTTGGGCCACGACTCCCTCATGTGGGCAGCGCTTAACCCAAATGGGACCACCCTTTTTTTAGAAGAGTCCCCGGAATGGGTCACCTCCGTTTTAAAAGGCGCGCCATTTTTAAACGCCATAACGGTGTCGTACAAGACTCGGCTCCGAGAAGCCGATAAGCTACTAGAAACGTACCGGGAGGAGCCCGATTGCCGGCCCGAGAGGGCCTTCTTGAAGGGAAACCGGCATTGCAAGTTAGCCTTGGATAACCTACCAGAAGAAGTGTATGAAAGGGAGTGGGATGTGATCATGATCGACGCTCCTAGGGGATACTCCCCGGAACACCCCGGGCGGATGGCGGCGATATTCTCCGCAGCCGTGATGACGCGTGAGAGGAAAGGAGTAGGTAATACACATATTTTCTTACATGATGTTGACAGAAAAGTGGAAGAAACGTTTGCTAAAGAGTTTTTGTGCATGAAATATAAGGTTGGTAGTGTTGGAAGGTTGTGGCATTTTGAAATTCCACCGGTTACAAATCATAATAACGCCGGTAGTATCAATAATTTTTGTTAACCCCGTATAATATTTTATTATTATTATTAAGAAATTAAATATACTCAAATTATATAATTTTTTTTTTCATTTATATTTGGAATTTACTTGAATTTTCATTTTGAATATACAAGTACATCGTTGTTGCTATTATGGAGCACTACATTTTGAAAGTTCATCAACATCTCGTACGTGTCTAACTTAGATTTAATATAAAACGAGTATTATATACATGTTGTCATCGTCTAATTGGAGCGGTGGATATTGAGATAAAATATAACTTGGTATCATTATTGCTGATATCATATCTTATTACTCCCTCCGTCCCTAAATTACATTCTTGTTTTTCTCTATTATATGAGGAATAAATGCTAGAAATAGGAATATAATTTAGAGACGGATGGAGTATATATTTTTGATAAATTAAGACATTATGTTCACTACGAGTTAATAACTTTATCTTTGATATATACGTAACGAGTATTATTATTTGTATCGTTAATGTGTATGTAATGATTTCATGTACTCATATTATTACTTTCATCATTTTCTTTCTCATAACTCATTATCATTAAAAAAATTAGAATAATTATTGTCTGTATTTGTTTTGGAGAAAAGTCTACAACATATGATTTTATTATATAGTTGATAGATCGTCACTTATACCTAGCTAATTAATTCTCTTAAAGAAAAGTCGTTTACAAGCTAAGCTTATTATTGTTACTCAATCATTAAAAAGATACATATAAAATACACGAAATTGTATTCGAATTGATTTATTGATTGGATAAGGCTGTCGTTATAAAATTCTTATTGTTGTTACCATTATTGAGCATGAGCATATGCAATGGCTTCAACATCTCCCTTCAAAGTAAAACGCGGTTGGGAATCAATCTAGTTTGAAAGATGTATAATCGTGGACGGTATTGTCACGAAGAATATATAGATTTTACGCTCGATTTCTATTCATATTACATTTATCGTATCACTTGACTAATTTTTTTCATCTTATAAATTCATTTTAATTTAAAATATTGACATAATACCATTTACTATCTTCGATCCAAATTACTCGCAATTTTAAAATATTTTATATCTCATAAATAATACCTCAAAGTTACAAGTAATTTGAAACGGAGGTAGTATTTAAATTATTTATTCATTCACACACTTGTTAAGTTGTTAAGTGAGTAATAATTAATATACTTGTAAATATCATAAATATTTTTATACTACTAAAGTTTTTGAACTTTTTCGAGTTGCAAATTAAATAACTAATTTCTCACGCCCTTTTCATTCATCTCACTACGTATTACGCAAAGAAACCTCAAAGAAATGTGATATTACCTTTTTAACCTTTAATTGAACGTGCAATCTGATCAGATCACTTTCCTTACTTCCCAAATTTTCTATTGCTTACAATTTTAAAAAGGTAACACCTTTCTAAAACCTATGCACTAACATTAACAATATTTTTTAAGTCCTCTAGTACTATAGTACTATATATAACACCTTACTACATTACTCTAGACAACAACATCAAATACTAGTAATAATTTTAAGTAAACAAAATATGAAGGGTCACAAATCCAACCAGTCTGATCGGGCTCGGTTTATCGCCATCGGTGTGTTCTTAGGGTTCGTCTCGGGTGCACTCTTAATGTCGGCTTTTATGAGCCGATGGTCATCTAATCAGTATTCGCTGACCTCCATGCCCGTCCAAGGAAGGGCCATCCTTCACTACGCGACCTCAAAGATAATCCCACAACAAACCCTGGAGGAGGTTACAGAGTCATTTAACGTACTCCAAACCCTAAGTCCGTGTAACTTTCTCATATACGGGTTAGGTTATGATTCCCTGATGTGGGCCGGACTCAACCCAAATGGGACCACCCTCTTTTTAGAGGAGTCCCCTGAGTGGGTCACCACTGTACTAAAAGATGCACCGTTTTTGAACGCAAAAACGGTGCCATACAGAACACAACTTAGAGACGCGGATCAAATACTAAAAACATACAAAAAGAATCCAGATTGTCAATTCTCTAGGGCTTTCTTAAAGGGTAACCAAAACTGCCTTTTGGCCTTAGAGAACCTACCAGATGAGGTTTACCTACGAGAGTGGGACGTGATCATGGTCGACGCTCCAAGGGGGTACTCGCCGGAGCATCCAGGGAGGATGGCGGCGATATTCTCTGCAGCCGTGATGGCACGTGACCGGAAGCGGCCGGGGAATACACACGTGTTCTTGCATGATGTTGATAGACCAGTGGAGAAAAAGTTTGCTGAGGAATTTTTGTGTAGCAAGTATAGAGTTGGAGCTGTAGGAAGATTATGGCATTTTGAGATCCCACCATCTGCTCCTAATAATGAGGGTAAAACAAGTTTTTGTTAAAGATAGATCCAACAATCGAATTTCTTTTTTCTTCTTATTATTGTTGGTATGTGATCGTTACATATCATAGCGAGGTAAGGTTACGTATATTAATTATATCGTTGTCTAAAATAATTACATGTATCGAAACTTACACTTATTTATTTATGAAGACTATACAGATAAGAATTAAACTCTTGACCTCGTGTTTAATATATACTTTTTTAATTTATTAAGTTTTCGTATTGATCATATTGGTTTAGTTTGTATTTATATTGATTTGGATCGTGTACATTTTGAGGTCGGTCAATGTACATATTATGAAACTTGTGACTATGCAATTTATGCTAGAAAAGTATAGATCGAGTTCTTTTCATAAATTGTGTCATAAGAATTAAACTCTTGACCTCAACTCCTATCCTATATATATGAGAGAATATTACTTCCAAATTTTAATATTTGGAACTTATGAATCATTTTTATTTTTATTTTTAACTTTTTTGTTTGAAACAATTTATTTTTGAACTTTATACAGTATAAAGTTTAATTTGTTTAGGACAGTATGTCGAAGTGGTAGTAGTACTTCTTCATTAAGCTTCCTTAATCATATTGATACAGTTTCTATTCATAATATATACATATTTTGCATAAAGTATTCTGAGGTTAAAGAACATGCATAATGTGATTTTCATGATGTATACATATGAAAAGGATGTGCAACTAAAAGTTACACAAATGATCAATGTTATCGATGTTTGAGATAACATTTTTTGTTAGATTTATGTAGCGCTTTCTCCGTCCTTTTATTTATTCGAGTCTCATTTTTAACATTTATTACTCACATGATAAAAAGAAATGAGACTCTAATAAAAGGACTGAGGGAGTATGAGACATGGTCAATGTTTTCTGATATCGATTATATTCAGTGGCGGACCCACGTAGGAGCCCGGGGTAGCACGTGCCCCCCTCCAAAAAAAAAAAAAATCTGTAAAAACTTGCTAAGGCCTGCAACAGTATTAGTATAAAAATTTAATTTGTGTATTTGTTAACAATAAATGGCGCTGCTTTGATGGTGAGGCCGTAAGGGATACAAGTAAGAAGTTAATTATTTTGTGCGTCAGGGTACAATTAATTCAGGTTCATACACTCTCAATTCATAGAAATTCTTCCCATTTTCATAACAGTGTTTCCAATGTTCGTGTTTATCCATTAATATATACTTCATTCCTCCATTTTCTTTATAGTTGCAATACACACTGTATCTTAAGAGAGTAAGAGTATAATTAAGTGGGTCATGTGCTTTTAATAAAGGCAATAGTACAATTTTCACCATAAAAACCTTCTTTTTATAGTGTATTGCAACTATTGTTTCACATAATTATATACTCAATGTTTGATTGTATAGATAGAACATCTATATTAGTCAAAATTGTGTATTTTACACTACTTTTTTGTAAAATAAGTTAAAGTGGTTGGTTATGTAAATTTGGGATAGTAAATACTTAAAATGGGACACTATAAAAGATACCAAGGGAGTATACAACAAGACAACCTATCATATAAAATGGTAACTTAGTTTGTTAAATTGTTTGTTGCATATATGTGACGCCCTAAATAGTGTATAAAGAGTATGAGTTTATACGTTACAACTATGTAGGTTTTTTTTTTTTTTTTTTTTTTTTCTCTCGTATGTAGTGCGCAGTGCGCCAGTGCTACCCCTACTTACAATTTCTGGATCCGCCACTGATTATATTTCGTAGCTAACATATTCTACTTAAACTATATTTCAATTGTTCAAATCGAGAGTAACGATCGAGTAAGCTAAGGTTGGTCCAAAGCTTAATTATCGTCACATGGAATGGGGACTCACAAAATTAAAGCATCCTTATTGGTCTAAGTTGACCTTGGAGTTTGTGAGATGTAGTAATTTAAGGCTAATACCAATAGACTTATATACCATTGCGTGATTTATCATTTTATCTAAATTGAAGCCTTTATATACAACTAATACAAGTTAATTATTGTATGTTGTTATATGCGTCAAATATATTTAACTTATTATTATAAAATTAATACAATTAATGTAAAAATTGAAAATGGATAGATGTTTAATACTCCATTTATAAACAATGCATACATCACTAAATATTGAGGTTCGATCGATTAGTGTTGACATTGTAGCGTTTGTGTTGTTAACTTCAGATTAACAATTATTAAATCGTATTGTAGAAGCTTCTAGATCAAGTGTTTAATGATTATAAACAGAGTTGAGTTTTTTGAGAAGTTATGGCCATTGTATATACTAGTAGTATAGTTTCCAAAGCAATTAAATATAAAAGCTCCAAAAAAAATCATCAATACATGTATTTAGGCCGGAATATAAGGATTATTTGAGCTTTTTTTTCTTTTCTTTTCTTTTCTTTTTTTTTATTATTTTTTAAAGTATTAGTTATATACTTGTTTTTTTTTTTGTTAAAAAATAAAAAGTTATAAATGTTAATTTCAATTGGTTTGAGAATACATATACACCTTAACTTTGACATTTGTTACTGATAAAATGATGTAGGTTAATTGTCTATATGAACCAACTAACAACTTTCGTTCGTCTTTTACAAGTCAATGGATTGTAACAAAACCCAATAGTATTATTATGCTACATTTCTTTGATATAATAAATAAATAAAAAGGCACTATATTACACTAGCTAGGTTAATTATTATTTCCCCTAGCTTCTTTGTTTGTGTGAATCGATTACATGAGTAATTTTATTGAATACTACGTATATAATTAGAAAATCAAAGATAAGGTGTACAAAATATTTTTGGAAAATTTATCAAAAATAACACCACCTTTGGTCGGTTTTCCAGTAATAGCACCACCTTTTGATTATTCCAGAATAACACCACCTTTCACATGTATTTGCCAAAAATGAAACAAAACCGGTTAGTAACCTGTTTTACAGGTTACCTGTGACACGTGTTACAATGTCATTGGTCAATTTTTTTATATAATTTTTTTTAAAAAAAAACCTAATTAATTAAATAACAAAGTTAAAATAATAAAAAAAAAAAACAAAACCACCACCTAGCCCCCGCTGCCCAGCCCCCACCCCTACCCACCCTCGTCGCCGCCCTTCCCCCTCCCCATCCTTGCCGCTGCCCTTCCCCCTCCCCATCCTCGCCGCCGATCGATCTCCCCAGCCTTCCCCCTCCCTCCACCCATTCCCCGTCCTTAAACAACCCACCACCGCTTTCCCGTCGTCGTTTCTAGCCCCCTTCCCTTCCCAATTTTCGATGCCCCTACCCATCCCTTCTCCATTTTTGATACCCCTCCCTTTCCCTTCCCAATTTCCGGCCCCTACCACCTTTCTCCTTCCCCGAAACCATAAACAGTCGAAAATGTTGGTTTTGTAAAAGGGAAGGGCTCGAAATTGGGGACGATGAAGGGAGGGGGGGATTGAATCTGCTACAGAGAGGAGAGGTGGGGGCTGAAATCGGGAACGGGGAAGGGAGGAGCCCGAAATCGGAAACGGGGAAGGTGGATGGTCTTGGTGGGGGTGGTGGATGTCGGTGGGCAGAGGGGCTGGGAATGTGAGAAGGGGTTTAATTTTTTTTAAAAATTTTTTAAAAGTTTTTTCAAAATTAAAAATAAAAATAAATAAGTTAACCAATCAAACTAGAACACGTGTCCCAGGGTTACCTGTAAAATAGGTTACCGGTTTTTTGTTTCATTTTTGGCAAATACATGTGAAAGGTGGTGTTATTATGGAATAATCAAAAGGTGGTGCTATTACTGGAAGACCGACTAAAGGTGGTGTTATTTTTGACAAATTTTCCAATATTTTTTTATAAACACAACTTAATTATTAAAGTGTTCATAGAAGGTGTGAATATGTCATCACTAAATGACCACAAACATAACGAAACCACTAATAATAACCACTCCATAATAGATTCATACTAAATTAGTTGCAACTTTTTACCCAATACTTGCGATGATGATTATTTCTTCTAACAAGATACAATAGTCAGTATACGAGATATATTCTCTTGGACTTCCATAACTTTTTCTTATTATACCTAGTACGGAGTATTACCTTTATTTTATTAGTGCTGAAGATATACTAAGCAACTTTTACATAGTTAAACATTTTTTTGAATCTATTACATGTACTCCTCCTATACATTTTACCTTTTGTTTAATTAAATTTTAAAGTTAGGCATTACAGAATTAACCTAAATTAGTGGTAACATAATTTGCACCGAAAAATATATTCTTGTCGCACTACTTTAGTACTTTTGTCAGTGGAATTGACAAAAAAAATAAAATTAAGTGAATCTTATTTACTTTAATGCCACGTAGCATGTGGTCAGTAAACTGTACGGAACATAGTTTTTTTTGTCTTAAGTACAGTGCGGTAAAAATTGTACACTTGTCGTTATTTTACGCATTTGACGAAAAAGGAGACATCAAGCGTGAAAGTGGGTTGCACAATAATCAAAGAGATCTATAACAACCAATCACATTTCACCACTTAGTTACTAGCCAGTAGTCAACATTAAAGCCATTTAAATTCTTGAGATATTTGCTTAATTACTCCATATTATTTGAACTAGTTTCATGGTCATTTTATTAGACTTAAATGAATCCATAAGTAGCTTCTTATTGGATAAAGAGATAATTTGTACTACCAAGTATAAAATATTCTAAGATTAGCATTGTATTTTTCTAACCTCAAAAATCAACTAGAGAGTTTCAAACAAGGAAATACTATGTCTTATATTAGTTTCAAACAAGTAGTAATAGTTTGCAATATTCCGTACTTCATAATATACAATGAAATATTGTCTTATGTTAGTTAATACAATAGTTGTATTTTCATAGGAATTGAAATCAACTAACTCTTTGTGTCTTTTGTAACATGATCTTGCTTTTTGGTGACAATCTCTTTGTGTTGGTCTTGAAGCAATATAAACTTTTGAAATTTGAGTTACACCTTTGTTGACAATCTATTTTGTTATGACTCTATTGTCTTCTATATTTGACCTTATTTACATGTTTTTATGAAGTTTATACATATGCCCTTACATTACCAATTATATGCAAGCTACCGATGGAAAACAACTGTAAATAGAATGACACACATACATGTTGAGAAATAATTATCATATGTACATTATAAAGAACCTTTAAGGCGATGAGAATAAGAAGAAGAAAGACATCTAACTAGCTCATAACTTTGAAGGAGTTATAACACCGCCTATTAAACATGCAACATACATACGTATTATTAGGTTAGACTTCTAGCTATTAAGCTTGTGTATATGTGGGATTGGGAAAATCTTCCTTTTGATATGCCTTGAATTAGCTCTACTAAAGTTTAGTGGTTTTGAGTGAAGATTATATTATAATTCAGACCAATCATCTATTTAATAAAGTGACATGTCATTGATTTGTTCCACATGCATTAGAAAGCTAAGATAAGGAAATGACTTAATTATTTAACATGTATAAGTCTGGCAATCTATTGCGCTTGTAACAGTCAGTTGCATTGTAAACTCTCAATCGATTTAAGTTTATTTTATGATGTATGTATTGTTCACCTTGGAAAAAGTTAAGGTTCTGTAAATATTGAGTTGATTATGTATAATAATGATAAGTAAAGTTTATGTGAAGTAAATGCAAAAAAAAAAAATGATCAACAGTCTAAATACGCCAAAATTTAGTAAACTCCCTACGTCAAATGAAATATTCTTATTAATATACTCCATATGATATTATTGTGATCGACATCTACGTTCAATATAATAGTTAATTTTATTTCTTATTGTTCCGATACAAAATGTCGATAATGTGAAAGGGACTACCACATGTGAAAATGGAAGGATTGAGGATAACACACATAATGTCATGGACACTTTTCAATTCAAGGACAGAATTGGAATTTGGAAGATTAGAAGATCCTAACTTATGGAGAAGTTAGCCAAAAGAAAAGACAAATCAAATTATAACGCACATACATCTTAGACACTTAGACATCATTTTCTTATTTAAGTTGTCGTATGTACATAAACATGACCCAAATAACATGAACTCGAAAATTCCTCTCCAATTAAAAATAAAAAGCTTACGCCATAAATTCCTTAACCTTCCTACACACTCATATAATATTCCAAGCAATCAACACCGTATTTTACAGATAACAGTCGATAGGTAGATATACATTCCACTTTTTACCAAGGTAGTGACCCAAATAACATGAAGTACTTGTCAAAAAATTAAATGAACGGGGCGTTTTGAATGTGGGAATGAGAGTTTGTGGATTAAAATGTGGAATAAAAATTGGGAATTAATTGTTGAGGAATAAATAACAATGTGACAATACTTTATTTGGATAGTGGATGAGAATATGTAGGAAATAAATAACAAAAAAACAAAATTATCCTTATTAACCTTTCTACTCCAATCTTATCATTAATTATAAAAATGTCATTTTCTAACAATTTCATCTCCATCCATTTATTACCTACCCTCCCTAGTTAATAAAATGTTGGGAATTCACTCTATTTTTTTTATTCCCGATCTCATCTAACAAACAAGGATTTTTTTTTATTTTTTAATTTTTTTTTTTTTTTTTTTGAGTTGGGATTAAAATTCCCAATCCACCCTTAATTCCCATGTACCAAATACCCTCCGAGTATATATAGTTAATTCCTACAACATATTCTGGCATGGCAAGTGTCAATTTAATGAAATAGAAGCATGTAGGTAAAGAATTTTCTCATACGTAAACATATTTGATAGAGTACATAAATTAATTATGGGTTTCAACCATCAATAAAAGCTTTTAATTTGGTTGGTCTTTTAACATTGTGTATCAAGAGTCAACATGACAAAAGGTCACACGGTTCAAATTAATTTTAGAGAGTCAATCATATTCAGTATAATTTAAGAGAGTCAATCATATTTGTTCCTTGATACAATGTATAATTTGTAATTAATTACATGCATCACTTTGACACTTTGTATTAGTATATTATTCGTATACTAATACCAAAGGTTATATCAAAAAAAAAAACCAAATATCAAATGGTATTTTGATGATAAATAACATTTATCTAAATAATCTCCCTATTTTACAATGGAAATACGTAAATTAGTTTGTATTGACAAATGAGTATTAGGGTTTTTTTTTTTTGACAAAGAAAATGACTATTAGTTGATGAGTTAATAAAGGTAAAATGAATAACGGTAACACATACATTTTAGTTAAATTGTACTGTACTTTACTATTCAATAAAAGTAAGAGCTGAAAACAAATTGTAGGACATTTACTTAGTAAGTTTGAAAGTTTGAAATATAAAGTGTGACAAAGTTTACTAAAATAAATTAATAATTAAAAAATTTTTTGCAAAAATGAAAGTAAAATCCTATCTCTCCAATTTCTTTCCATAATGGAATTTATGATATTATAAGTTGAATCCAATATATGGTGCAGATTTATTTATATAAATGGTGCAGATTTATTTATATAAATAGTGCAGATATAGATCAGATTTGTCAAAAAAAAGACTGTTATAAATTAAATACTATAAATAATTACCTTTTTGCTATATTCAAATCTAGTCCACTCTGATACTAGCTAGTTTTTAACATCTAATAATAATGAAGAAAATAATCCTCTCTGATAAAACAACTAATACTAGTTTTGGCATCTAATCCTCTCTGATACAATTGATTTAGTTATGTGTATTTTGTGATAATTAGATATCCAAATTACTAGCTAGCCAACCCTACACAAATAACACATCATACTTCTTCAAAATAAATTACTAATAATAATACAATGTACTTCCTACATAACACTTAGTACGGAGTATCAATATAATTTATTTACATGTCTACCACACGCGCGCCTAAATCTCAAGGTTTACATTTGATCTTGATCACCATTTAAAGCCTTTGATTGATATAGAATTAACTTACACTACGCAATATTTTGATATCAAATGAACAAGTAGAAACTATGTAATCGTATTTTTTTTTGTACGAATGAAGAGATTATATTGCCACTAATTATAATCATTTATAATACGAGACAAACTCAAACGTACTCGCTCATACAATTATACAAGATTAAAGCAATGAATTATCAAAATAAATTAAGTTAGCACGAAATGGGACAAACAAAAAGAGAGAAGAAAATACACGCAAATTAATTAGATTTTTCTTTTGGATAAGTCCCTTTCAAGTTTCAATATTATAAACACCAACGTAATTACATTAATTAATACGGAGTATTAGCAATAAATAATCGTACAATATTACTAAAATCTCGCAATACTTTTCTTTATTACAAACAAAAATTAAAAATTAAAAAAAAAATAAAAATCACTTTTTCTTCTCTCTCTTATATATCCTCCTCCTCCATCACACCCCTACTTAAAGCCTTAAACACACACAGAGAGATTGATACAGAGAAAATTCAGAGAGAGAGAAAAAAAAAAGTAATAATAAAATCCAAAAATAGTGGAAATGAAACCCGAAAACGACGTCGTCGGATCAACCACCGACAGACCGCGGCAAACCGTCGTCGCACTAATCAGTTTCTTCACCGGCGCATTTTTAATGTCGGCATTTCTAACCGTGGGCCACCGTGATTGGCCGTCGTACCTCCTATCTCTCCGGCCCAAGCCCATGATCTCCGGTCCAAGCCCAACAACTCCGATCCAACTTCAGACAATCCTCCACTACGCCACGTCAAAGGTGACCCCACAACAATCTCTCCAAGAAATCACTCAATCATTCAACGTTCTTAAATCTTGTAAATCTCCTTGTAATTTCCTTGTTTTTGGGCTGGGCTACGATTCCCTAATGTGGGCCTCGTTTAACCCGACTGGGCCCACTTTGTTTCTGGAAGAAACTCCTGAGTGGGTCACCACTGTTTTGAAAGACGCGCCGTGGTTAAACGCCAAAACGGTGTCGTATCGCACGCGACTTAAGGAGGCTGACCAGTTACTTGCGAGTTACCGGCACGTGCCTGAGTGTTTACCTGGAAGAGCCTATTTAAAGGGTAACCGGAAGTGCCGGTTAGCTTTGGAGAATTTACCGGATGAGGTGTATGAGAGAGAGTGGGATGTTATTATGGTCGACGCGCCTAGAGGGTATTTTGCGGACGCGCCAGGGAGGATGGCCGCGATTTATTCCGCGGCCGTCATGGCACGTGCGAGGAAGCGCGTGGGGAACACACACGTGTTCTTACATGATGTGGATAGGAAGGTTGAGAGGGAGTTTGCTAAGGAGTTTTTGTGTATGAAGTTTAAGGTTGGTGGTGTTGGGAGATTGTGGCATTTTGAGATACCTCCTAATAATAGCACTAGTAGCACCACATTTTGTGATTAGTATACAAATGTTATTTTTATCTTGGTGTAGTAGGTATTGTTTTATAAATGACCTTATGATTAGTATAGAGGTAAGGTTGTGTATAACTGAATTGTCTATTCAGATGTATCGAGATGATATTGATATATGAGAGAAGTTGTGATAGTCATACTTGGACGGATGAGTTTTCTTAGATATTCGGTGATGTCCGGATTGATCTATCCTAGCCTCTTTCTTGAATAAAGTTTGAATCTTTATTATTGTCATAGTTTTCAAATTTCGAAGTTGGCATGACTAAACTAAAGTGGTGTTAGGGAAATAATTATTGTACATTGATTTTGAACTTTTGATTGTTGCACTCCTCTTTGCAAAGGGATAGATTAGTCAAAGAATGCAAGTGTTGGAGCGCGTTAGTCACATTTTTGTAGTGTGGAAATCTTGTTCTAAAAATGTAGAGTGTTGTAGCAAATGACCAAAATGATTTAATGTTGTAAAGACAAACTCCAATTTTTTTTTTTTTTTTTTTTTTTTTTTTTTTTTTTTTTTTTTTGTACAAGTAATGTTAGACTTGCTCTAGACGAGTGGTGACTCTCTCGTATATACTTCATTCATACATAATGTTTGGAATTTTACACTATTTTCACAAACGGAAATCCTCCAAATATTGTTTAAAAAAAAAAAATAAAACCATTAAAAGTATATAAAAGTGTAATAATGCATACTAGCATTATCTAAATTCTTTATCATTTATTTTATAGATTTTGTTTTCATTTTGATTGATTGTACATGATACAAAGTATATATGAAAAAACAATTAGACATTTTTCCTTATTTGGGTGGATTTAGGTAGATGATTTTAGGCAATTGAAATGATTTTAGTGAAAATTACTAACTAACATTTCGTTAATCACCTTTCACATGTTAGTTACCTCAATTACATAAATCAACACTTGAGATTAAGTAGTCAGAAGCGTAAGTAGATGGTGGAGCTCAAACTTAAGATTCCCCATTATATCCACCAAGTTTGCTCACGTATTCACATGTAGAGTGAACGTAAAAACTCCAATTCCCTTATGAAACAAATTCTTTGTAACCTTTGTAAAAATGTCCTCATTTCTCAAGGAGAATAGTAAATTGGCACTAAATCACTAATGCTAAATTGACTAACTCCATACGATTTTAATGGGGACTGTTAGTTAATAGTACTGGATTATCATTTAGTATCATTATTACTTGTATGTTTAATCAAAGACGTCACTAATTCTAATAGGACTAACTCCATAGGACTTTAATAAGGACTATTAGTATCATTATTATGTTTAATCAAAGACGGTAGCTATAAATTTTATTAAATTTCAAATCAATCAATAATACTAATATACTATACATATATATAGGTATAAGTGCTTATATTACTCCCATTTATGACATTTTTGAACCAAATTCATTGCACGTTTAAGATTTTGGAGTTTGAACCTATCTCATACTTCCAACATGTAGTTAATTTTTTACATCTTTGGTTAATATTTTAGTCCTTATTTCATTTTCATTGTACTTGCTAATTATTGTAGATGAAGCAAGTGGTTCAATGGAGTAATGGTGTGTGTTCACCTTCTTCGTCGCGAAGAAAGGAGGAGCAACTAGCTTTGAATTTTTTAAGGCTAGAAAGAAAATAAATCAGATCCTTGACTCTACGCTTTAGCCCAGTTCTGAAAGAAATACATAGGTTTCGTGTTTTGATCAGGGCCGTAGCAAGGGGAGGGCAGCTGGGGCGGCTGCCCTGGGCCCCTTGTTAAAAAGCCCAGCTTCAATACAATACAAGGCCCCAAAATAAATACTACCTCCGTTTCATATTTTTTTTACAACTTTGTAATATTTTATATCACAAAAAATACCCAAAGTTGCAAAAAAATATGAAGCGGAGGTAGTACTTCATACTAAATAGTACTCCCTATGTTTTTAAATACTTGCTCTATTTTTCTTGGACACGCATGTCAATGCTAATCTTTGATCACTAATATCTTTGATCGGGCCATGTAGAAACAAGGTTCAAGTCTGTGGGTCTGTTAGGATGCCTCAGCTGCATACATCACTGCACTTCCACTTGACACCTATCGTAATAATAAACGGCTCGTCTCGCCGTGACCTTCTCTTTCCAAACTTCTGTCGCTCACCCCTCAGGGGCAGAGAACCCGTCACTGCCTCAGCTGTGCTATCGGCAGTGACGGGGAAGTAGGAATAGGAGAGCACTCATCTTGGGGTGGGCTTACTACTTAGATGCTTTCAGCAGTTATCCGCTCCGCACTAATGCATCGATGATAATATGGAATAAGACTAGTTAGTTTAAGCAGTTTGTTAGCATGAAAAAAGGTAAGTATTTGTAAGCACCGATGCCCATACAAGCATTTCGTCATCTGATATAGGGAAAACAATGCCAAGGAAGATTAGGAAGGCATCTGTTTGATCGCAGCAATATACATTGATGAGTGTTATAAGTTACAGCATACTTCGTTTATATGTTACAGGAACTGCATAACAATATGAATAATCTAATACTAGTATATCAAAAAGGGGAAGAAAATCTAGCCTACAGGAAATACTTCATCCGATCATCTCTTCGCATGGCGTTGTACACAGCTTGCACCTGTATAAGCAAACATCACAATATAAATCAGCAATAATTTGTCAGCTTCTGCCCATAATTCATGCACCTACTTTCAAATGGCATTGGTTATAGTTCTTATAGATCCAAATTTGCAATAATTTATGTTCAAGAAAAGAGAGAGTAACCTGTTCGCTAGACATGACTTCCACAGGTCCGATATTAACAGATACATACTTGCCCTTCGATGATGTTTTCTGCTTTACTTGACCCTAATAAAACCATACAAGTTTAGATAAATTTTGGCAGTAAAAAGATGTTTGGACAGAAACGACTAATTCATAAGCCAGACGACAACAATCAGTCAATCATGGTAAAACCACATCTTAACAAGTAAAACAACTATTTTAGACTTCCTCCTTGTAGCTGAAAATATGGTCTCTGTTATTAACTTATTTTACTTTATACATCATTCATCAAAACATAGAAAGAATGAATGAGATTGAAGCCACAATTCCCATATTAGAGTTCAAGGAAGCCAGCATCGACCACATGAGTCAACAAAAACTACTATGGGAATCATTGAATGAGAATGAAGCAACAAGCAGTTGGGGAAAGATTTAGAATGAAGAGGAAAAAACTGAACCAAAGAAATGTTATAAAGAACATTGACATTCGGTTATTGAGCTTCAGTGACATCACTGAGTCATATGTTGTATGTCAGTGCTAGTGTCAACAGCTATGTTAAATATTACATATCGTATAATCAGTTAATCCTAATGTCAACACTGTTACCCAAAGAGCAGGACAATAATCTTTGTGAGAAGAAGGCAAAAAGGAAAAGAAAGATTTCATGTTAAGTTGTTAACCCATTCTTGTTTAGTTTGATAAAATTATCACACCCAATAATCTTTGTGAGAAGAAGGCAAAAAGGAAAAGAAAGATTTCATGTTAAGTTGTTAACCCATTCTTGTTTAGTTTGATAAAATTATCACACCGCTTCTCCCTTCTCAATCCCTTCCTTCCAACTTCCCAGCATCTATCCAAGCTTCCAACCACCCTACAACTTAATGGCATATATGCCTTTCTCCCTCAACCACTATCTAAACTCATCTCACCCTCCATTTCAGCCAAGAAAATAGTAGATGACATTGGCCAAATGCATCAATTTGATCATTACATTCATCCACCATAAAGGTCAATGCAAGTTATGTGCATCACGGTTACACCAATGAACAACCTCTAGCATTGCATTACCTTTGGTTACTAGAGAGTTGCTGAATAGTGATTCCCCAATCCTCATAGGCCATAGCGAGCAGATAAAAAGTGGAAAGAAAGAATAGACATGATTCTTACATTGAATATATCCTTTAATCTCAACCAAGTACCTATAGTATGCCAAAGGTAATTTGAGGAAACCAGTGCTTCTATGTGAAACTCCAATCAAAGAATATTTGGTAACCATGGGAATTAGCAATGGATTTAGTACAAACCACCTTTTCATAAGCTTAAGATGCAACATGTCCTAAGTTATGCTTATAGGTGTGGAAATTCTTGTGCTTAATTTAATTTTTTAATTGGTTAACGATTTTTATTAGCAGGGTCTTCTTCAAAATTAGCTTATCTAGAATTCTTTGGAACTACCAATGACTTAAATCGCCTGATCCTGTTTGAGCAACTAGAATGTACGTAAGCAAGCTAGAAAAGAGCCCCCGTCAAAATTAACCCGCATCATATTTTCAATTAAAACATGTTACCAAGCCAAAAATCTATAGGTCATATTTTATTATTAATTCTCTAAAGGTTATGCCTAAATTCAGTATTTGTCAAATATTCAATTTCAATACAATACCCAACTATTATGGATTTATGGGTATATTTTTTGTGGTAAAAGTGTGATTCATTCTATTAAACCCTCTAGGCCACAATTCATTTTCACCAACTAATGATTGGTAATTTACTTTTGTTCGATTGTCAAAGGAAAAAAAAAATGTTAAACTGCAAGTCTTTTATTGAGGTTTTGTATAACAAAAGATTATCCATTATATCATAGAATAGGGCAGAGATGTGCATATGTTTCCAGATACTTTTTGAGTCATGGTCATCACGATGGAAGAACTGGGAATTTTAAAAAAAAAAATCCTTAATTCCTTATACAGGTCAAATTTGAACACGACCTAATAGCCATCCACCCACTCAGCCAACACCCCCCCCCCAAAAAAAAAAAAGAAAAAGAAAAAAGGTAAGAGGCTTTGGAAGAGCTATGTTCCACCCAGGTAAACATTTTCTTACATTGATATGCTCGATTATGACTCACGATGGTAGGATGGGTCCGAGTTCAGTCTTACATGACACATTCACACAAAAAAAAGATATAGAGAAAAGATAAGCCGTCTAAGGATCACGGGAAGCAGGTATAGCTTCCTGCAAACAACTCTACAAAACCAGTAAAGATGACAGAGTTGGCTTCCAAAAGCAATCTCTCACCCCTAGTCCCATTCTTGCTCTCACTAATCACTATTAGGCCTCCTATGTCAGCACACTAGTAAATTGTTTTGAATAATATTATGTGCTATCTACTAAAGAATAATTTCTTACCAATTCACATTACATGTGAGCTTAAAATCTTCATAGAGATCTACTCCCATTCACAAAAACAAACTATGAATGGTTGTCAAAAGTATTGAAAGTTCAAACACACTCGGGGTAAGGATCCAACCCATAACCTTTGATACCCAAAAAAATGAAGGTTCTAACCATTATGCTGAAAGAGTACTCACAGTTGACTTTAAGCATCATAGATCTAGAAAGAAGGAAGTTTTGAAGAGATGCTTCCCAACCAAGTTGCTTTTCATTAAGAAAGTATTGATCGGGCAACCACAAGAGACTTATAGGTATTTGTCACCGCTTTCGTAGCATATCACTATATCAGATAAACATGCTTCCTCAACTTTTAACAGGTGCACATTGACTTTGGTAACCATATATGCTTACCACATCACATTGATATAAATATATCTTTGGCGGACCAAGGTGATATCTACATACAAAGAATGAATTATGAAGGCACATTCCTTGTACACACTACTATATATCCACATATAAGGCCATAACAAAGAGCACAACAAAAGTATACATCAACTGTCTCATCAGAAACTATTGCACTGTTACTAACTCTTAATTAATCAGAACTCAGTGTAGTTCTTATTAGTAAGAGTTACCTCAGGGATGGGTTGTTGAAGGACTGATTCAACAGCTACAACCATAGAATGCACAAAGTCATCACCACCAGTTCCAATAGCTGTAAATCCCCTAATTGTAGGGTATGAGTTCACCTACCATACAAATGAAAACAATCACAAGATCAGCCCTATAATAGACTCAACGCATTCCATTTCCATAATCAAAACAGGTACAGCAGAATAACTACATCCTGCACTACAGCTTCGTAACAGCATTCAATGGCCATGATGGCAGAAAGTAGAAAGAATTCAAGGAAAATCAGTAGAAAATAATACCTTTTGATCCAGAGCCAGCCATTCATTGGTAGAATCATCTGCTACTGTCCCTCCAATGACAACATTTGTAGTTTGCCCAACCCTTCCTTCCGTCTTTGAGACTTCTGAAACAAACACAAAAAAGTGTACACATATTTATACTGGAATCACTAAAAGGCAATGCAACTCAATAAAAGTAACAGGAGTCGGGTTCATACAACTATCGATACTAAAAGGCAATGCAACTCAATAAAAGTAACAAGAGTCGGGTTCATACAACTATCGATAATTAGAACACCAACTATCGCAGAATCACATAACAGATGACATGCGTTACAATAAATATATCGGCACAGTTGGTTAAGCTAAACAAATCCTATTCGAGTAGTCGATTAATCTTCTATTCTAGGCACCGGAGTTCATTAGACTAGCATGTATGCATTACTTAATCAATTGTGTATTCTGCTTAGTATATAGTTTGATCACTTTGATCCCACCAAGTTTGCCGATAAAACCATTGCAGTTTTCCAATGTCACTCCAATATAATTATATAAATACGCATATCATAAAAGGGTACATGTCCAAGTGCCACAACCAGCTATTTACAAGATAAAAATACATACTACTGATTTATAATCAACTGTCATTTCTGTCAAGTGTCCATAGCTAACGAGTGAAAGAAAATTTAAACAAGGGTATTTAAGGTGGAATGACGATTCTAACTGATAAAAGTAGTTATCCTTTTAAGCTAGAATGCCATTAATTCTTAAAGTAAAGCCCTTTACATCCTAATTTTCACAAATAGCATCCAATTTCATGAAAATCAACTAAATTCATCAAGCATAAAACTTAATTAAACACCTAAATATCAAAAGTAATAAACTTTGACATAATATCAATCAATAATCAAATCAAGACATTAATTCACAAATACCCACTTCAAAAAATCAAAAACCCAGAAATAAAAAGATAAATATCACACCTGAAATGGCTTTAAGCACAGCTTCTTGAGGTGGGTCCTGGTCATCCTGAGAAGAGCAATTGAGCCGGTGGGTTCGGGTAACCCGATAACCCGAACCCATGTTCAGATGTTGGACCTTCAACGGGCCAGGAGGAGGAAAACGGTTGGATGAAGATGGAAGCAGCCATGGTTCGGTAGAGAACATGGTTCGCAGCACCATTCTGCACGCCATGTGTTCGACGTTTTGCCTCTATCAGTAAAATTCTATCAAAGCTTTTTCAGTTTTTCTCTCTTGTTTGATTCTTTTTTATCTGTTTTGGTGTTTTCTTATTTTTGCGGTTGTATTTTTCTCCCACATATTTATAGGTGCGATTTTAGAAAACAACCCTTAGTTTATCCAAAAAAATTGGGAATTCCAAACCCGTGTACTGGAAACTTTGCTTCTCTCGAAACTTGATTTCTTCGCCTAATAGTAGAGATGTCAAAAACTAACTCCATTGATCTAATTCTAAATATATTGAAAAGCCATTTAATTTAGATTTTATGGAGTATCTTTCAATTCAGTTCCTAATTTCCTTCAATCATAAACAATTCATTTCAACTCTATTCAGTTCAGTTCAATTCAACCCCAATTAATTTAGTTTATAGTTGTTTTATACAAATCGGAGCAGGCCCTAAGACACTAAAATTGACACATCTACCTATACGAAGTATGTGTTATGGTCTGATAATAGATTTTCTAATTTATTTTTATTTGATATGGCATAATTTTATATAAGTACACTAAAAATTTTACCTTATTTTATTATAACTAGTTTTCTGCACGGGTTATTCATATAAAATTGTATTGATAGGTAAGTGAGGAAATATCAGTAAGTCATTATAGAATATAATATGTAATCGGAAACATGATTAAAGAAATTAAAATTTTGAAACTTTAAACGAAAAAGAGGCTTAAATAGAAGGTGAAAGGGCTAAAATTAAATAGAGAATAGGAAAAGGTTGAATTAAAGGGGAGAGATGAAGATGAAGAGATGAAGTGTGTATGAAAGATGAATTATAAGTTTAATGAAAGAATTAAAAAAAATGGTGTAATAAAAAATTTATAGTGTAAGATGACATGTGACACTATAGTTAGAGAAGTGTAATAGAATGATGGATGGGGACATGTGTTTTTCTTAGTTTCTTTATTATAGTTTTTAAAAACTAAACATAGATATATCAATAAAATAGTCAGGTGATATTTTGTTAGATGCGTTTACTGTGCTTTTTAGATATGTAATTTTTGCATTCATAAGAGATATTTATAAACTGATAATTAAATAATATCAAGTAAATATTGGATTGATGAATGTTAAACACGTTGAGATGGCCGAGTTGGTCTAAGGCGCCAGATTAAGGTTCTGGTCCGAAAGGGCGTGGGTTCAAATCCCACTCTCAACATTAGTTTTTAAAATTTTTTTAAAAAAAACAGAGAGCAGATAACAATTTCCTGCATAAATTTCAAAAATGTTCCTAACTAAAGAGTTTGTATATGGAACCATCAACACAAGAAAATTGTGGTACTAGTGCTAATATCCTATAAGCATTGCTCTCTACTTTCAAACTCTTCGTCAAAAGGGAAGATTCTGTCCAGTTACCGGATAGCGGAAGAGGAAAATTACAGGGAAAAAAAATGTATAAATAGTATACCAATAACCCCTTTGGTCCAATCGCTGGAGAGGAGGCCGTCTTCTTTGCCCTTGATAAATGCCCCATTCTATATTAATACTTCATACATTGAAGATTGAGGAAGCCGAAGTCATCACTATGTATGCCCACTGCCCACAATGCAGAGAAACAACAAAGACTTCCGAAGTTTTTATGTAGAAGAACGAGTTTTTGCCCGACATTTTTCGAAGCATTGCAACTTTTGGTTCAGTTATGATCTTGTTGAATGTAAGCTATCTCGGTGGCGTTCAAAAAAGGAGCCGAGGGTGTTGATGGTTCAAACAGTCAAACTAAGATATCTGGCAGTGGATAAAAGTTAATAGACTTGTCGGATGTTGATATTAATTCTTGAAGATGTGATATAATCCAAGACACAACGGTCGTCTTCAGTTGAGAGGTGCTTTTCCAAGGATGCAATTTCAGAGTGTTCCCTGTCAGCAAAGATGCGGGGCACCCCTGCCACATAGAAGATGAAGATGAACAAAAAGACGGTGGTTAGATAATTGAGACTATACACCATGAATATTTGGGGTGAACATCTCATAAAATGGCTGAAGATTTATAGTCATATGAAAGTTCACTGCTTCACTTTTACAACTAATGCAAGCATTGCACGAAGATTGTAAAAATTAGGACAGAGGATGCCATGCTTACCATGAAAACATTCCCTAGCTTCTCCAGCCATCAGCACAACATCACCACTTCGTAGGAACATTGCCAAGGGTTCATCATCTCTAGACTTCCCACCAAGAAGAAATATAGCTTTACAACCCAAACTGAGAAACAAATGAAAGTAGAAAGTTCAACTTGCTGCTATAGTAAATTTTTTAAGAGCAATACTGGAATTGACAAGGACGTAGCATAAGACCTCATGCTAACTATAGGTTTAGTCCAGTCTAATTCCATGTCATCAAGGTGTCCGCCAAGGGTGTCACCTGAAAAGCGGAAAGCAGAAGGTCTCAGAGTCAAAAACCATGGGAGTTCAAAGTTAGCCACACCAAAAGTATAATAAAAAGAACATTGAACATATTTCTCGATACCTGATGCAAAGTAGTTCACAATAGCAGCTTCTGGCTTGAAAACATCCCCAGAAGGCATAGCAGGCACAGCCAACTTCTTAACCAGTTGACAAAGTTCAGTTGGAATCTTGTTATGTGGCAGAGAAACATCATAATTGCGCTGTATCATGAAAATATATTAGCCTGAGATTAAACCATCAGAAAACTAAAAGTGCCATGCTACAAGCTAAGTTAAATGATGTGAATGGTCACCTTTGACCAATCAAACTGCAATCCAAGTGTACTCCACCGCAACTTCCGTAGAAGCGCTGATGCCAAGATTGAATTCCCACCATATCCCTTCAAGGAAACATTTCCCATCTTATCGCAAAATTTCCATCTTTGAGCCTGTCCATTGCTCAATGACTCTGATTCTTTTGGTGAATGTTCGTCTTCAACTAGGATTTTCTCTCCTTTAGTGGCAGCAAACAAATCTTGTATAGGACCATAATGCGCATTATGGTTTGTCCGATTGGGAGGTTGAGGGAAGCTCATCAAGCTTTCCTTTATCCATTGACACTGTTGTTCCACACTCAATGCTCCAGGAATAAAATAAAAGCCTACATTAGAAAGAACAATTAAGTTTCAGGGGGCCTAGTTTCTAGGTACAGCAGAAGCATATTTGAAATTTATGCTTATTAGTTTCCATCGAGAATACAAACTTAAGAGTAATCACACTATTCTGTACAGTATTCCGTAATAAACACTAGAAGCAAGGAAGCAACTCTTAAATTTCGAATGCAGTTTATTTGTTACAGTTTTCCCTCTAATGCATAAGCAGCCTCACTAAGCAATCATATCAAAGCATCAATCATAACACAAGTTCTTACCCGGGCGGTTGTCAAGACGAATAACAGGACAATCAAACCCCTCCTCAATTACATGAAACCCATTTGGTGTTTCACCGGTTTGATTGAAAGTGTCCATTATCGACTTGAAATCCACTACCTCAGATAAATCTACTGGTCTCGGCTGCTTCTTCCTAAAACAATAGCAATCAAATCAAAAACCTTCAACCCCACAACAATCCAGAATAACAAAAATTTGATCACACATTGATATCAAGAAAAGACGAGTACTTTCTCGAGTTTTGATCATAATAGAGCTTATACTTCTTCTCCGCTCTACGAAACGCAGTTCTATCAACATCGTCGTTGACTCCATCACCATACATTTGATTCCAAGCTTACTACCCTAATTAACAGAACAATTCAGCAACACCCTCTTCATCAGCAAGAAATGTAGTTGATTTGACATCAAAAATTCCACTTATAATTTACTCATTTATTATAATTTCTAATTGCATCACAAAAACCTACTCATGTAATCATGTCCATCTATATCACTGAAACAAAATCAAAAACTTGCCTATAAATATATGTAAAATGTAACCAGCTAAATTCGAACATATGAAAAACAAATCTCAATTAAATATCGAATATCACATGCAATTCAAACATTCTAGTATTCTACGAACCAAAATTTAAAAATCCAAATTTAGGGATAAAAAATTGAAACCCTAACACGTAAAATTAATTAGAAGTTGATAAATTTAGGCCACAATTTCTCAACGATTAACTAGAAATCTATAAAATTATCAAATTTAAGGACAAATTACCTTGGAGTAGCAGTGAGATCAATCCAGTAGGCAGTAGGGTGGGTAAAGGTGAAGGTGAAGTTTTAGCGCTTCAAAACCAAACCAAATTATCTTTTTCTTCCTTCTTGTTTTATTTTCACCTTTATTTTTATTTTTTTTAAATTAGAGTTGCATCTAATTGTTCTCTATGTAATTGTTTTTTTTTTTTAAAACATGTTCTCTATGTAATTGTTAGACTTTTTTTTTAACATAACTAGAAGATATATATATTAAAAGGCTACAGCCTTAGTATTTACAATAAGCATCCCATAATAATTACTATGATGATCGATGTAGCAGCAAAAAATGCCTATGCAATAAGCTTTAAATACATCCGAGATTAAGCTCCTATATTGAGCTATATATACAGCAGTAAACAACACCAAGGCTACAAGCCACCAAAAAACTAAACTGACAGTTATAATTAGCCATAAAACCAACCCAAACCAAAAGCTGTTGACATCCAGAACTGAGCACAGAGAACCTACGTGATTACTGAGCACCTGTTGCTGCTGCAACACGCTCCCTTTCAGCTTCATACAAATCAGAAACGCAGTCAGGTACAAGGTAGTGAGTTTTATACCCAACTGCCATTTCTCTACCAAAGATAGCAAGTCTATGAGCTAACTCATTAGCCTCCCTTGGGAAATGAGTCACCATAGCCACCTCAAACTTGGAAAGAACAGTAGCAACATCACAAATCGCAGCAGCTAACTCGTGGTGTGGATTCGGACCAGTAGTCATAAGCATATCTCTAAGAACCTTAGCATCAGTTTCAACAATCACCCTCTTAACCATTAGATCCTCAGTAATCGAAAGACCATCATTCAAGGCATACAACTCAGTGAGAAGGGGAGAAATAGCATCATATTTGCAGGAGAAACCCACATACCAAGAACCATCCGACCTCCTAATAACACCTCCTCCAGAAGAAACAACTGAATTTAACCAAGCACCATCTGTATTGATTTTGAAATAACCATCCCTAGGAGCTTCCCAACTTGCAGCTGATGAACCTGATCCAGTGCTTTTCCTTTTGTTATTCACCTGTAACAGAGATACAGAGATCTTATAATCGAAGAAAAATTTGGTAAACAGAGAAATTGGGCCAACTTGTTTATTTTCGAAAATTGTATTGTTTCTATGTAACCATAAGTGCCACAGAGCAGTACCAAAAATTAGATTCCATTTCCTATCCAAACCTAGATTATAATTAATCCAATTTCTCCAAGTCGAATTTTTATAAATATTAAAATCAAAATTTTTTGGAAGATAAACTTTTTCAAAGATATCATTCCATAAGATAGAAGATGCAAAACAATCTCTAAAGATATGTATATGAGATTCCGAGAAAAGATTACATCTTGAACATATAGGTGAAATAAGATGCATATAACTTGCCAAAGTTTCAGCTACTGGAAGAATCGAATGGGCACAGTTCCACAAAAACATTCTGTTTCGGGGTTTTTGTCCCTCGGGAGAGTTACAACACTGAAACTGGATTCAACCGAGGACGCCTGTACCTGAAAAGCAAACGGACCTCCGGATGGTTGGGGGTCCGCCTCCGAAGATTAAGTCAGCAAACGTTCGGAAATAAAACGTGCGGAAGTAAAGTTATCTGCTTGGATTCCAAGCTCAGGTAAAGTGAGATAAGTGACGTATTGTCTCGTATTGTGTGTCAAAAATTCTCTCTCTGTCATAAATGACATAATGTCCCTATTTATAGGGTCCTTTTGAAAAGTGTGCCTTCCTAGGATCTGGTGACCTAGGAATTAGGTCACGCCGTTTTGCGGCGCCTCGGGATTTGGGCCTTAGAAGGCCTCCATCCCAGGGCCAATGCCTGAGTGACACGTGTCACTGTGCCCAAAAGGATTTTGAAGCACTTTTTGTGTGACACGTGTCGCCACCTGAATGGTCCCTGCTGGACCTTCAGTCCATGTAGGACGGAGAAGAGTCCACCCTCCACGTGTCATCATTCCATAGGTCCAAATGGCACCTATACGGAGGACACGTGGCGCTTTCTGATTGGGCCACCTGGCCGGGTATGAAATACCCAAATCATTTGCCCCTCACAGGGGTCACGTGCATTGCACGTGACTCTTTTGACAGGTGTCAGTATCTGAGTGGTCAGATTCAAAAATTTACTGGAGGGAAAAAATTAGGGTTTTACCCCCCTATAAATAGTGAGGTTTGACCCCCCCCCCCTTGGATTCACACCTTGGCGAATCTCTGGAGAATTTTGGACTTTTTGACTTAAAGAATCTCAAAATTCCCTAAGCGTTTTCCAAGCATCCGACACTCGGCCAACAGTCCGACTGTTCTTTAGTCAACCAGGCGTCTTTCTCCCTTCTTCTAAAGGTAACGCCTGTATTTTCTTTTTACTCTTCATTTTTTCTTTGTTTTCGAAAAAATGGCTCCCCAATTGCATGCGGCACGGCGTAGGATAATGATCAGCCGGTCACCGGGGACGGCTGAATCTAGAACTAGCAGTGCCGAATGCTTGGCCAAAGACCCTGCTTTGCGAACTTCTCCGAATCCGACCATTTCCGTGTCTGTGCAGGACACTATGGCCAGAATCAAAAGAACAGCAAGGCAGTGTAGCTCCGATGGAGTTTTCTACCATTCGGATGGGTCGACTGTTTATTTAGACGGCTCAATAAGAGTGCCTCGAAGTGAGCTGTCGGAACACCCTGACAGCCCTTCCTATCTTCCTCCTACCCTCACCTATTACTATTCGCCCACATCTAGTGGAACTCCCAGTGATGGAATCCTGGGGGAGGCGGATGAAGAATATCAACCCGGGCCTTCTGGACAGGCGCCGGAAGAGAGTCTAGGGGAGGACCCCGCTGGCACCAGTCGGCGGTCCCCTAGCTCTGATGAGAGCTCTGATGACGAGTCAGCCTCGTCATCTTCTTCAGAGAATGCCTCCGTAACTTCAGAGGAGGCTAGATCAAACATTGATTCTGCCAGAGAGTCCCTGGCAGTGGATAGGGGGGAAAGCTGGGCCGAGCCGAGCGCTTCCAGGCGCTTGGAGAGAGCCCCCTACTATCAGCATGTTCCGCCAGGCAGGCGGAGCGCCATGGCATCCGGCCTTGCCAATTTTAGGCGCAAGGTCATCTTAGGCTATGGCTACACTTTGTCGGTCCCTAACGAGGGCGACACCATAACCTGGCCGAGCCTGGCCAGCTATCAAGACAAAGCATTCGGCTGCTATGAAGCGGCCTTCCAGGCTGGCCTCCGCTTCCCTCTCCATCCGGCCGTGGAGAGGATCTTGGACGGCTACCAACTGGGTATCTGGCAACTTGTACCCAACTCCTGGATCAATATTCTGGGGTACGTTGCCGCCTGTGAGATGCTGCAGGTGGAGGCGAGCTTTGAAGCGTTCGCCCACATGCAGTATCAGAGCAGGGCGCCTACTAGGGGCGGTGAAGGCTGGTACACCTTGACCACTTGCAAGGGGTACATGATGGCTGTTGGAAAAGAGAACAAGTGGAAAGACTGGAGGACTAAGTTTTACATAGTCAAGTCTGCCGACAGCCGCCTGAACTAAAAGTATAACAGGTGGAATAAGGATCCACCTCTCCTAGCGGGCAGGAACGATTGCCGCCTGTTCCCAGGCGGGCAAAGGAGGAGATCATGGATGCGGGGTTGTTTACCGTGTCCGTGTGGACGAATGATGAGGGGGAGAAGGAGGTCACCCCTCAATGCTATCTCCCTTTGTATAAATGGTTTGAAGAAGGAACATTCTTAGCCGCCTGTGGGCTAAGTTCTGAGATGCCGAGAGGTAGTCGGCCGTCTGTTTTATATGCAATTTACTTTTGCTTTTCAGTACTTGTTTAATGATGCTAACACTTGTTCACTTTTGCAGAAAAAGCAATGGAAAAGCTCTCGGCCACAAGGAAGCCGGTTGTATCTGCTGCTCGATACAGGTCGAATGTCCTAAACAGGGCAGAAGTAACCACTCACACCAAAGTGGACGAGCAGAAAACTGGCGGCACCTCCAAGGTAGAAAATTGTTATACTTTCATTTCTGACCAATATTAAATTTTCCCGAATGATTTCTAACTTGCGTTTATCTTGTGTTGATGTAGGGTGCGCCTTCCAAATCTCCTTCAAAACCATCCGACCCTAAGGTCCAAAAGACAAGGGCGGGTGATGTAAGCGCATCCGGCAAGGGCGGCCGGAAGCACATTGCTCATAGGCCCAAGAAGGGCCCAGACGCCTCTTCTCTCGAAGCTGAAAAGGAGATCAGCAAACCGGATGCCCAGAGGGCATCGAAGGGTGGCTTTAAGCAACCCACCACTGCTGTCGGCTCAGCAGGAGAGAAGAGGAGCCTGGGGAGAGAGGAGGAACAGAAGGACGACGGTAAAATCCATTCGCCTCTATTGTTCTTTCATTTAGATGTACTTGAGTTATTTTTCTAACTTTCTTTCCTTCTCAGTTCCTATGCAGAGGCCGAATGTAGTCCAGATGGCCAAGTCCATACTGAGGGCGGTTGATCCTGACGACAAGGCGTCTGTCAGAGGAGTCGGCACCCTTGACTTGGATGGCATCTTGGGGAACCTCTGCGAGGTATGTCTTAGCTCAAGCAATTTTTTTTTCGCCTGGTTTTAGCCATTCGACTCTTTTGCAGGCCATGCTGCGCGTCCAAGGGCTTAGGCTACCCCTCAAGGAGAAGTCCAAAGAGGTAACAGTTGCCAAAGCTCGGGTCGAGTCCGCCTTGGATCGAGCTCAATTTGATATTGCTCAGAATGAGTTTCTGACGCTTGATATGATGTATTCGCAGGCGGAAGCCAATATGCAGGTGAAGAAGGACCTGGACTCGGCCCGCCTGCACATCACTTCCCTTAAGAAAGAGATTACAACTCTTAAGGAGAAGCTCGAGCCTCTTCATATGCAGGTGAAGAAGGACCTGGACTCGGCCCGCCTGCACATCACTTCCCTTAAGAAAGAGATTACAACTCTTAAGGAGAAGCTCGAGCCTCTTCAAGATGCCAAATAGAGGCCGAGAGAGCCAAGCAGAAGGTGGGCCGCCTGGAGCAGCGCCTCAGCAACCAGGAGCATCAGCTGAAGTCCAAGTTTGAGTCCGTGGCTGATCAAGAGAGAGAGGCTCTTGTTAAGAAAATGATGAGCGATTATGAAGCCATCATGCGGGACACTTGGGCGGCTGTACAGCCGGACTCGGACTATCAGATTTGGAAATCCAAATTTGACGAAGCCAGCAAAGCATTCGACGCTCGCCTTATTGAAGAGGCTGAGAATGCTGAGGCCGAGGAAAGTTCTGGGTCCGACTCTTCTGGGGAGTCGT